TGCTCGCCCCAAAGATAATGCGACTTCTTTTGCGAGAGGATTTGATCGTATCTATTTCTACGAAGCAACAAAATTCTTTCATCTCGCAATTTCAAGTTCGAAGCCGTCGAGTCTTCAAGAAATTTGATTTTTCAGCCTGGAAGGAAGCAATATCGGTGAGCTTGGTCGAAATCGATTGTTTTTTCTTCCTCGCCGCATATGCCTTGTTGAACAAATCGGCAGCCGCCGCGACCTCCGCATCGAGACCCCTTGGAAGATCTTCATCAGGACACGTCTCGAGGGCAGTAATAATATCTTGGAACTGTTTTTTCTTGTCGCGCGACTCCACTAAAACTTCAAGGGGCGAGGAATAAAAGAAAGATCGGAAGCGTTGCTTCAGCTGGTATGGTCCTTCAGTAGAAGTCATGGGCGTCTTAGAAGAGCTCGACGGTGTCGCTTCTGTAGATAATAGAATATCGAGGATAGAAAAAGGGTCTTCTTCGATTGCAGCTCGATATTCTAGCACAGTGCTCGGAGCAGGCACATCTATCTCTGGTAATGACGCCGAGAGCAACTCGATAGGGGGCATCGCAAAAGGAGGAGAATCCTCTTGCTCCGCAGAAACAGGGGAAGGAGAGCCTTGAACTTCGACTATTGGAAATTTACTGAAAAGAAAGAAATCGAGAATGTAAATCGAGAAGTTCATAATGGAATGAAATGAAAAGTTACAGTGAAAAGTATAAATACCAGGGGGAGGCAGAGCAAGTGGTGCCGAGGCAGGAGGAAGAATCTGTACAGCCTCAGGTTGCTGTAAATCGAAAACCATTATCAGAACAAGAAGTGCACAAAAGTTAAAGCAATCATACAATGATATATAAGATACCTCAGTGAGGGGTGTTAATAGTTGAGATTCGACATTCGTCGATACAGTCTCCGATGGAAGATCCTGAAAATCAAATTTTGAAACCTTGTTACAAATTTTATCGAGACTTAAGAACATAGAATTTGTATAAAGAAGGAAACTTACGTGACTTGAACGGGTGGCAGGTGTTGTCGTGGGGATCGTATTAGAGTCCATCGATAATGGATCGAGAGCAACTGGTTGAACAGATCGAGGACTTTTCGATTTTTGTTTCTGAAAATAGAAGATCGAAAAGAGACAAGTATAAGAATATGGATTGATCAAACAGAAAAAATGAATAGGACAAAACAGAAGTCAAAAGGAACCTTCGATTTTTTCGAAGAAGTAGGAATGGTGGCCGAGCGTCTGCGTTTTCTGATTAAAGCTGACGGGTCCGATTCATCTGAGGATCCCCAATCCTCTGGACCCTTCTCGACAGCGGTGACCTTGGTAGATTTCGAAACTGCCAATAAAAGAAGACATATTAGCTTATAATATACAGAATCAAAAAAGTATAAGAAAGCAGTAAAATCTCACCAAAAGGTGATGGAGTCAAGATCTTGACTCGGTCGATATGTACAAGCCAGGGAGGCAAAAGAGCCTCAGGGAGGTTAAGGTAAGGGAAATAAGATAATTTCGAGACGTAAATATCTTTGTTTTTGGGTTTTGGGCGACGTGTTTCCTCGAGGGTTCTCAATTCTCGAACCCATTTTGGATGAGTTAATGGTTTGGCAAGTCCAAAAGGAGCCGTGGGAAAAGTAGGAAGGCGATTTGGACAATACATTTCAAAAGGGGTTCTACCTAAATGATTGATTATTTTGTGGTTCGATCGATTAATGTCTGTTTTATTGGATAAGGAGATAACAACATCATAATAGGTCGATTCTAATTTCAAGTGGGGTGTAACATATTTGATAAAAATTCTCGAATCGAGATATTTGAAGACAAGTGGAAGTGTGTACCTTTCTTCGATTTTGACTTGTCCCGCAACACAAGAGAAGGTCGAGTAGTCGGTTCGTCGAACTTCATCAAAAGTAGCATGACTACTCGAGAACCAACCGGCCCACCATTGAGAAAAACCCACAGTAGATAAATAATTCGACTCGAAAGCATAGGGGTAAAAGTGCATCGGGGTTTTTGGTAAAAGCTCAACAAGCTCCCGACTAATTGTGGATTCAGTTAACTTGGACTTTGGGGAAGTATCGAGAGAAAAGAAAGGCAAAGATTGGCTCAACCCAAATTGTCTCGAGAAAAGCTGGGGTAATAGGTGACAAGCTTAAAATCCTTCGATTGAAAACCCGATACCAAAACATCATGGGTCAAATAGTTACTCCATACACCTAGCAGTTCTGATTGCAACCCAGGAGTCGAGGCAGGAAATTTTGATTTAAACCAAATCGGCCCCCTAAGTTGGCCACTTGTTCGTCCAAGATTTACAGTAAATGGGGCCAAGGTTGAGTCGAAAGTGAATCTGGTTAACAAAAAATGAAGGTATTTACAGTAGGTAGTTTCATCAGACTTATGGCGAGGGTGACGAGAGGATAATCGGGCCCCTTCTATAATTACACTCGGGGGGACAGAAGAAATTCGAGGAAGGACGCTCTCAAAAATCGAAGTAAGCCACAACTGTACAAACCAAACGGGGCCTGAAAAGTTCCCCGATGCTTTAGGTGTGTTCAAAATTTCGACAGCCTCGTCGAAAGTAGCATACACATGAGCTAGTAGCAGCTTAGCCAAACATATCCTAGGCTGACCTATGTGTAGGACATATGCAAGATCAAACAAATGGGAGGAGATTTGGATGGATCGGGGGCAAAATACATGGGTGCATAGCCAATACACCAAAAATGCTACATGCTCTTCATCAGTAACAGCTATCGAAGGGTCATCAACAAAATGTTTCTCAATGAAATGTCCGTAAGCCTTCGATTCCCAATCAATTTTGGACCTCAAAGAGCTACTCGAAGGATATGCACCTTTAATATACTTCTCCCCTATGGGCTTCAACCCAGTAATAGCCGCAATCTCGAAAAGGGTAGGCGACAGAGGGCCACAAGGCAACTCCAAAGCATGTAGGTCCTTGTTCCATAAATGCACCGCAGACAAAAACATCGCCATGTCCAAAAATGATAGATCGCATCGAGACAGATGCAAAAAGTCGAAAATTCCTATATCCCTCCAATGGTTCCCAAACTTGGTTTGTACCCTATCAAACCACCTAATAAATTGAGGCTTTTTGGAAGGAGGGCCCGTTCTATACACTTTAGAGGTAAGATTCAGAAAATCAACCCTAACCTCAGGTTGATGAACCAAAGCCGGACTAGTTGAGAGGTTAAGAGGAGTAAAAGTGTCATCGATAGGACGGAGAGGACCCCCAAAAGCAAAATTTACCCCTTCAACAGTATAAGGAATAAGTACCTGCGTCTCAGCAATCTTGCGGGAAGCCTCCTCCATCAGAGGAACTGGAGCGAACCTCTGGTTGTTGATCTCCAGCAGGTTAGAGGGCAGTGAAGAAAGGGGTGGAGCGGAAAAGTCAGAAGATTTTGATGAGCTGGCCATTGTAGTGAACTTAGGAAAACAGAAAGGGAAGAGTTAACGGATGAGGTAACAGGAACGAAGGCAGGAGCTCAAGGGAGAAGATGAGATTGCACAGAAGGTAATGGTTCGCGTAAAAACCAGAGTGAAGACTAAGGGAGAGGTTAAGGGGAAAATCGTATAGGGAACTGGAACGATGGAGGTGAAAGGTAATAAATGCAGCGTACTGTGAAGGCAACAGACTGACGAGACAACGACATAAAGCAAAAAGAAACCCAAAACCCTTTTAAACCCTAGAACCCCAAAAACCCTAAACCCTAAATCCTGTGGGCCTTCCAAACATTAAGGCGGGAAGATTGAAAGAATATAAACTGAAGTCATTCATATTTCTTTCAAGGGGGCATTTTGTTAGTGGCAAATCGAGAAAAACGATCGAAATCGAAGGAAAGAAATGTGACTCGATAAGATAAACAAAAATTCATTCTATGTCTAATTAGAGATACGTAGCATATAGCATCGAGAAGCACAATCGAGAATCGAATGAATAATAATCAAATGACTGTTGTCGAATAAAAACTAAGTCATATAAGACCAGGGTCAAAAAGGAATCGTAAGCAATTCGAAGTTCTCGAAAATTACAAAATCGAGAGTAAGGAAAGCCAATGTGGACATCGAGACTTTGGCCAAATCGTGAAAGGAAGTAAGTCGAATGCACGTATAAAGAGCAGTTTTGAAATCATGGAAAAAAAAATCGGAGATCGTGAGAACATGGGAAACTATGGAAGATAAACGGCCATACGCACGTAGAACGTGGTAGCAGTCGTGTTAACTGCTCTTGGAAGGCTTGAAGGATGCCCTATAAATAGAGCAAAGGAGGAAGGAACAAGGGGGGCAGAAATTGGCAGAGAACAGGATCAGTAGTGAAAAGTCTACCGGAGAAACGACGAACACCATAAAGCTTCTGGCAATCTGGATTTCCTTGCTCACTGAGTACATTTACCGCTTTCTGTATTTTCCTTGGTAATTTATTTTGATGCAACTTAAATTCAGCGATTTTATGTTTCTGTATTTTCAATTCCTTGTCCATTTCAATTCAATGAAAATTTGAGTTTCTGCATTTAGATTTCCATGTTATTTAATATTCTGCAAATCTCAATTTCCTGTCATTTACTTTTCTTGCAATCTCGATTTCTTGTCATTTATATTTGCGATTTCTTGCTATTTACAATTAATGCAAGTTTGGGGTTTTCGCACTTTACATTTCCTCGCAATTTAACATTCTACTTTTTCGATTCGATAGTCTTAATGCTTTCGATACTTTAAATACAAAACACCAAAAACAACATTTTCGATATCCTGTAGTTTTCGATTCTCATACACGTTTTCGATTGAAAATCAAATTGCTAGCCTAAGTAAAAAGAACTTACGTGGTAGAATTTTGATTAGGACCAAAACACCCTTAGAATCGAAATCGATCAAAATTCCACCAGAAACACTACCTAAGATCTTTAACAACAATATCTGTCTCGCACTTACTTGCATGCGTGAGAGATAGGTTTGAGAAAAACAGAAACAAATAAAACTCTTAGTTGACAAGTGTAGCACCTTGTGATCTTGAAGGAAGGTGCATGAATGGAATGGAGGATAATCCTGAATGCCACCTAAATTCATGACGTTTGGGGGGAGCCCTTCCTCCACTTTCTTTTAACCTAAACAGTTTCTCTTGTCCTTCTGGCCATGCATCTTTTGGTCCTCTGGGGTACTCTGATCAAAGCTTGAATAAAGAATTTAAAGTGTCACTATCTTATGAAAAGGGTAACCAACTCAATGATTCACATAACGAACAACTAACACTATGAATCCACCTGTGTTTCATTCTTCACTGCTGACATTGAAATCTTCTTTTAACTCATCTTCTGCTAACAAAACAGTTATCTGCATTCACACACACACACACACATATATATATATATATATATATATATATATATATATATATATATATATATATATATATATATATATATAACATTTTTGTGTTTCATCATTTTAGAATATATTCATTTTGGTCATTCATGTTTTATATTTGAACCAATTTAATTATCTTAAAAAAGTAATCAATTTCAATTTTAGAATAGATTTTAAATAATTTTTATATCGATTCAAGACATAAAATTTGTTGTACTAAATTAGCCTACGTAATAATTATGAAACCTATATAACTGACGACCAAACAAAAAATGATAATAATCGAGTGAAAGTAATAAAAATTAAAAAGGATTTAACAAGATATTAGAAAAATAAAAGATATAAACAAGAAAATTCCATTGATAAATGTGATCCTTCACCCTAATAATTTGTATCATTTTTCTTGTGCGTATAAAATCTCTTTGATGAAGAAAATCGTGTTGATAGTGAAAATTTACCAACGAAGAACAACGGAAAGTGAAAATTAATAAAAATAAAAAAATAAAAATGGAAGAGAGTTCCGTTCGATAGTGAAAAAAAGATTTGGTGGGCGAGATTCAGATGGGAATGGGCCCATTATAACGCCAACAAATGGTCCATGACTGGGCCCGCAAAATTAAATAACGCTCCAAACTCCAAACTCCGAATTTAAAATTGATAATTATTTATTATTATTATTATTATTATTATTAAAAAATAATACCAATAAAATTATGTTTAAACCCATAATAAATGAGGTGAATTAAATAAAAGAAAGTGATTACTAATACCGTTGGGTCTTCTTCCTCCTCTGGATGTGCCGTTAAGTAGCGGTGGTTTTCCCGGGAAAATATGAAAAGCGCGGCCATTTTTTCCGAGAATGCATGGTTCCATGTGTAGCAGGAGCAGCAACAGAAGAATGCGAGGGGAGAGATTGTTCAAACATTAAAACAAATTACATAAATGGAAATTAAAAAGAAAGAAAGAAAGATTTGATTAAATTAAAAATAAAAAAATGGCCAAAAAAGAAGCCCTGATTTGTGGGGCGAGTGAGACTGAGAAGCGATTCATTGTTTACGCTTGTCATCGTTTCCTCTTTTTTCCTTTTTCGGGAATTCACCATTTTTTCTCTTTCTCTCTCCTATTCTCTATCTATCATCACTCTTACTACAACCTTCAATTCTTTTTTCCGCTCTCAATTTCCCCCAATTTTACTAGGGTTTTAATTCCAGTTCCAATCCACTAATCATTAATCATTATTGAACAATCGTTAATCCTTAATCAATCTCACACGACAACATTAATTCCTCATTCATTACTTTCCTTGCGATCTCGATTCATAATTTTTTTTTTGCAGCCATGGCGTTTGATCAGAATTCTGTTCCGTTGGATCTTCGTCCTTTGAACGTAGCCGCGGCATTGGCGGAGGAGCCGATGATTTCGCCGGCCACCGTCACGCCGCCGACTCCGAATTCTGTCGGCGAGCTTTTTTACCAGCCGGCGGCATCCGCCGCAGGCACAACGTGGTGCGTGCGGCCCATTGCGCATGCCAATGTGAGCCCTGCCGCGCCGTATGGGTTTAACTACGGCGCTTCCAGCTTTGGCAATCGTGTTTTGAATTTGGGGAAGGTTGTGGGATGTAATGGACTGGAAAAGGTCTGCAATGATGCGAGTGGTTTTGGTTATGGTGTTGGTGGGGTTCGGGGCAACAGAGTGGCCGGGAATGGCAGCGATCACGGTGGCGGGGATGAGGGTGGTGGCGGTGATGATTCGGCGTCCGGGAGGAAGGTGAAGTTTCTGTGCAGTTTTTCTGGGAAGATTTTGCCTAGGCCTAGTGATGGAATGTTGAGATATGTTGGGGGGCAAACAAGGATCATTAGTGTTAGGAAGGATGTGAGTTTCAATGATTTGGTGCAGAAGATGACAGACACTTATGGGCAGGCTGTGGTTATCAAGTACCAGCTTCCTGAGGAGGATCTTGATGCCTTGGTGTCCGTGTCGTGTCACGATGATGTTGAGAATATGATGGAGGAGTATGACAAGTTGGTTGAGAGATCTCCTGATGGTTCTGCAAAACTAAGAGTTTTTCTGTTTTCTGGTTCGGAGATGGAAGTTTCTACTGGGGTGCTGTCTGGGGACTTACAGGATACCGGGCAGAAATACTTTGATGCTGTGAATGGTATTGGTATGACAGAGGCTATTGGGTTTGGTGTAGGGATCAATAGGAAGGGAAGTGTTACAAGTGCTGCTTCAACCCAGAATTCGGATTTGAGTGGGGCTGAGACTTTTGATAGTTCAATTACTGGTCAAGGGGATGCCAATGGGGTCCCCTTGTCATCATCTAAGGAGAATGTCTCAACTGCTAATATGGTGATTTCAGAGGCCAGTACACCGGTTTGCACGGGTGTTTGTGCAATTTCCATGCCCATGCCTGTGGCTAAGGCTAGTCCAACCCCATCCCACAGTCCTTATTTTCAAAATGACGTTGAGTTAGAGAGGTCTGTGCCTGTTACTTTGTCGACACAGCCTTTTGGATTGCCGCAAGCTGGAACAGAAGTTCCAACCCCTTCACCTTATTTGCAGCCTTTTGTTGATCCTAGCCCGGAGGTTATGAACCCTCCAGACTATCTCCAGCTTTCTTCACAGATGGGGTTCACAAACCCTCCGCTTGTAGGAAAGACTGCGCCTGTGTTCAGGCAACAGCAGTTTCACGATAATACTCCTGGCTCAGCATTCCATCATCAGGTCATCCCTGGGGTACAAATGACTGTGTCTCCACAATCTACTCTTGCTGGTGTGAGATCGAATGTTATTCAACAACAACCGTTGATGCAACCACAGCAACATCTTTTGGATCAATACCATGATGAAAATACATCAGGGGTAAGGATTATTCAGCTTCCTCCTGAACGTAACTACAACGCTTACCAGGTTCCAGTGAGTCAAGTCCCACCTGTCATAGTTGGAGGAAATTATGGCTGGGTTCAGGTTCCTTCACAAGAGCGCGTTGTTATCTCTGATGGAGTATTACCTCAACAACAGGTAATGAGCCCTGCTGAGAAATTCCGAAGAGTTGAGGACTGTTCTATGTGTCAGACAAAACTACCTCATGCACATTCAGATCCAGTAGTTCAGGATCAGCGTAGTAGTGCAGGTCCTGTCCCTGATTCAATTCCAAGTCACTATAGTTTCCCAATGGAGGACAACATAAAAGCTCAAGCACCACATAAGGTTATGATGGCACCGTTGATGGAAGGCATTGCTGAGCAAGGGACTGGGACCAGACCCAGGGTCGTTGGCAAACTGGAAACTCCTGATGGAGTGCGTCAGACTGAGACCACTGGGCTTTCTCACAATATTGAGCCGCATCCAGAAGAATTTGATCATCCCGGGAGTTCATTTTTCAAGGAAAAGGTTGCATTGAAATGTAGAAAACAATTTTCAAATGATGAGCTCATGGGAACAGCACCACTCTCTTATCTAGATGATGTTGGCGACCAGCACATGGCACCAGTTGAAAATTGGGTTAAACAAGATGTGCTTAATAACAAACCTATCAACAATGATATGTCTACAGTTGATGGAACATCCATACGAACTTCAGAGTGTATGGTTCAACGATCTCCAAATGAATATACCAATGAGCACACTGGGGTTGTTTCTAAATCAGACGCCATAGATAATTGGATTAGACAAGACCATCTAAAACCTATTGATGGAAGGATGGACACCTTCAAGATACACAATTCTGATGTTTATGGAAGTAATGATTACTCCTTTCTGCCAGTTGATAAACCCAGTGGGAATGATACTTTAGGTTACAACACTCGGCAATCTGCAGAGGAAGAGGTGATTCTGGATAACAACTTTGGCAGGTCAAAGTTGATAGTTGATGCTAATCAAAATAAGATGGCAGGTGTGATGCCTTGTTCCTCTGTGGAAATTTCATACAGGAAAAATTCCAGGTCAGGGGAATACAATGAGGCTACACAACCCCCTGTTTGGGGCATTCCTAGCTCAAATTCTCAATCGAATACTGGAAACCCCCACATTGATGATGCAACACTATCTTCATCATCCCCATCTGTCAGGTTTGGAGATGTGCAGGATACTCCAAACTCACTTTTCAGCAATCAGGATCCCTGGAATATACAGCATGGTACTTTCTTTCCACCTGCTAGACCAAGCAAAGCTGCATTGAAGAAAGAAACTTATTCTTGTGAGGATCCCTTTGGTGAAAATCCTGGAAACTTTGGGGAACAAAGTTTAGAATCACAGTTGGATGATAGCCTCTATCAGTCATTCAAACAAAATTTAACATTCGATCATGGTCGGTCTGCAAAAGGTCCGTAAGTTGTTGAAGTCCTAAAATATGTAATTTTGTTGCTGATAGATAGTCGTGGATCTCATATCATATACTCGTTATGTTTTGGTTTCTTCATTGAAGGTTCAGCAGAAGACCAACAACTCCAAGCTGTCGCGGAAAATGTAGCAGCTTCTGTTTTGCACTCAAGAACTCCTTCAAATTCTGACTTGCATTCCAGAGACGTTTCCTGCTGTGATAATATTGAGGATGGAAGTGTTCAAAATAATCTAATAGATGTAAATTGTGGACATAAAACTCAGGTGATTTTTGTTTACATATTCCTCAGTATTTGTCTTATATCTTGCCATATAATTACAGGAATAGAGAAAACTATTCTCGGTGTCTCTCCTCTCGGTTGCTGTTTTATTAGAATTATTATGATATTTTTTTTTCTCTGTTTAGGATGTTAGGAACAAGCAACTGGGAAAGACAAATTTTGACATTCCAGCATCAGGTTTTGGAAAATTACAGGTTGAATGTCTTTCGCATGTTTCCCCTTCTATGCTTTTGTGTTGTGAGCGCAGCACAGCTAACACCTAGTTCGTGGAACTTTACTAGGTTATAAAGAACCGTGATCTTGAAGAACAGACAGAACTGGGTTCTGGCACATTTGGGACTGTATATCATGGAAAATGGAGGGGCACTGATGTTGCTATCAAGCGAATTACTGATAGGTGTTTTGCTGGCAAGCCTTCAGAGCAAGAGCGCATGGTCTGTGTCTCATCAATAGTTCTATTTTCCATTTACTCCAAATCTCTTCCATGACCTAAGAATTAAATTACAATAATTCTCGGTTTATGCATCAAACAGAGATATGACTTCTGGAATGAGGCAATCAAGCTTGCTGACTTGCACCATCCAAATGTGGTAGCTTTTTACGGTGTTGTGATTGATGGTCCAGGGGGTTCTGTGGCAACAGTTACTGAATATATGGTTAATGGTTCCTTAAGAAATGCCTTGCAGAAGAGTGAGAGGTAATTTCTGCATATATTGATGGGCATGTTCCTTGTATATGTTCATGTTTGTCTGTTAGTTACTTTGCATGCACTGATTTAATATGTTTCCATATTGATAAATGCTTCAAGCTAATATTATCATATTAGGAACCTTGACAAGCGCAAGCGACTTTTGATTGCAATGGACGTGGCCTTTGGCATGGAGTACCTACATGGGAAAAACATTGTACACTTTGACTTGAAAAGTGACAACTTGCTAGTTAATCTCCGAGATCCACACCGCCCAATATGCAAGGTTTGAATGCTTGATACTGATGTTGTCAAATCGAGAATCTTGTTCCTTGCATCATATTGTGGGGTAGATACACATTCAGTATTTTGCATGAGATATGCTAGATTGTTTTTTCTTTCATTCATATATGTTTAGGACTTCAGGTTCTCGGATAACTCATAACTGTCCATTACGTGACATACTTCTGCTATGGTGAAATTGAGCAGATTATTAAAGTCTTTTGAGTATTACTAAAGTGCCTTGATGGATCCAGAAGAAAAACTTGCTGCTTTAGTCTGATTTATGGCGTTTGATCCATCAAAAGCATTGAATTATGGTTTGTGATATTTTCGATTGACTTTGTTTAAAGCCTGGCTTTAGATATATTTTGGAGCAAAACTAGTGATTTCAGATGTGCACTGCAGTTTCTAGGTGAAATAGAGAGAGAATAATGAGTTTTTTTTTTTTTTTTTTTTCGGAAGACTAGTCAACCACTTGCAGATGCCAATGCACCTCACTTTAGAATAAGGATATAAACTGTCACCTATGAATTTGTAGGACCGGCTTTTCACATAAGGTTGTCCATTATGTACACTCGCATCACTTTGTCTCTCATTGGAAAAATGATTTTTGCCATTTAAAGTTGACTTCCTCGCGCTGCTGTAATTTCTCTGGTTGATGCTCTTATGTTTGCAGATTCTGTTCGCTTGGTAGTTGCAGTGTATGTATATTTTCATCAACTTGAGGGATGATGAATAAATTATGCTTTTATCATAAGCCATTGGCATATTTTTGTGTTGCATTAGTATTTAAACTGCTACATTTTGTGTTTTTGTTAAAATAATCTGACTTGCTCATCTTCATACTAATAACTTATTTCATACTTGATGACATTCGGGTTAGAAATGTCCATATTACTTATTTCATACTTTGAAAATTTAAGTTACCTCTATTCTACCTTAGCTGTGGTCTCTTTGAGGACTGTCTCAATTGCAGCCTCGTGAGTGATGGTTAGAGTTTATGAACTCCTCACCTTAAACCTAGGTTTTTCTCTTGTTATCTGAGATGCTGCTGCCCCAAAATAGATGGGAATTTTTACTAACGTGAGTTTCTATCGCTACAGTCCTTGAAACATGATTAATTAGAAGTAACTCTACTAGTCACTCTGATTATCAGATATTACCCAGGATTCCTGTGATATGAGAAGTAGATGAACTTGTTTTACTCTCTATTTCTCTTTTTCCCGTTGAGCTTGCTACCCTGTTCCTTTTCTAGAGAATTTATATTTTAATCTACTAGGTTAGCAACTAATTTCGAGTTAGGTATGCTTATTTTCCAGTTTAGATACATAGTTTAGGCATAAAAGTCAATTCAAACGATTCAGTTTCTTTATTATGAGAACTGACTGGTTTGATAACGAACCAATTCAAACTGAGTTAAAGTTAAGAAAACAAGAATAGTTTACCAGGATCCTTCAAACAAAAACTGACAAAAATCAGCAAAAAAAAACAGATGACTACAAACATGACTACAGTGCCAAACTACCATCCATCAACAAAATAATGCCAAAAGGTCTGGCACTGGCTGTTCCACCAAATAGCATTGGATATGAACACCCATTCACTTATTGATTTAGAATTGGCTCCTGCCTCCATTTTTGCAAGATCAAGTACCATAATTTTCTGTTAACTGATTTTCGATCGTCAACACTCCTGCGTGATGTCAGGTTGGTGACTTGGGTCTGTCCAAAGTAAAATGCCAGACACTGATCTCTGGTGGGGTGAGAGGAACTCTGCCGTGGATGGCTCCAGAACTGCTTAACGGAAGCAGTAGCCTTGTTTCAGAGAAGGTTGTGTTTTGATACTTCATAGTTTCTCATCCTCTAAATGTATGGATTGTGTTTTGATATTTGTCGTTTCCAGGTTGACGTATTTTCATATGGCATTGTGATGTGGGAACTCTTGACTGGAGATGAGCCATACGCTGACTTGCACTATGGTGCTATTATAGGTAACATTCCGGTTGAATCCAATCTTGTGATTTAATTATCTGGCTTTCAGTTAAATTAATCGGTCGCACATGAAATTCAGGTGGTATCGTGAGCAACACTCTGCGCCCTCCTGTTCCAGAATCGTGTGATCCAGAATGGACACTGTTGATGGAGAGGTGCTGGTCATCAGAGCCATCAGAGAGACCAACCTTCACTGAGATTGCCAATGAATTGCGTTCTATAGCGGCCAAGATCTCTCCCAAAGCACAAAACTCTCCCAAAGGACAAAACCAACAGCTGCAACCCTCTCCATTGCTCACTCAACTCCACAAATGATTTTTCCTTCATTTGTATTTTTCATCCAATTCCATATCATTTGGTTAATTGGTTCAGACAGATAGTTCCCACCAAGGTTGTCAATAAGTGTAGCTTTTTTAGTTTGCATATTTTCTATTACTTACAATCCTCAATACGAAACGTGTCATATGAATGTGAAAAAAAGAAAAAGAAAAAAAAAAAAGAACAATTTGTCAATATTTTGATATTGCTTGTTTTAAAACTGTAAAAAGTTGTACCCGTATTGTCTAAATCGTGTGCATTTATTGAGTTTTTATTATGAATAACGCGTGGAAGGTGTGTTTACCTTTTACTATAATTGAGCATGCGCCGTGTGGGAGTCAACATCAAATTGAATTCTTCTGCTATGCAAATTTAAAATATTAATTAACATGACTTCACTTCGCGACTAGTTTTATTAATTTGCCAATATCTCATCGTTGAGTAGTGTCAGCGTCTAAGATGCTGAAGTAATCGCGTAATTTGAAACCATAGGAAGATATTTGCTTGGAACCTTCCAAATTCAAAGTTCAAATATGCCTCCTAATTTTTATTTGACTTTTCCTCCTTTACCACGCTCCCTTGTTCTATAAATCTTTTCTCAATTTTTAAAGCCGCCACAACCTCACGCACACACACGAAAGCATGGCATCTCACGAGGCAAGGCCATTGGTGATGGAAATGGAACGGGCGGAAGATTTTGAAGAAGCTAGCAGCAGTGGGTGTGGGTGTGGATGCTTCCCAGGTTTTAAGTTGAAGAAGTGGTGGGAAGAACATGATGAAGAGGGTAAAGGGCTACTTGATGAGCAAAGGGGCGAGGGAGAGTCGTGGGTGGTGGAGAAGCTAAGGAAGGCAAAGGAGGCTTCAGAAGTGATTGCTGGTCCTAAGTGGAAGACTTTCATAAGAAAAATAAGTGGGTACGGGAAGAAGATGAAGCAGCAAAGAAACAGGTTCCAATATGATGAACACAGCTACGCTCTCAACTTCAATAGTGGGGCTCAGAGTGAAGATGAAGCCATGCCTTACAGCTTCTCAGCCAGGTTTGCTGCTCCAGGACGACGCCAAAATGAATCATGATTCTTGTTCTTGTTCTTGTTCTCTCAAACATCTGTATTCTTGTTTACATAATTCTGATTTTAATCTTGTAATTATCATTCATTTACATGATTGTCATTTTCCCACCACCTCTATTAATAAAATTCCGCGTTTAATCTATCTCTTCCTCTTGCTAAAATTTCCTGTATAGCAAAATATGCAAAGAAAACTAGTTGAAGAGGGTACCCACCAAAAATATATTTTGTGGGCAATGTTTAGTTTGAACAATACCCTCTTCTCTCAAGATAGAAGGAATGGAAGACAAAATTTGGATTCTTGACGTAAACATCTGGAACTTTTCCATTTCAAAGTAAACGCGTTCCTTTGAGGAGGCGTTCAAAATAATCTATACTTTTCCTTTGCTTTACGTCTGCCAAATCCTTCTTTTCATTCGCAATTCCTTTTGTGGTAAGAAGGCAATCGGAAGGAAGCTGTCCCCTCTCTCTCTTGCAACTTCCATGCCTCTCTATACAAGCTTTAATTTATTATGAGAACTATAATATTATAATTTACACCCTGTACTTTGGATGGAAATAAAACATATGAATTTTACGCAAATTTCTCCAGTAAAATATTACATATTTGTAGTAAAAATATGTAATTTTATTATGAATTTTAAATAAAAATAAAACACAAACATCAAGTAGTATCTTCACAGAATATGACCATTTTCTCTCATCTCATTCATGTCTTAATAATATATTGTTCCCCGCGAGATTAAAATCTGACTTCTTACTTATTTCTAATTTAATATTTACTTGAAGCCCCTTCCCAAATGAGTATGGTACAAAGAGCCAAAAAGAAATTGTCTTAATGATTCACTATGTTCATCATTCAGAATAACTTATGAATTTAGTATTGTTTTTAGAATGTTCTATCTAATCATCATAGAAATAAGACCTAACCAATCTTTATACTATAACTTTGACTGTTTACAAACTAGCGATACTTGTTTTACCTTTTTTTTTAATGTCAATATTCAAGTATAGTAATTAACCCAAAACCTTTTTATAGTTTTGTGTAATTAAGAAATAAAATTACATTTTTTTTTACTACATTTAGGTAGGATAGTTGTTCTACTACTAATAAGAGTTCAAAAACAAATTTAATTTTTTGGGTATGTTATGAAACCAATTTACAAATTTTAATTTAGTCATATTGCATCACGAACTCATGTATATGTTGTGAACCGAATCATATTCATTAGTCCACAATTTTTTAAACAAGCAGAAAAATATTTATGCATCAGCATGCTACCCATTAAATGGAAAAGATTGTGCGAGCATCAATGCCTCATATACAACAATACCAGGGTTAATATTCTGCAGCAAATACTATTGCTAAACAGTGATTAATTTTATCATGAATTTCCCACGAGCATGCATACAGGAAAGAACAATACCAATATTTCTTCTTCAAAATATGCGACCATTCACATGAAGCTCTGATTACTGCTTTCTCCTGCACTGCTACCATCCAAAAATAACAATCAGATGTAGTCATAAAAGATTAAAAACTTTTCAGGCCATTCAATTTTTTTCCTATATAGTTTACCTTTTAAATGTTTTGTTAATGCAACTATTCCTATCCGCATAAAATGCTACTTATTTACTTCCTCCCATTACATATTTTTAATATTGATGCTGATATTAGGGGAATAAATTTGAGTGAACTTGACTTGCTCAACTTGGCACATCACAGATTGAGAAAAAAATTAGTCAACTAGGTTGCTTCATTCGGTAATTAAGCTAGGAAAAAAACTGTTAATTGACAAGTTAAGTGGATCCACCCACTGATTTTTTTGAAAAATAAATAAATAAAAACTACAGTTTACAAATCTAAGTAACCTCATTTCTAAAGATAGTTTTAATTAAATGATTAAAAAAAAGGTTAAGTAAATTCTCTCAATCCAACATAGACCCAATATGACAAGCGGATTAAGTAAACTGGCTCAAGAAAAAAGTGAGTCTAATTTCATCAATCGTACCCATTCATGAACCAAGATGGCATGGATCACAACTCATATTAATGTAATACCTGATAGTTATATAGTGTTAAATAAATAAATAAATCAATATATTAATTAATAACAAAAAGTGAATCCATTAATGAACCAAATTGTAGTGAATACCTCATAGAGAAAGCTACAAGACAAATTGAGTTAAATACACTAAATTCAAAAATAAATTTTATTTAATGATGTCATACCATTTACTTAATGAGATTAACAATTAATAACATAGTCAAATTCAATAAATGACCAGTCATGATAGGATATAAAGAAAACTTTTAGGTTACATTAATATAAAAATTAAACTACCACTGCTACATATTTGATTCGACTAAATTACACGAATTCAAACATTAATCCATAAAACACATGAGGTTGTTTTTCCTTTGAAACTTAACAAGGAGAATAATATGTTATGTGGAAGACAGAAGTGACAATTAACCTACCTCTTGCGCTTGCTTTTGGTGTTATTAGAGGATGAGGGGTTATTAGTATGCCAGTTCCTTTTCCTTTGATTTATGAACCAATTATTTATCTGCTTTAATTGCAACCCTGTTTCCTGCACCAGTCTAGCTTTGTCTTCCTCCTAAAAATAGAGACTCCATCATGATCAGAAAATATATATATATATGTGTGTGTGTGTGTGTGTGTGTGTGTTTATTACACTTAGAATAGAAAAAGATGGAAAGAAGTATAACATATGATTTATATCCAAACTTACAGTGGGGTATGGCCATTTAGAGTGTGCTTGCCACCAAGCTTTCAAAAGAGATGTGGTGTCCCCTGGAAGCTTCCCTGCTCGTCTCTTTCGCAGAATTTCTTCTCTTATATCCACAATCTTCTCCTTGTAACCCTGAAAGAGAAAGAAATCAGCTTCAACTGATCCAACTTCTGCCATTTTGCTGCTCAGCAATGCGAAGCCAAATCACTTGTCTTGTCTCTATCTCATGCTCTCTCAATTAAAAGTGACACGAGACAAAAGTAAAGTGCTACTCTTTAATGTAAGAAGGCACTGAAACAAGATAATTAAGTAATATAAGAAGGCACTGAAACAAGATAAGGTGGTTTTAAGTAGTGTTAACTTTGTTTGGCTCTTTTTTATTTTTTATTTTTCGGAAAGAAATATGTCAAACACAATTTTGAAAAGTTTTTAAAAAATATGTTTCAATTTTTTTATTTTCGTTAAGCGTGACTAAAATTCATCAATATTAAGCGTGTGATTAACCTAAAAGCATATTTTCTCAATTAAAATTAGCTGACACTATTTTTCCTATCCCCTATCTTCAGTCATTTTCTTTATCTTTTAGGGTAAAAAACTACTCTAACTTTAAAATAGATCTGTATCCCAAAAACATTTGAAGCGAAAGCCTTAGTCCTAAAAACATGGGTAGGGTTGAGATACTTTTAACAATTACCTGTTTTAGTTCATGCTTCAATTCATGCCTGACTCGCTCCATCAAGGATCTTTCAGTCTCAGTGGGGACAAGAGGACCAAAGCCAAGGGTTTCGCCGCCGTCGAAGCTGCCTTCGTACAAGTTACCATTGCTCTCTGCCTGATCATCTTCATCGTCTGACATTGTTGCTCCCGTTCCTTCTCCAGGAGACACACCTGCATCCTCATCCATAATAATATGTATACCCTCATTATGATTTCATCTTTGCTTCGTATACATGTGATGCAAGAGACATGCAATAGTCATCACGTTGATTTGAGAACCGATCAAAATACTCAAATAATTTGCATAAAGGATGGTGTAAAGATAGAGACTAAAAAAGCACTAGATACTTTTTACTTTTCATGGAATCTAAGCTCATTATTCAACTATCTATATTATCATCTTGCTCTATTATTGCTTTGTATTCTACTTAGTGAAGAATAGTTTTAAGGATATATGCTTATTACTATTAACTTTTCCAAACTCTTTTGAAACGGATGGAGTACTTCCTTTAAGAATAATTGTTGTATATACGGCAATCATTATTAATTACAAAAATAATAAACTGTGATGATTAAACTATTATTACTAATAAGTAATGTGTGGACAATTCATTTGATATCTCTTGATGCACCATTTTGCGAATCTCTCCCCTTCATTACATTGATTGAAAGGCCCTTATGAAGAAGAATTGAAGTTATGAGTGCCCCGGTAGGTTGTGTCCTGTCCCTTTCCTTGGTCGATCTCTTAATTATTAAAAATTAACATGTGGTTAAAAATATTCTTTTCTTCTCACTCTTATTTATTATTAGTTATTTCCACCAATATTTGTTTTAATTGAGTGGCAAACAGGTAATTTAATTTATGCGAAGAAACTGTGATAGGCTCTATTTAGAGCATCCAGTTATAGTAAAAACTGTACAAATTGTTTATAAAAATTGGACTTTATCGATTTCCAATCAATGCTTTGCATGTCAAGTTAGACATGGGACGTGAAGGGAAAATAAATTCAACGATATTCTTATGCTTGTACATTAAAGGAGTAACAACAATATTTAATCATTCTTTTTTTTATCTCATTATTTTTTGTATGATTTCTTTCACAAAACATGCATATCACAGTTTTTACTACTTTCTTTTCTCTTTCTATGTTTCGTTATTTGTTTCTAGTGTGAATTGTACGGGAGAGGAGAAAAACACTACTAAAAGGATTATGCTTGACTTACTCAGAATAAAATCAGTAATCAAATAAAAAAACTGGGACAAATAAAGCAATCATGAGAATAATATTTTTAAAATCAGGTATCCTCAAGACCATTACATGCAAAAAGATTTGTAAATCTCTAACTACAATTTTATGTGATTTCAATTTTCAACACTAGCAATAAGAACTTGCTTATTCTCTTCTTTTCATATCATTAATTCAACTTCTATTCAATAACATAAATCAAAGATTAAATTTTTGCAACTACTTACCATTTTAAAAATTACGGGATAGTAAGAGAAAATTTTCTCACATTTAATTAATTAATACACAAAAATAATTCTATTTTACTAACCTGTTTAAAACTATATGACTAAAATTAAAAGGTCAATACTAAATATATTTGTTATATTTAAAAATTTTGTATATAATAATATTTTTCTATACTTTTACTTATGTAAAAAACAGGTTTAATATATGATAATAATAAAATTAAAATTAAATTAAATTAAATGAAAATTTATGAACTAAGACAAAATATCATCCACAGTGCCAGTAGTCCCACTTTCATGAGTGGGAAGAATGAGAACATTTAATTGGTCAAATTATTATTCCTTTAGTTTTTCCTTTTGCGAAAGATTAACATATGCTATTTATTTATCAAAATTTTGAATTTTTTTTTTCTTCATTCATTTTACCCACTTATTTGTCCTTTACTGTCACCAATTATTCAAGTCCCTCCACTCTGGGATCTGAGTAAGGGCATCCTCAACATTTTGTTCTTCTCTTCCCTCTCTTTACTTTTCTATTCTACAATAAAAAATGTTAATTTTTTATCCTCTTAACATTTGAACACTTTTATGTCTTCAAAGTTTGAAAGTAATAAGAATATCTTATATATTGATATTGAATAACAATATATCCTATAATTAACTGTGATAGGCTATAATTTAATAAAAATATCCTTTTTCTTTCTCTAATACGATAATATTGTATTACTTAACTCCGAATTCGTTGAGTTTACTAGTTATGAATGTTTTCAGCTGCAATGTAGTATAAAATCGGCCTAATACAGTAAGAACGGTATATACCAATATCCATTGCATGTTAATTCAGAATAATTTATAATGTATGAAATTTAAATTTTTTATTTTAAACTATTTTTTTCTCTCGTACTTTAACTATTAAAATAATAAATTATTTATTCGTACTTTTGAACGATTAGTTATTCCAGGAGTTTTCTATGGTTTAATTGATATGTACATAGGCATATTTTGTTGTTTTTTTAATACTAATTTGTATTAAAGATAATTTAAAATTTCTAATTTAAAAAAAAAAGTCAATTTCCCTTTCTAAAATTGGCTTTTGCACTAAGCATAATTAGTCTCATTATTAATACTAAGTTATTAAAAAAATTAACAAAATTAAAATTGTTTCTATATAAATTAAGTGTGTCTGATAACCTACCTATGGGTATTTGGCTGAACTCTTATAAATTGGCATTTATTTATTTTTTGCTAATACCATTTTCATCCCATTCTCTTGTTATTTTGATCTTTCTTTTCTCTTTTATTTCTATATTTTTCCTCTTTCTTAGTTTACAAAAAAGTTTTCTATCCCATAAAGAAAAGCAGCAAAATGCAATGAAAGTTTTGGATGAGGTGGAGTGTGTGGTCTGCAATTCATTCTTCTCATTTCTTTTCCCTTTTTCATCAATTCATTTTCTCTCTCCATATTTTGTTTACAGAGCGAATAATGATGAGTACAAAAGACACGGTAACATCTAGGGAGCGAAAAAAGACACTGAAAATTTACCAGTCAAGCTTTGCAGAGACTGCTCCAGATCCCAACAAGCCATCACTGCCTCCATGGCATGAACACGGACATGCTGTTGCAGTTGTTCTTTAAAGGCACAGAGCAACAGAACATAATGGGTCTGCAACAAACAAATACTAGCAAATCTCAAAAAGGAGTTTCAGAAGTAACAACTAAGAAAAGACCACAAGAACCGATAAGGTTTTTAAATATTAAATACAAGATGTTATTAACTATAGTGATTCAGTATTAACATTTCCATCCTACAAAAATGTAGTGTACTTTTTATATTTTGCATCATCCAATCATTATATGTAAAGGGGAAATCAAGTCAGAATCAAAGTTGAAAATCACCAACTTAATTATAGTTGATTCTACCATATACTACAGGACAAACACTACGTCTAGTTGAGACGTACAGAATCACCAAACTCCGTATCCTCTCATTATTGTACTTGGCGAAGCCAGAAACGTACATTAATGAGGAAGTAAAGGTTGAGAAAACTTGACGAGAGCTTCAACTGTGGCTCAGAACATATTCCATAAGAATTCAAGAACTGAACCACCAAAGTTTCAGCAAAAAGGGGAAAGGAAAGAAAAAAAAGAGAAAGTGAACAAGTGGGAAGATCATGACAGCATTAACAGAAAAGATTCCATAAAGCACTCCTGAAGGTTATTGTAGGAAGCCGCAGTAAGAACCCTCAAGCGGAGCCACTCGATGACAAATCAGATTCACCAAATAATGCCTCCTACAACCGCCCATCTAAAATTAAACTTCTAAAACCATCACGCCCATTATCTCCAACGTTATTCCTCTTATTCGTTATTCATTTTCTGCATTCTGCTTATGTGTTAGCTTGTCCACAAAATCTTTACATGGACTTATGATTTAACAAAGCAGTACGACCATAATAAGAAAAAAAAAAAGTTGATGAATAGGATCGACACAAGAGCCAAAATAATTCCCTAAATCAGAACTAGAAGAAAATAAATAAATCCACTTAGAACAAACATGATACATATAATTAAATGTTATTTCCAAAATTTTGAAGTTAAATACATAGAAATTATTTGAGATTATGGAATGGGAAATAACCTAATAATTTATTCAGAGAAAAGCTTAAAAGCAAAATGAGGAATTGAATGAAACTGAGATTCTTAGAAGTAGAAGTACTCCTAGGAAGTGGATTAAAGTAGTGCGACAAGAAAACACATGGAACTGAAGTGCATAGAAAAGAGAGTTTGTTAATTCACAAAGGAAAAAGAAAAGAGAGAAACAAACAAACACAAACCATGAATTGATCAAGCTCCTTCTCATCGACTGCGCTGTTATTGGCGAGTGCAGAGTACTTTTCCACCACGCGCTGCGACTGCTGAAGCTGGGCGTCAATCCTGGGAAGCTGGTCGACTGGCGTGGCAATCCTGAGACATGACACATGCGCCGATAACAGTTGATCGTAGAGAGGGTGCCCTAGAATGTCCGCCTTGTATTCCCTCAAATCCTCGGATTCGCAATTGCTTTCGCTCCGGTTCCGATCCGCGCTTTTCTCGGCGGCGCTGTCGAGGAAATTCTGCTGCCGCTGCTGCGCCGCGTTCAAGTTGTTCAGCCATGTCGATGGGAGCCTCTGCTGCATGTCTCTACCCTCGCTCAGCTCTTGCTCCTCCGTGAAACGCTGGAACGCTATTTCGTGTTGGAGATGGTCGTGGAAAGCCATAGTTATCCGAGTTTGCGTTTTTTGTTTTGTTTTCCCCGCTACATTTTAGTGGCTTGGTAGCTTTGTTCCTCGATCGAAGTAAGAGAAACGTGGATTTGAGGGAGAAAGAGAAACAGCGGGTTTTGAAGAGGTGAGGGATTGTTTGTTTGTTGTTGTTGAAGGTGGTGAGTAGGAAGAAAGAAAGGGTGAGAGAGAAGGGGAAGAAGGAAGGAGAAGTTTGGAAAAGCACTTTTTATGGAAAGACTTTTGGAAAGGTCGACGCAGGGATCGAGGAGTGGGGAAGATCCAACGGTGGGATTCGCGATAACGTGGAGGGTTTGTGGTGAATGCTCATTGGAGCTTCCCTGTAATAATAAAGACAAAGATGGATAAAAAAAATGGATCAATGATCGATGTGGGAGGCAGCTACGTGACATTTTTTTTATTATTTAATTGCACCAACAGAAAATAATGTACTCACTCTTGTTTTTAATTTTTTTAATAATTAATTAAAACAGTGTTAACACTGGGTACTCACTCTGTTTGCCAAATAAACTATTGTTTCCAAAACCATTAAGAATAAACAACAAAGTACAATACTTAATTCAAATCAATTTCGTTGGATAAAGTTGGTGGTAGTCCCTTTGTTAGACTAAGAGTTATTGAATTCAGATAATTAAAATTCTCCAAATGATATATATAATCACATGAGAGTTTAAATTCCTAGTTCTAAATCTGCGAAAGGGTGCAGGACTTTTCTTACATATCATACCAAAAGCTAAATACCACCTTAATCCTAGATTTCAAATCCCAGATGTCCCCATCTACCTTCAAATCGTCACAAAGGACTAAGTTGTAATTGAATTAGACTCTGACAGAGAATTTACTTTTGTTGTTATTTCGTAAACTATCCTCTAATCATGTACATTTCATTACACCTGTTATTGTATGATTAACAGCATACTAAGTTATTCCAAGAACATGTTCAACTGATACTGTTCCAAATACTTAACACCAATAATGGGAAATTAAGATATGTGTCCCAAACAATAAAATATCTTCTCCACTTAGTTGTATTGTATATCTTTCTCTTTTGTGCATGAAAGTTAATACTACTAGAGAAAAATATTACCCTGTTATAGGAGTAATTTTATATTGTGTCATTTTCCTTTTGAATGAACTATCAAGTTCATAAATTAAACATGATGAGTATTTGATCGTCAAGTCAGTTCAAATTCAAAAATTTTAACCCCTAATTATTACTCTTCTTAAAATAGCCATGAACTTGGGGTTAATGTATTTCTATAAATGAACATTCTTTCCCTCCCAACGTCAAAACATGACCAAATTTTTATGATGAAGGATTGGAACCTCTAACTTTGTACAGACTCATAAAGTTAAGCAGGAGATTAATAAGGAAAGAAAAAAAGAACCAAATTTGAAAAGATTTACATGTAAAGAGTTATTTATTTATATGGTGTGAGTGCATAGAAAATATGGAAAGGGAAAATGTTGGAGAAGGGTTTTCTTGAGATATTGGTGGGAGATATTTACTTTAGCGGTCAGTGGTTGTTGGTGGTTTCTTTCGTTCCTTGACTGCTTTGGGAAAACTTTTGATTGTTTGAAGTGACATGCTGTTTTTCCAGTTTCCATCCATGCCAATGTTCTCTTGAATCGAAAAACACTGAGCCACTGAGGAAGGCATCCTTTTCGTTGTAAAAAAAAAAAAAAAAACAGAGTCTCTATGTGTGTCTGTGTTGTTGTTGTTTATTTTTTTATTTTTTGTAGTAGAATGGTTCAGTGTCAGGGGTCCCAGAAAGGCAAAACGACGTATGAGAGGGTGCGGTAGTGGCAGTGAGCGTGAGGCCCACACTGAGCAGAGTGGACGTTGGCGTTCCTGAGCTTGGGCTAGCCACTACTCAATCCGACAGCGACCTCAGCACCCACGACCGACACGTGTCGCGCCGACGATTCATGGACCACCCAACTAGTACCTGCGTGTTCCAAGATTTGGGAGTGCGAAATAAAGTGGGAGTGAATCAGGTTCGTACACATGGCTTATCTTAACCATGCACCCTGTGGGCCCCACAGAGCATGGTCATATGCATCCCTGTTATCATTACTTCATCGCCCCTCCAAACTACATCATCCTCCTGTACCTCCACCATTTCTTCCTTGGCTAACATCTCTCAACATTATATCAATTTAAGTTATATAATATTTTATTTCTAAATTTTAAATTGAAAAAATGTAATTCAATATTCGGATTAAAAAATTCCAACATGATCTTTGTCAAGACAATTTTTAGCATAAGAAAAAAGTCTCACAAAATTTGCATCCTAGAATAATTAAAATAAATAAATAAAATGAATTATTTATTTTATTAGCTAAGAATGAAACATTGAATTACTCAATTAAAAAACTTTTATTAATGATTAAAAAAGTTAGAAAATCATAATAAAAATTGATAAATGAAATTAGACTTTGCACATCTCCTTGGGCTAAGGTTCTAAAATTTCTAAACATAGTTAGTTTTGGTAGAGAGAGTCTATGGAAGAAAAATGGGATGCAGGTGCCAAAAGTAGTTGATAGAAACGAGGGTATATACTGTTTCTTCCTACGTAGGATTTTGGGCATATCTAGGAGTTTATAGTTTCACAGGATACAAGTTCATTCTTATAATGGTTTCTTCACAGTAATTTCATTTTGTTTTTTCGACCTAGACATGTTTTAACATATGCTGCTTCAGAGGTCACTCTTGTTGCTGGTGTCATCTTGGGAGATTCCCATCAATTGATTTATGAATTTTGAAACTTTGAGGACACAAATGAACTCCTGTATAAATTAAATTAATGTATAAATTACTGATGACAAAGGTTTTTTACATATTAATATTAAGAAAATAAAAATTTAGACAAATTACAAGATATTAAAATTCGTATATTTTTTTTCTTTTTATTTCGTGAAGTTCTTATGGAAAGATTTGTCTAAATATAATGTTTTAATTTTACTTTTCAACCTGCTAATTTTTGTTAAGATTTGTTTGGATGTGTTTAGATTAATTTTCTGACAAGAACTTATGAAAGAATAAAATAAGAAAAAGTAAAATAAATATTTTCAAAAATTAAAATTAGTTTATATATCATTTAAGTACAAATATTTAGGTATAAACACTTGTAAAAAAATAAAATATTATTTCGTTAAAATTCATTTTTAACACGTATAAATTATTTACAAAATATATTTATTTTTATTTTTTATAATTATTTGTAAAATATAATTTCACTCTTTTTAATAATGATGTATAATAACAAAGTTCCTCGAAAAAATATGCTGGATAGAAAGTTACTCTTCAATATGTATACTTAACACATTTATTATCTTAAATTTTAGTATGTTTTATAATTTAATTATTTTGAAAAACACTTACAGATGTTTTTAAAAGAGTCATGCTACATACCCCTTATCAAATGAAGATTAATATTAATATTCAAAAAACTGTGATTATGATCATATTCAATATTTGTGTATTATATATATATATATATATATATATATATATATATATATATATATATATATAATTATGATATTTTGAATAAAATATTCTCTTATATTATTTATATTTATTTTGTACACATAAAAAAATATGTTTGTAGAAAGGCATTAGTTGACTATTATTTTAAAAAATATATATATAATTATTAAAACAATGATACTATATTAAACATATGAAATAATACAAAGTAAATATTAATATAAATATACTAAATAATAGTAAAAATAAATAGATAATAAATATTACTATGATAAATATTATATCACAAATATATTATAATAGATATTATATTGTAAATATATTATAACAAATATTATATAAATAAATAATATATTATTATAAATAAAATACCATAATATTATAGTGTAATAAATATTATACATTAACAAAAATAATATACTAAAAAAATTAAAAAGATTATATTAAATATGTTTAACAATAACAAATATTATGCAATAAATTATTATACCATTGATATATTAAAATAAATATTATATCATAAATAATATATTATAATAAGATTATACTACATTATAATAGTAGCATAAATGTAAATATGTTAAATATTATATTAAATAATAATAAACGTTAACAATATGCTTGAAGAAGAAGTGATATAAGAGAGACATATGTATGGAAGAAGAAAATTGAGGAATCTTTGTAAGAGAAGGTTACCTTGCATTATTGTTTATAAACTTAAGGTTCACCTTTAAGCGTGAAGAAATCTGGGAGGTCACAAAAAAGTTGTGCTACCAAGCACACTTTAGAATGAAGTCATCTAGAATAGAATGACTCTAATTTGATTGCATAATAAATTTGTGTTAATTATGTGATACAATTTTATATTAAAATAGTTTGAAATCTCACGGTTTCATTTATTCCATGTAAAAAAAATATTTATGTAACATAATATAATTTAATTTTTATCCATTGAGGAGAGTCATCTCACATGATAGTTTTCTTATATCACAACTCGCAGAAGACACAATCCATGTTTCTTCCGGTCATTTAATGCATGAGACATGAATTCACTTCAAAGAATATCATGCAAATTGTCTTCATATTATCTATCTTGGTTGTAATTTAGTGTCCGTCCACGTAATATTATTCATAATTTGACGAAGAAGATTATATATATATTTATTTATTCATGGATAAAATAAGATATTATCGATCCCGTTATTATAAACATTAGATAACGATTGTAATATTTTAATCATATGTAATTAATTTTTAAGAACGTGTTTCCAATAAAAAAATAATATTAAGTTTAATGAAAAATTTTCATATTAAATAAAGTTATAAATATTATATACTTTGGATTAAAGTTTGATAGATATATTATTCGAGAATAAGTATCTTACGTTCAAAGTAAATAAAATTTAATAATAATAAGATGTAAAAAAAATTAAAGTAAATTAGATATGCTTGTGAATAATATTATTATCTATTAGTGATTAAAATTTAGAATAAAATGGAATTTTTCGTACTATTTATAAATTGGTTAAAGTAAATGTTTCTCCTTTTACAAAAACTTTGATTGCATAAATTAGAAAATGATTTAATTAGCTAAAAAATAGTTAGATAGTAAAACAAAAAATATTTGTTATGACTTTTAATTATTGAGAAAAGTTTTACAATCATCTCTTCGTATGATAAAGAAACATTTTCTAGTACACTTATCTAATATATGAGTAGTCTTTATTTTATAGATGGAGTGAAATATCTATTATTCAATGAGTTTTTTTGTTTTTCAAGCAACATATTGAATGATTTAACTATTATAAGTTTGTTATTCAAGTTGACGAGACATTAATATCACGAAACTTTATTGATAGTTATTATACAAGATGAAAATCAAAATTTATTCTCATTAGTATTTGTAATAGTTGAAGGGAAAAACAAAATATGTTTTGTTTGATTCTTCCCATTTTTGAAATATATACCTTAACAAAATTTATGTATCATGACAAATACAGGAATTACACGGTTAGTAGTATTATAGTTTTAAAAAGGACGAGTAAGACACAAATGCATCATTATACTCCATTCCACATATAACTTCAAATGTTAACAAAAGATTCAACATTGTTGAATTAATATAAATAATTAATATGGATAATATATTTACATCTTTATAGTTCATCATTAATTTCCAAATTTATTAACTTTTGGTTATTTTCTTTTTTCAAGATAATAGATGAGGCAACACAAACTTATAGTTAAATTAACTTCTATGAGGTTAGATTTTGATAAACTACTTATTGATTGGATCAAATTCCATTAGAAAAAATGGATACAAGTATATGAATAAAGAAAAAAGTATGAACATATGACTACAATATATAATAAAGTACACGAACTTTATTTTAAAAAAAGTATAAACATTCTCAATATGTGCCCTAATCAAAATTACATTTGAAATAATAAAATTGTTATTTGTTGAATGTAACATTAAATCAAAATCATGTTACAATGGGGGGCACATGTATTATGTCCAAAGATATAATAGTGAAAATAATGAGTTTGAAGTTCAAGAATGACCAAACTCACAACATGGTGGACGATTACAAAGGTATATAGTTAGATTGAATGATTAATAGTATGTTTGTAGAGAATTTCAAGTTCTCGACCTATTTTACTTACATGTTATTATTATGAGTTTTTCATATCATTTACAAATTAATACATATGTTGATCTAGTATAAAAGTTAAACTAGATTTTTAAAATTTATGAACATAAATTTCATCTAATACAAAATAAAAATTATTGGATTTTTTATATTAGTTCAAATTTTATTTTAAACCTACAAACGAATAAATTTAGAATCTTATAATGATAATTAGAAAAATATTACATATAATATTATCTTTTAGTTAATAAAAATATAAAAAATAGCTGACGTCATGTTATATAATATGACTTCAATATTAATAATAAAAAAACAAAAACACAAACTTAAAAAGAAAATCTCCAAAATCATGTTATTAATATCAAGAAAAATAATGGTTTGATGAGTCTGTATGTCAAAATATCATCACTCTATTTGCAAGTACAAAAACAAAGAATTTAAGAAGAGTTGTGTACCATTAATTGTGGATCTTCTTTATGTATAAGTAAGATCGTTACCTCCAAATTTTTTAAACATATGTATATATTTATTATTTTGACCACAATTTAATGGTTTTAAAGATATTTATTTATATATTTATAATTTTGACTTTTTAATTTAATAATTATTAAATATATTTATTTATATATTTATAATTTTAGTCTCTTATTAAAATAAATAATTAATATATATTAAATAAGAAAATCATTGATATATATTAAAAAAAAATTATATGTTCACATTTTCTCCTCATCATTTTGCCCCGAACTTATTAGTTTAAATATACCTTACATGAATTGTTTGTTAAAGAGTCAATTTATCAATTACTATAAAATTTTCAAAATTTACACCATTTTAGTAATATACACCTTTGAGTGCATCAATTAATATAAATAAACCATAAAATATTTAATAAGATATAGATATTACATTGCTTTGTGTAGCACCAATGAAGTCACGAGCATTGGTTTACAGCAATTGCAGTGTGATTTGAGAAGGCAAATAAAAAGCAAAGCAGATACATGCATTGTCATGAAATTGAACACATCTAACAGGATTAAAAATGTTGCATGAAGGAACTCTTGCACATACTCCATGGCTTGGAAACTAAGAAACAAAAAAAACTTCTCACCTTGTAGCCATTTCCTTCAAACTACATTAAGCATTCTAGGAGATCAACTGTATGGTTTCACAGAGCCATAGAAGCACCTTCCATTTTTGTCATTGTCATGTTTCAGAAAGAAAAGACTGAAGAAAGCTTGAAGCTGTTGTATGCATGGAACAACCAGTCCATGATGTTTTCTTGGTAAATGAAACACGTCTTTGCTGAGGACATGCTTTGGAGCAAACAGCATTCAAGTTGTGCAATGCACAGCCACAGTTTTTGTGGTATGGCCTTCGCTCAATCTCCATGTCATTCAATGAAATACTTCCCTCAAAGACACACCGAAGCATCATTTGACATGCCCCAGTGGCCATTCTGTTGGTGATGCTGCCATGCTTTCTCAAACATATATAGTATAAATGTAGCATATAGAGTGTGCGATTGGATGAAGAAATCAAGAGTAGGAAAATAAATTTGTGTTTATTATTCCCGGAAAATTCGAAGATAAAGTGGACAGTTACACAAAGACATGCATCGCTAGGGAAATAGAGACAAGTTAGTGGTTATGCCACTCTTATGCGTGCTTCAAACCCAACTACCTCACTTTGTCTTGTGGTATGGTTCACCTTTGCTATTTTCATTCTAGCTATAGAAATCTCCAAAAGTGTTGGTTAACTTTATTATAATTCTTAGCCAGGCGATATTTCCTAAGCAGAAAGTTCTAACTTTTGCGTCACTTCAATTACTAAGTCAAAAATGTGGCAGTGGCACTTAATGTTCTTCTTTTCAGATACTATAGTTTGAGTCCATGTGATAATGGTGGTGGTATCTTGTAAGATGATACTTATTCCGTTTTCAAATGGTTTGATCATTGATTGTTGACTCCTTCCTTCTATGCGTCCAAATGAATGGCAAGTCATAATGGAAAATGTTAATGTGAATTGTAACTCTCTAAGGGTAAGCCATAAATCAGGATCTTTCGACCGGTTTACTATTATTTATAAGAAAACTTCAAACATAGCTGATTTATGGTTGAACTGTAAAAACTCTGTTTTACTATCTATGCCATTATTGTACTAGAAAGAATTATACGAATAATCTTAAAACAATTCTAAAAATAATTTTAAAGATTTCATTTTAAATCCAATTACCATTAAGTAATTGTACTATTAAAAAATAGTAAAATTTTATTTTTAATAACAATTATCATTTTACATATAATTATAAGATTAGTGATTAATCCTAATAATACGTAAAAATTCATATGTTACTTTATATTATACAATTAAATGCCACAATCCATATCTAGCCTACACTTCTTTACTGCAAATTGAGAATCGGATTCCAGAAGGTCCAGCTGGTGTCTGCTGGCATTTGTTGCAGAACATTCTTTCAATTTGAGTGTTTCCGACCAAATTATATTTGGTCAAACAGGAAAATTATTAATCATATGTGTTTTATGCAGGATATCTAACTGAAACTTCCTTATGTTTCTTTGCAAAAGTAGTTGGTTGGAATGATTTATCATACTAACCTAAGCAACTTGTTTCTTTCTATGATTAGCAACCCATGATTTGGCCAAGTTCATGCATATTTAATTCCTCTAAACAAGTTCTTTGGATATAAACTAGTGAATTATAAGTTCTTTAGTATATATATATATATATATATATGGTCTTAGAAAAGGACTTTTGATTTTTCATCTCCAATTTGTAGAACCAATTCCTTAGAACTACATTCTCAATCCAGCTGCCATATGGTATGTTCTGCACTCTGATGTTTTCACAGTTCACGTGTGTAGGCCCTGGCCACTTTTTTTCCCTTGTCGTCTCTGTTATTTGCAGATGAGGTTTTAATCTGTGTTCACCCATATCATATCTCACAGGACAAATTGATATTTAATAATGAATATTAAATATCCTTATTTATCTTATCATATGATCAAATTCATTGTTCCGTTTGGAATTGCAAGCCAGCATCTGGCCATCCCATGTGATGAATTGATCTGACAGTTTAAAGATTCTTAAACTATTCACGGACAGCGATCTTCCATAATTATAAGAAACTTGACCTTCAACAATTAACTACTAATAAACTCTTCGACAATTACAAGGGTAGTTCTATTATTTGTGCTACCCTCTCTCACCTCATAATATTTATTATTATTAATTATGGTTGAATGTAGTGTTCTTGATATGATAATTATATAGTAAAATTGATGAAGCTCATAAGAACTATGTCTAGATTCTTTCTTCGATCACGATTTCAAATGCTGCTTGCGGTTAATGGTTAAATTGAATCAAAACCAAATTGAGAAGTCACTGGCCATCAAGAAGCATTTGCAGGAACTTAATTGCCCCAACTTCTTTGTTAAAACCAATATTCAATACACAGTTATATTCCCAAGAGGATTGGGTTATCAGAAAGGAAAAGATATATATCTAGCTACCAAATTTCTGCACAATCCATCCAAGAACAATGGATATGAACTATATCTACCCCAAAAGATTCATTAGGATCGTGTATATTAGCATATACAGATTGCAAATACGTATAAAGATCCAAATTTGATGAGCATAACCACAATTTATCAGAAGCTGAGTTCTATGATATACAGAAGCCAAGAAACGACATTAGTCCTTGAACATAGCAAAACGTCCATACAAACACTTTGCAACCATTGATCAAACCAAATGGTATAATTCAAAAAAAAAAAAAACCCCTAAACCAGATTCAAACTAACGGAACAGATCCTTGACTAAAGCTATTCTTATTTTCCCCCATTTGCAAATTGAGAAGGAGAAGAAGAAGTAGCAGCCAAGACCAAGCTTCCTTCACTCCATGCTCTCCTCATAGGGTATGACACATTGTTAGACCTTGGAAGCTTGTGCGTGCAATGAAGAGACTTGTTATGAAGTGCACAACCACAATTACGATGGTAGGGTCTTCGCTCAACGCAGTTATCGTAGCCAGATATGCAGCCTTCATACACCGACCAGAATAGTCCATCTGGGGTGGCACCACCTGTGGCCATGTTTGATGTTTGAAAGAAGAAGAAAAAGGTGTGTTAACTATCTATAATCTTTTTCTCTTGTATCTTCTTGATGATGCGAACGTGCAGGGACCTTTATAAAGTGTTGATTTCGGTTCAACACAAAATGATGGGCATTTATATAATACCATATGCTGGTAGTTAATTAAATATATATTGCAAGTAATAGGGGCCAAGTTAGTTGTGTTGTGGGTAAATTAACGGCACATTCTTGCATAGTGGGACTCCTCTTCTTGTACACATTTTTTCATTAAGAAAAAAATTAAATTATTCATGATTGCTTTTTTATAATCTTTACACATAATATTGTTACAAGATCCAGTAGTTCTTCTACAACCTTCTCCTACTAATTTTTTTTATAATTTTTGTATCTTTTGCCGTAGTTAGTAGCCAACAAGTTAAACAAAAATTGGGTAATGTTACCCGCAAGACACTGATTTAGGTTACCTATTCGATACAAGTTTCTTTTTGTTTTTGCCTTCCCCAAATAAAACAATATTGATTTTGGACCTTTTATTGTATTTGATTGACTATAAACAATTGGTTTCTTTTTGGTCGCTGTAAGAACGCGGAGTTATGGAAGGTACCAAAAAACAGGGTTTGTTTTCATTCGTGAGTTGAAGTGTTTGAGTTATACACGTTGTGACCATGGTTGCACTTTCTATGGGTCTAGTTTTGGAATCGCTCGTGATTAGCGTACTGGGGCAGCTTACGAGGTGGTGAGGTCGCTGTTGTTTTGCCATAAATCGAAGTCATAGAGTCTTTGGTATTATCGGATGGTTTTCTTTGAAGGTTTACGGTGGAATTGAGACTCGATTGAAGGGACTGATTTTTGTTATGCTTCAGAATATTCGGTTACTTCTTTCTTTCTTAATTTCACCTCAAATTTCTTAAAATCCTAAATTCTAAACACAACATTATTATAATTAGTCATCATGATTTTAAAATTTGAGTTTCACTTTGTTATGATTTTATTTTTAAAACAAATCTAAATAATTTTTTAAAAATTTCGATTCTCAAGTAGCATTAATAAATTATATTTAATTTTAACTATATAACTTTATCGGAACACGTCTCAACGAAAAGATTAAGAATAATAGTTTATAATTTTAATGTTTTTTAAATATAAATGTTTCAACCTTAATTTCATTAAGATATATTTTTTAAAATTAATCACTAAATAAAATATTGTCTAATTTAAAATAAAAGTTAAATTGCTTCATAATGTAGTTAAATAAATAATGAAACGGTTTGAGTTATTAATTAAAACCTAATCAGATTTGAATGAATTTGACTTTAATAAAAATGGTTTGAGTTATTAATTAAGATGATCATATGTTTTAGTATATAGTTTTGTAAATGTCTAAAAAAAATATAATTACTTTTAAACTTTGCTTAGATAAGAAGTAAAACTGAAAATATAAATAAAGATGAAATAATGGAAAAACTATTAATTAAAGTAGTTTTGTACTGAAGTTTTGTCTAACTATTTCACATTTAATTAAGTCTTCTATAACATTTTATATTTCATACTAATTAATTATGGTGCTAATGAGTTTTAATTTTTCTTTTTGACTGTGGTAACTTTAAATTTATTAAAAAGTTAGAAGATTGTGCGTGCTTTTCACTATTCAAAGGTAACTATTATTAAAATAAATAAAAAAATGGGTTAACTTTTTTTATTTTCCTTTAAATAAATTAATAAAATGACTTTTATTCATAGTTTAAAATAGATAGCGGGAGAAACCTTCATATGATTTTGTTAAAATTATTGTGCATCATTGCTCCGGCAAGGTACGAGATTATATTATATTATATATATATATATATATATATATATATATATATAGATTATTGATTATATATTTACTTTTGCATTTATAATAAATAATCCCAATTTATGTCAATATATAAAATTAAAATAATGATAATAATAAAAATCATTATTATTATTGAACTAGTCGCAAATAAAAGAAAGATTGTAGCTTTAATTGGTTGAGAGTTGTTGCCGACGAAGAAAGAAAAAGTGGCTTGAATATTAGATTTCTGAGGAAACTTTTGAGAATAAAATGCGCGTTAAATTAAAAGAAAAATGATAAGTTAAAAACCTAAATCCCTCAAATTCCTATAAACATTTCTCTTTTAATATTATAATAATAATTTTAATTTATTTTTATTTTTATTAAATTATTTAATAAATTATTATATTAATAAAAATGAATTATATAATTTTTAGTTGTGAAAATATCACCACTCAACTTAAAATGAAGACAATTGAACCCAAATGATGCACTACTTGCGAAAAAAGCATGCCAATTTTTAATGTATTATTAATCTAATTTTTGGAATTGGGCCGAGTCGCCCAACAAGCAGTATTTAGTGGGCCTATTTTATAATTTTCGCTGTTTCTTCGTTCACCTCTTTAATTGATATAAATCTCATTTTCATTTTTATATTTATTTTCTTTTTGTAAGTCTCCTTATTTTTACTTTATAAATCCTAAATATCATTGTGTTCTATCATTGATGTATCAAAAAGTGACTCATAGGAGGTAAGATTTTATACAGAAATATTTTAAAATCTTAAAATACTAATCCGGAAGTGTAAGAAAAAGTTATCCAGAAATATTTCCCCAAATTCATATTCTAGATTGTATTTTTTAGAAGACATATTCAAATTAGTAATTTTGGAAACATATTATGGATTGGATAACTTCAAATACATTTTCGAATTACTCAGTCAAAAATGTGTTTCAGATCTAATTGAAATATAAATTTGTTAGACAACAAATAAGATGTAAATATCACATGTATTTGAAAAATTTAAATATAGTGAAGTTTATATAATTCTCAACAAAAAATTAATACATTTTTGTTAAAAATATCACCCATATGGTATTTTTTTTAAATTGTAATCTATATATTAAATTTAGTTAAAATAGAATAATAAAACTGTGAGATAAAATACAATAATAAATACATTCATGCGTATTTTGAAAAGAAAAAAATTAAAATACTAGAAATACAGTGGAATGTTATTTCCGTGATGCAGTTATATACGGAAACATTAACTAATATACTTTGAATAAAAATATTGACCCCACGTGGTACTCTTTTATAATCAAGATCCGTATCTATTTATAAATAAATATCAAAGTTTATTAATAAAATTATATTTTTCATACAAAGATTAATTTTTACTTAAAATATGAAAATACATTTATCAATATTTATCGAAATTATTACGTAAAAAAATTAGTTGAATTGGTTGCCCTCGTTAGTTAGTTAGTTAATGATCAAAATCAATCAATATAATAATATTTTATTTAATATTCATTTAAGAGAAATACACAAAATTTTATTAAGATTTTGGCTGAATATTTAAATTTTCACGCGTGAAATTTTCTTCAGTCAAATATTGGCTGATCAAAATTTTGGCTGAGCAAAATTTTATTAAAATTTCACGCGTGAAATTTTCTTCAGTCAAATATTTAAATTTTTGAATGTTTTTTAGTATAAATAATTGTTTACTCGAACGACACGCTTAGTCATAGTGAACACGTGTCTTGGGAGTATCTATTGGGTCGGGTCAACCCCGGTGGATATTGGTGGGTTGTGTAGTCTCCCTCTTCTTGAACTAGCTGCGTCGTTCGCACGCAGCGATCGAAGCAATTGTTGATCACTCGAAGCAGACATGGGTGGTGGAAACAGAAGATCGAAAGGAAGAGGAAGATCCAACAGCAACACCAGTGGCAGCGCCACTCCAAACAACCCTAAATCCGGAAAGAAAAGAGGTTCAGAAGTCAAAACTGCATTCTTCGTCGAAGGCGGTTTCTTGTCTGATTGGCACCTTCCCTCTCCCACCTACACTCCAGGTATCAGAAGGTTTTTAATTTATTGCTAAAAGTACGATCATTGAACTTTTCATTTTTCGTTATTATTCCTGAAGTTGGGTTTTTCTCTATGCTTTGTTTTTGTAGATGGGTTGCCGGGAAAAATTGTCAACCAAGATTTCTCTATTGTTAAATCTGGTCATTGATTTATTTTTTTTATTTCGCTATGATTCTTGAATTTGTGTGCTTCTTCTATGCTTGGTTTATGATGTTGGGTTGTGGGGAGAAATTCTCAATTTTTCTTGTTTATCAAGATTTCTTTTATTGTTAAAATCTGGTCATTGATTTTTTTTTTCTAGCTTTGATTTTTGAATTAGTGCGTTTATATGCTTTGTTTTGTAACTGGGTTGCGAAGAGAAATTCTCATAAAATTTATTCTTTTAATTAAGATTCCGTTATTGTCAAAATACGACTATTGGATTGTTGATTTCTTTATTATTCTTGAATTTGGGTGCTTCTTTGTGGTCGGGTTGCAGGGAGAAGTTCTGGCTCCAATAATAACAATTCCGGGAGCCAACGTAGAACAGAAGGCTCTGCATCTAAAAGTGGGTTTGTCAAATCTTCGGGAGCTAGTATTGGATACAATTATCCTTCACTTGATTTTCAGGTTTGTTGTACCCGATATATTAGTTTTTATGTATTTTCAATATCAACTGGAACATTGCATATCTGCTTTGTTCATTATGTTTTTATTTGTCCAGCCTTCACTCTCACTGTACATGCCATTGTGAATTTAATGAAGATTAGGATACTGAAAACTCCCACTATCCAAGGCTTGAGTATTACAAACCCAAAGGGAGAATTTTTGCTATATAAGGTTGTGGAGAAGCTCCCACTCACTAGGGTTCATTATAAATTGTTCCCGGTGATACTTTGATTTGATGTCAGATGTGAAGATTCTTGTCTATGCATGCAAGCAAAATGGATTGTGTTTCTTAATCAAATATGTATTTGAACTCTTGCAGTGTATTTGTCGAAGATATTATCAATATCTACATCTTCATTAATAGTTAAAAATCATATTGTTCATCTTTTAATTTGTGTTCAGCATGTTTTCGCGTCTCTGGTTTAGTATGCATTTCATTACATTAAGGAAGTCATGTTTAATGTCATATTACCAGGAGGTAACATGCATTGGGACTGGGAAGTACAGTGAAGTTCGTAATCCAAATCAGCTGCAACCTTTTGTTTTGGCGGACACGAAGCAGTACCAAATTACTGCTCATGTAGACCAAACACCCCCTTCAAAGCCAAACAATGTGAAGTATACTTACAGTTATGATGCAGATTTTGTTTTGGGTGACAGCTTTCATAGAGGTTTAGGTTTCCCTTCTGAACAAGACAAAACCCCCAGTGGTGTTTGCATTTCACAGGAACAGATGCCCCAATCAACTACAGTTTTAGATTCATCATCATTTGAGAAGGATGGTGGTTCTGTTGAGGGCATGGATTGTGAGTTAAGCAATGAGATGGCAGAAGACTTTCCATCAAAGGCGTCTGCTGAGAGAAATTCAGGGTTTCTGTCAATTGGAGGTCTTAAATTATACACTCAGGACATTTCAGATGGTGAAAATGAAGAATATAATGAAGACTCGCCGGAAGAGGACAGCTCCACACTTTCTGTGCCAGAAGAATTACTTGAGTCATCTGAAAACATTGATTCTGAATACACATCTGATAGTGATTCAGACATTGATGAAGATGTTGCTGAAGATTATTTGGAAGGAGTTGGTGGTAGTGATAACATCTTGGATGCAAAATGGTTGTTGAAACCTGATTTGAACGAGTCAGATGATGATAGTTCTTCTAGCAGTTGTTATGATGAGGCATTGAAGAAATTGGGTGGCTTTGCCCTTCAAGAAGCCTCCAGGGAATATGGCATGAAGAAAGATAAACCAAGGAAGAAACACTCTGTAAATTCTGGACCTTTAGCTTTGGGAAACCTAATGATGGAAAAGGATCCAAGAACCATCTCTTCTAGAAAGAAGCATGCTCCTCGGTTCCCTCACTCTTGGCCTTCACATGCTCAGAAGAGTAAAGCTTCCAAAAAGATGCATGGTACCGCCATCACACATCCACATATGTTAAAGATTCAATGTTGTTCTCATAGTTCTAAGCTTTTAATTGACTAAGCTTTTAATTGAAATAAATGTCTGTCTCATTGAATTTACGTTGTACTTTTTGAACCTTAAAAGCATTGAACATTCCCGTCAAAGTCCTGGTAATAACTTGTTCAGAATCAAGGCATGCTCAATTTGTGTAGTGGAATGTAAGTAACATTTTCTATCACTCTTTTCAACACACCCTCTCTTGTTGGGTGGATTTCATGTGGTTCCACTAAATATCTTGGGCCCATTCCTATCAAACTAATGGTATTCGCATAAGTTTCACTAGCCAGAGTAGAGTGTGCTTTTAGAACACTGCATTTGTGTATTCTCTACTTTGATACTTGACTGTGTTAGATTGCATTTTTTTTTTTGGTAAAAATATCCAAGTTACGGAAGTTTAGTTCAAGATTATAGGCTTTTTGCATCCATGGAGTTTGAAACTGAAAATGGTCATGTGTATGTATGTGCCCATCTGTTTTTGAAGTTTGATTCGAAGTAGAGTTTCAGCCACTTCATTTTGCTAAAACAGATTCTATGCAGGTGAAAAAAAGAAACTTCGTAAGGAAAGGATTGCTGTGAAGCGCAGAGAAAGAATGCTGCATCGTGGAGTTGATCTCGAGAAAATTAATGTGGTATGGGATAATTTTTTTATCTCCAATTACATATCCTAGTTATTTATGGACACACTACTTTCTGTATTTTTCTTTTGCTTCACCCTCCTCTTTATCTTTCAAGAACACTTATCAGTTTTCAATATATTTTATTTATGTATAGATTAACAAAATTTATTTATGATTGCGTATAAAAGAATATGTTCCCTTTTACTAATTAGCATTTTATGTTTGATTCTACAAGCTTTTCACTTGCATCGAGTGACCCTTTTCCTTCAGCCTGTTGCCAGCAATTGTCCTCTTTCTAATCATATAGAAGTTCTATGTTGAAGGTCTCTTGCCTATCTAAACTATTGCTAAAAAGGTTGAGTAAGATAAAGATCCTCAGACTTATTGAGGCATTATTTTACACCTTAGAGACTTGGATGACTCTAGGACATGGTAATTAGAATTGCATGAATCGATTAAAATCACAATTCGTTTCAAAAACTGTACTTCACGATACAATTTATTGAATATATCATTTTATAGCTTGAATTGGATGAATCGAAGTTGAATAATGTGATTCATGATTCAACTTTGTTGTGCACAAAAAAAATGAAAAAGGAAAAATGAAAAAGGGTGATTGGAACAAAGGGACACAGATTCAAATTGGAACAAACTGGCTATATTGAGAAGGGTAAGAAACAGTGAGAATATGTAGAAGAAGAAAGGTGTAGAAACAGTGTGAGAGTGTGCAAAATAAGAAAGGTGCAAAAACGGTGAGAGTATGCAGAAGAAGAAAGGTGTAGAAATTGTGAGAGAGGTGCACCGGTGAGAGTGTGTAGAAGAAAAAAGGTGCAGCAGTGAGAGTGGGTAGAAGAAGAAAGCTAAGTAAATTTATATTATAATATAATATTATTGCTTTTTCTGATTGAATATGAGATTTGCTTTTTTTCTGATTGAATGACCCATGACGTTGCAATGTATGTACATTTATTGTGTATGACCCATGACCCGTGACATGGATACTTATAAAGTGCACGGATACTGGATTGATTTTTGAATCCTCTGATGTAGGCCCATTACATGCACTCATACTGCACTTTATTATGTTTTGGTTATGGGTGTTGAACATTTTGACATCATTTTAATATGATATTTTTAATATATTTTTTTATATCACTCATTTTTACTTAAAAAAATATCATATTTATTTATCATGTATCTTATAATTCATAATAAGGTTTGATTCACGATTAAAAAAATTGGAAAACAATTCACAATTCGAATCTCGATTCGATAATATTGTGTGCTGCCGTGAATTACCTATGTGGTAGCTGTATGAAGCATACATGCCTTTGTAAGCATATTAAAAGGAAGAACCACAAGAGAGAGATTGCATTACTCTATAGTTTATGGACAATTGTCACGTTGTGTTATTTAAGCTAACTCCTCCTATTTAAGCTACTGCCCTTCCACCCTCTTCAACCCCTTCCTTGCACATTATCCGAGTCTTGTGATCTATTTCTGCATTCCATATCATGTCATTCTTTAATAACTACATCTATTCAAAGTTAAACACGTTGGACTTATATGAGGTAGTTTATGAATATTCAAAATTCAAGTTAATCTAGCCACTCATATCTCAATATAATTTTTTCTTTACTTTTTTTTTGGAATTCTAGCAATTACAACAAATTGTTTTGGAGGAAGTGGATATGTTCTCTTTTCAGCCTATGCATTCTCGGGATTGTTCACAGGTGTGTATCCTGTCTGTGTACCAGTTCTCTCTGATATTTAATATGCGTAGGCACCATGAATAATTGCTCATCAGTGTCCTGTTCTTATCAAATAGATTTTTACAAAAAATGAAGGGATTGAAATTTGGGGTAAGTCACATCAGTGACATATCATGTTTAGAACATTCAATCAGTATTGGATGGTAAAGCCTTATGTAATTGTCATGCACTTTTTACATTTACTATCTTCAAGAACTCTGCATGTCCCACAAGCCACAACCATTGATTTTGTCTAAGAGAACATTTGTGTATTATTTATCTTTGTAAAACTGCTGGTTTCATAAATGCTTAAATACCATGTGCATCTCACTGATTTGGGTTCTCAATGAATACAGATACAAAGATTAGCAGGAATTTATCAATTGCGGAGTAGCAGCCAAGGGTCTGGCAAAAAAAGGTTATGATGATCTTGTCTTATTTATAGAATTAAATGTTAGGACCTGTAAATTTAATGAATTTCGTGTGGATTTTTGGTTTTAGATTCGTGACAGTGATGCGAACACAGTCTACATCTATGCCATCTTCAAGTGGTAGACAACGCCTGGAAAAGGTTTTGTAGTGTTTGACATCTTTAAAATTATTTATGCATTGCATAACATTTGTGCTTTTTCCTCGTATTATCATCCCTGTCCTTGAGATACAGAGTGGTTCATATTCCTGTCATTTTTTCACACCGTTGCTTCCCAATTCATTTGAACTTTGAAATATTTACTTGAAGCTTTTGATATTAAAATCATTGGACATTGCTTTCAAAACCTGAGTGTTTTTTTCCCTTAATACATATATGATGCTACATGTTTGGAATTATCTATATAGTTTAACTTGCTGTAGTTGAGACTGACTGTTATGCAAACTTCAGTTATTGGGAGTTGATGGTGGGGATGATGATGAATTTTCTGTCGCCGACTATGTGAATAAGAAATCTCTGACTGGGGACAGAAGAGTAGGAAAGAGACATACTAAAAGGAATGATTTTAGATTACAAGAACTTCGATCTGCCCAGAACAACTACTCAGGCTGTCATAAAGTGAAAGACAAGAGAGGGAGTACACAAAAGGGTTCATATGCTAATCAGCCTGTGTCATTTGTATCAAGTGGCATAATCCAGTCAGAAACTGAACAGGTTACAGTTGTTGAGGCTGAAGAGACTTGTAGGAAAGATGTCACCAGCTCTGCTAATATAGGTTCATTTGAAGAACACACTACTGGTTTTGGTTCAAAAATGATGGCTAAAATGGGATACATGGAGGGAGCAGGATTGGGGAAAAATGGTCAAGGGATGGCACGGCCCATTGAGGTTATTCAAAGGCCTAAATCACTTGGTTTGGGTGTAGAATTCTCCAACAATAACCCAAGTGAACCAGCTAGGAACATATCTTCAAGAGTTGGTGCTAAATCACTTGGCCTGGATGTAGAACTGTCCGACAACCCAACTGAGCCAGCTAGGAACAGGTCTTCAAGAGTTGGTGCTTTTGAAAAACATACCAAAGGCTTTGGGTCTAAAATGATGGCAAAGATGGGCTTTGTTGAAGGCAGGGGCTTAGGTAGAGAATCACAAGGCATGACCACTCCATTGACTGCTCTTAGGCTACCAAAGGCACGAGGATTAGGTGCCAAAAGTTGATTTAGAAATAATTCCTTTCCTATGTTTGTATCTAATTATATTGTATGTTGGCTTAAACATTATGATTCTCTCTAGTAACTTAGATTTACTGCCGTGGATGAGCATCTCTTGAATTTTGGACCATATTTCTAGTTTCCCTATTATAGTAAAAAAGTTAGTCATCAAAGACTATTATGTCATTAAGGAATTTTCATATTCAAACTTCTAATTCTTTGCTGCTTTGGTTAGTCTCTCGTCATCGCATGGGCCTTGTCTCAAATTTCAATTTGAATCTGTCTTTTTCCGATTTAATCAGAAAAGAGAAGAAAGGAAAAAACTTCAACAAAATGGTAAGTTGATGTGATGTATTTCCCTCTTAGATCTATATACCTGTTCCTGCAGGTTGAAGCTTCCTAATTGAGAACACCAACCCTTTACGTTAGTGTTACTTCAAAGAAATGTATAAAATAAAGGGATGCTTAGAATCATTTTAATCACAATTTTTTGTGCTAACTTAGTTATAGTTTTTTGTAATAAATAATAGCCAACCTCAACAGAATATTCAAATACAGTGATCATTAAAAGATATATTTTAATTATTATTAATTTATGGAGGATATTTTTCTTATTTTGTTCTTAATTTCTTTAAGTATCTTTAAACATAATTTCTCCCAACTGCATCAAATCAAAAAATGTAATTGTTTTTGCTTGTTTCTCTCTGCATATGATGCATTGCACACCACCTGCTAGATTTTTCAAATGGTGACCATTAATGTATCCTCTTTTTTATTTATTTAAATAATAGTCACACGAGATATTTGTTGAGATGGGTACATATACAATGTCATCTTGCTCAATTACTATCCAAAAATATAATTGAACAAGCTAATCCTTGTGACTTCAACAAAGCACAATTTTGCTATCATCTTAGACCCAAAGCCTTCAGTATGCTTTTCAAAAGTACCAAGATGTGGGTCAATGAATAACCTCAATTGTCATACCTTAGACAATTTTTCTTCAATCCTCTCTTTCAAGAACAGGGATGAGAATACGATAAAAAGTATGGGTTATTGTTGGAGAATTCTACACCCAAACCAAGTGATTTAGGCCTTTGAATAACCTCAATGGGCCGTGCCATCCCTTGACCATTTTTCCCCAATCCTGCTCCCTCCATGTATCCCATTTTAGCCATCATTTTTGAACCAAAACCAGTAGTGTGTTCTTCAAATGAACCTATATTAGCAGAGCTGGTGACATCTTTCCTACAAGTCTCTTCAGCCTCAACAACTGTAACCTGTTCAGTTTCTGACTGGATTATGCCACTTGATACAAATGACACAGGCTGATTAGCATATGAACCCTTTTGTGTACTCCCTCTCTTGTCTTTCACTTTATGACAGCCTGAGTAGTTGTTCTGGGCAGATCGAAGTTCTTGTAATCTAAAATCATTCCTTTTAGTATGTCTCTTTCCTACTCTTCTGTCCCCAGTCAGAGATTTCTTATTCACATAGTCGGCGACAGAAAATTCATCATCATCCCCACCATCAACTCCCAATAACTGAAGTTTGCATAACAGTCAGTCTCAACTACAGCAAGTTAAACTATATAGATAATTCCAAACATGTAGCATCATATATGTATTAAGGGAAAAAAACACTCAGGTTTTGAAAGCAATGTCCAATGATTTTAATATCAAAAGCTTCAAGTAAATATTTCAAAGTTCAAATGAATTGGGAAGCAACGGTGTGAAAAAATGACAGGAATATGAACCACTCTGTATCTCAAGGACAGGGATGATAATACGAGGAAAAAGCACAAATGTTATGCAATGGATAAATAATTTTAAAGATGTCAAACACTACAAAACCTTTTCCAGGCGTTGTCTACCACTTGAAGATGGCATAGATGTAGACTGTGTTCGCATCACTGTCACGAATCTAAAACCAAAAATCCACACGAAATTCATTAAATTAACAGGTCCTAACTATTTAACTCTGAATTTTACAAGTTCATCATCACCATTTTGCAGAACTTGGCTAAAACTCCACGATTGATAACTTGAGCTATATTGAGAAATAATTTGTTCGTACTGAAGGGAGATAGAAAGGAGTGGAGTTTGGAAAAAAGATATGTTATCCTATCCAGTACTCCTTATATACACAAAATAATATTTTTTTAATTCATCACTGAGCCTTTTCTCTTTTTATTTTGCAGTGGAGACCGTATCGAACCTGGGAACACAGAAGACAGACTAAGAAACATTCATTATCAACCTACTTGTTTTAATTATTGTTTTTAACATATTTTGATGTAATCTTATATGATTTTTAATAAAACTTATATAATTTAATAATATATTTATTGTTTTCAAATTTAAAAATATCTGTAAACGATAGAAATATTGATGTAATATAATAGTTTAAGAAAGTACATGTATAAATTTAATGTATAAAAGAATAAAATTAATTATAATAACTAACATTTAATTATAACAAACCTTAGGGTGGCACAGCAATTAAATGAATGTTTTGTTAAATTATTTTAATGGAAGAATTGAATGTTTGAGATTCTCTTTCTTTCCGTACTGAGTGCATGAGATCACGGGGAATTCTAAATCCCACTTTACACACGCAGGACCACATAAATTGAATAAACTCCATTCTTCATTTATTGTACCAAACTTCTAGTAATTTTGTTTTAAAATTTAATTATCAATTAATATATTAATAGTGTTCCGCATAATAAATTATACCCATGCCATGTCAATATTTAATTTAGATTCCGCTAGAATAAGCCATACATTAGAGCAATAACAGTAGCATAGTAATAAATAATAAATAAAGAAAAGGGGATTTGCTTATCAGTGTCTTGTGTGATTAAGAAATTAAAATAAAGAGTTTTTTAATGGAAATTATTCAAAAGTACATTTCATGTACTTCAATAAAATAAAAAGTGTAAACGAATAAAGAGAAGGGTAATGTGGTAATTTAGCGGCATTATTCTCATGAAAATGAGATTGAGAACAGTGAAAGAGAAGCACTGAGACAAGGGAAAAGAAGCATATAAATTTGCAGTCCCCGGGTTCAACGCCCTCGTTCCACCGTCTCGCGGTTTTTTTTTTCTTCCTTTCCGTAAATTTTAGATTCCCATTGCACGAAGAAATCGTTTCATACCCTCAAACTCATTTTCCACGCAGATCTTCTTTCCTCTGCCCTCAGGTGAGTGAAATTTCACGTGCATTTCAATGGCTTCTTCCTTTATGTACGTGAAATTTCTTTCACGTACATATACATACATATATACATGTATAGACACACACATTTCGTCTTTTAAAATTCTTGTCGTGTTGTATTGTAACTCCATCTTTTGTATCTGCGTTCTCCCTTAACTGAGTACTTAGTTTGAGCTTGCCCTTCCTTGTACTTCTCATTTTGTTTATTTAACATTTATCTATCTGGGTCTTTCAGATCTGACGCAAAAAACATGGAGTCTTTTCGTCGATTTAGAATGTGGGTATTCGTTTTTCTGTGTTTAATGTTTCAATCTGGAAATGGGTTTTACCTCCCGGGTAGTTACCCTCACAAGTATGGCATTGGGGATGAGTTGTGGGTGAAGGTGAATTCTCTGACTTCAATTGACACAGAAATGCCCTTTAGTTATTACAGTTTACCATTTTGTAAGCCTGAGGGTGGTGTCAAGGACAGTGCTGAGAATCTGGGTGAACTCCTTGTGGGGGATCGGATCGAGAACTCGCCTTATAGGTTTAAGATGTACACCAATGAGTCTGAGATATTTTTGTGTCAAGTGGATAAGCTCTCTGATGACCAGTTTAAGATCTTGAAGAAGAGAATTGATGAGATGTATCAGGTTAATTTGATACTTGATAATTTGCCTGCCATCAGGTTTACCAAGAAGGAGGACTACTTTTTGAGGTGGACTGGGTACCCTGTTGGTATCAAGATTCAGGATGTGTATTATTTGTTCAACCATCTGAGGTTTAATGTCCTTGTCCATAAGTATGAGGAGACCAATGTGGCACGTGTAATGGGCACCGGTGATGCGGCTGAAATGATCCCCACCATTGGAAAGGAGGGATCCGATAAGCCTGGTTACATGGTTGTTGGGTTTGAGGTCACACCTTGTAGCATTTTGCACAATGCTGATTCAGTTAAAGGGATGAAAATGTATAACAAATACCCGACGCCGATCAAATGTGATCCGTCCACAGTGGGGATGCCTATCAAGGAGGGGAAGCCGGTTGCATTTACATATGAAGTCACCTTTGAGGAGAGTGATATCAAGTGGCCATCTAGATGGGATGCCTACTTGAAGATGGAGGGGGCCAAAGTTCACTGGTTCTCGATCCTGAATTCGCTTATGGTGATCACTTTTCTTGCTGGTATTGTTCTTGTTATCTTCCTGAGGACTGTTAGGAGGGATCTGACCCGATATGAGGAGCTTGATATGGAGGCACAGGCACAGATGAACGAAGAATTATCTGGTTGGAAGCTTGTTGTGGGGGATGTTTTTCGTGCCCCAACAAATCCTGCTTTGCTGTGTATAATGGTTGGGGATGGAGTTCAGATTCTGGGGATGGCTGTTGTCACAATTTTGTTTGCTGCACTTGGATTCATGTCACCAGCCTCTCGTGGAACACTTATCACAGGTATGCTGTTTTTCTACATGATACTTGGTGTTGCTGCTGGTTATGTTGCAGTTCGGCTGTGGAGGACAATCGGCTGTGGCGATCAGAAGGGATGGATTTCCGTGGCGTGGAAGGCTGCTTGTTTCTTCCCTGGTATCGCCTTTTTGATCCTCACAACCTTGAACTTCCTCTTGTGGGGAAGCCACAGCACAGGAGCCATTCCATTTTCACTGTTTGTTATACTGATTTTGCTTTGGTTCTGCATTTCTGTTCCCCTTACCCTTATTGGTGGACTCTTTGGAGCAAGGGCACCTCACATTGAGTATCCAGTTCGAACCAATCAAATCCCTCGAGAAATTCCCCACCAGAGGTACCCATCATGGATTTTGGTTCTTGGCGCTGGCACCCTTCCATTTGGTACCTTGTTCATCGAGCTCTTCTTCATCATGTCTAGCATTTGGATGGGTCGTGTTTACTATGTATTTGGATTTCTCTTAATTGTTTTGATTCTTCTTGTGGTGGTGTGTGCTGAGGTATCTCTAGTTCTAACCTACATGCACCTGTGTGTGGAGGAGTGGAGATGGTGGTGGAAATCATTCTTTGCCTCTGGTTCTGTTGCCATATACATCTTTTTGTACTCCATAAACTACCTTGTATTTGACCTCAAGAATCTAAATGGGCCTGTTTCTGCAACTCTTTACTTGGGATACTCCTTATTCATGGTTCTAGCAATCATGTTGGCCACAGGCACAGTTGGATTCCTTTCCTCATTCTGGTTCGTCTATTACTTGTTCTCTTCGGTCAAGTTGGATTGAAGACTCTTCACAGGCAAAATACATACAACAGTTTTTAACTCTGAAATGTTCAATTTTATCATGTTATACTTCGTTTCACTAGGGAACGTAGCAAATTTCATTACAAAATAATTTTATCCAGTTTTTTTGCTTTCTTCATTGTTAGATATAATAATATCATTGTGTGCTAAATTGGAATTCTGAAGTTTATAACATTCTAGTCGTTTATTTTTTTTATTTTAATTCTTGTTGTGGCATGGTTTGCATATAATCAGGTACTCATTCTACATTAATAACTATTTTGTAATCACATGTAATTGGGCATGTTTCCAGGTACGTCATGATGAGTAGTACTAGGAACCATTTTAAAACGAGCAACATTATAAGAATTAGACTAATTTCAATTTTATTGGTATGAGTATAATTAAAAAGATATTTTGTCGATACTCATGAGAAGTGTTTCTCATAGTCTTATTATGGATGCTGTGACACAGTATTTTCCCATTTTCGCACTAAGGGTTATTAATGGAGAACTTACTAGGCACAAAATACTTTTAAATTCAAATTTCTAAATCAGATTCAGGTAGGTCGTATCATTCAACAATTTGAACAACTTGAAACTTTATTTGCCAAGTGGAAAGTGTTTCAGAAAAGCCACAAGGATAAACACGAATGTACGTTATTCGCCTCTGCCTCAAATGACAGGATCAACATCTTCTATAGACACAAAATTTAATCATCATAATCATGTTGCACAATTTGAATTATTGTTTTGCTAACACTTTTGTCTTGTTCTGCCAACAATTACCTTGTCGTCGGACAAAAAAAAAACCTTCCCACACTTCTTTTTAGTCTTTACAAATTAACGATGATAATAACTTATAATTTTTTTACTTCCTTATTATATGTAATTACTTATGAAGAAGTATCTAAATAAAACCAAAATTCTAATTAGAGTGCTCTTGCATTTATGCTCAAATCTATATTTGGTTCTTACTATAATTTTGCAAATATTAATTTTGACCCTATAAAATTATAATTATAGATTTAGTCCTTTATAATTTCAAAATCAAGAAATTGTGGTCCGATATTAATATGTCAAGTTACTATAATACTACTTATTCAATAAATTATATATTAATAATATGTATTAATAATTAAATTACTATAATGTCATCTACTTTAATACTTATATATACAGTCATTTTCTATGATCAATTGAATTATTAACTTATAACATTATTTAATTTTGATAAATTGAAGCATCAAATATGTAATTAAAAATTTACATGAATAAAAACCACACATTTTAAAACTATAATCATCAAAATAAATTTAAATATATCTTTTATTGCTTTGTCTGTCATAGATAAAGTCTCATTTTATTATATTTTTCTTGACTATTTATATTGTTAGATGTCTATTATTTAAATTCAATTTTGTGTCCCTCTAATATTTTATTGTATCTTATAGTGTAAAAGAAAGGAAGTCTAGAGTAAATATCCAAAATTGATGTTAATTTTATTAGTGTATGATAAACTGAAATAAATAAATTAGTAAACATAGAAAAATAAAAAATTAATAATTAATATTAATAAAAATATCTCCAAAATTGATGTTACCTTTATTAGTGTATGATAAAGTAAAATCATTAATTTCAGACGAGTTTATTTCATAAAAATACTATAATAATAAATAATTTAATATAAAATAAATTAAAATTAACAAAATATTGAATTAACACATTTTGAATAAAGTAAAGATTTTAGAAAAATATATATTATTTTCGCTATTCCATTACAATAAAGAGATGTATGAAACAATTATATAAGTGTCAAAAGCCAATTTACTAGTCCTGTGCTACTCTCGGTCTTCTACACTTGTATCTTTAACTATGAATTGGTCCTATGTATTTACGAGGTAAACAAGATATGAAAGCTGGTTATATGATAAATTCAAGTTAATAGCACCATCTTTCAAATCTTTTTTATATGGTTTCAAATTAGACAAAAAGGATTGGTACGGCGCAGCGCAGGGCTGGTATCTTGCTAACTTAGAAGCTTCTTGATGAGATGATTTTTTTTTTTTCGGATTGCCAATTTCTGATTCCTTATCTTCATTTAATCAAAGATGGGAACGAAAATTAGCAAGAATATGGGGCAAATATATGCTTATATTCATCTCTAAATGTTTGTTTTCGGATTTAAAAATAAAAAATATTTCTATGAACACAGTAAACTATCAGAGTTTAGTAGACTTAAGCTCGAATTTTTGAGACAACAATAACATCAACAGGATTTGCCAGCACCACTCTACAGAAGTATATATGTCGAATGTAGCAATTATTCCCAGACAACGCTAGTTATCAATATACAACACAAGCAATGAAGTGCACATTTTTAAAACAATAAAGCGAACTAGTTAAGGACATAAATTAGTGCAAAAGCAGAAATCGCAAGCTCGAGTTTCAAACAAAAAACATGAAATTCAGCTAGCAAAGTGAACCAAAATGGATTAGGTTTTAGCCTATTAAAAAAAGGGAGTAAATTAGGGTCACTAAGAAAAAGAAAGCTTCATTGATTGCTTCTTCAATCCAATTCGCTAGAAACCAAGTGTAGATTTTTTTTAGCTTTTACATAGGTTTAGGCAAGTTCTTTCAGGCTGTCCCAACTAAGTTCAATTATGATGTAGTTTTTCTTAGTAGACATCAGACAATTCTACCTTGAGGCTTAAAAATTAAAGCGAACAAATGTTAACTAGCTGGACCAAAAAGGGGGAGAACATCGCAAAGGATTCAGGCACTTCATTCAAACATTTTATTTAGCTTTTCCGTTAGATTTAACAACAAAAGAGGTAGCATACCACCGGTAAAAAAGTTCAGTATCCCCCTTCGGCATATTCAATTCAAAATAGGGTTATTCCAAAAGAAAAAATCAACCAGTTACACTTACTAAACACCCCCATGAAATCAAAACAAATAGTCCCCCAAATAAAGCTATCTTTGCATTGTGTATAGGACATGAAATCTGTAATTCCCCAAACACAGTAAGAAACGGGCGACAATATTTTCAATGCAATTTCCAATTCCATGATCCTCAAGAGAAATCCAAATCAGAGAACTATAATTCCATGATGCACAAAAAAAAAAAAAAAAATACACACTCCTACTACTAGAAACTTTGTTGCATTACTAATATAAGTTTCACCACTATATTATCAATATGATAATAAGAACATTAGACAAACACCACCTAACAAACACACACAACAAACATCAAACTTGCTTCTACCATCCGAAATCCCCATCAACTACACCTTCTAGATTCACATATATCAGACCGATGTTCCCATTTCTTCTACCCATCCTTCCGTCTTTAACAGAGTTAAAACTAACGGCAACACTACTTAACTAACTAACCCCCTTTAAGAAACTGTAGCACAAATCTCCTTCACTAACACCACGTTGCATCTCCGCTTCTTCTTCACATGCCCGAAACCTGCGGCTATCCTCTTGAAAAAATAAAGGAAGCGCGTCAGAGACCATACGAGCAATCATCATACACCAACAACTAATCATTCCAAATTAGAAGAGAATATGCAAACACCGAAATCATCGAACTAATCATTCCATATCGAGTCGCAGCAACCGCCGCAGATCGCTGGTGGCCGCGCCGTTGCGCCCTACAAACCCCGGTACCGGAACGGAACTCGGATGCGGCGATGAAACGAACGCCGATCCCGCGTACACGCCGTTGTTTGGATCCGAAACCCTAATCTGCTCCCGCACGATTAGAGGATCCGGGCCCAACCGGTCCGTCGAGCCCAATAACAAATCCAGGCCCATCTCCCTCTTCGATCTAACCTCGGGATGATTGTTCTGTAGTATCAATTTCTCGCCACGCTTCAGGATCTTAACTTGTCCCATGACGAGATTCGCCGGCGATCGGTCGGATCGACGGCGGTCACGATCTGTGACCGGACTCCGCTTCCGGCGGTTCTTCTGATGGGCGGAGGAGGTGAAGGTATGGTTGTGGGTGGGGTTAGAGTTTCTTCGCGACGCTACGCGTGACGTGGCGATGGCGAAGGCTTCGTTGGGAAATCGGCCTTGGAGGCAATCGTGGGAACGAAGAATGGCTGTTCCCATTTCTAGAGAGAGAAAGATGGAACTCGTTTTAGGGAGAGAGAAAACGAGATGTTTTCTTTTTCTTTTTTCAGGTGAAGGTAGAAATGAACGGGGCACGAGTGGTTATTTATAGAAGATTTTGAATTATTTTATGAATTGCGTGAGCCGGATTGAACCGCCCTTTACTGGGTGGTTGGGTTATTGGTTACCCAGTCGGGTTTGCGTGTGTTTGATTAGAGTGTGAAAGCTTGTAATATTTTTGAATCGATTCGTTGTTGATGTTACAACTCACCCTTTCTTATCGACACGTGTCGGGACCTTTAAAGGATGGATTGGTAAGCGGTTCAGGTAAGAAACCGCCTTTCAAGGTTCACATGATCCTGGCCGTCCATGCACATAAATATCTACATTGTTTTTACAGGTGTCAGTTTCCTACTCGGGCGTTAATGTCATCAACTTTTACGTCTTATTTGTTATTATTTTTTAATGGACATTACCATATTTAATGGAGCAGTCTGATTTTATCCTTGCCTAATTAAGTTAAATCTTGTAGCTTTTTGTGAGAAGAAATGTTACAATATTATAACATGTCCGGATAAAAAAAATTATGTCCAGACAATATTTTATTAAATATTACAAAGAAAAAGAAGAAATCACTTAAAATTGTGAAAATTTAAAATTTATTTTCATCAAAAATTTTATTTATAGGCATTATGTTGTGTTTATTTAAATTCTTTATTTATTTTGAGTAGATGGATTATAAAGAGGAATAATGAAAAAGGAGAAATTGAGTAGTTGAATTAAACAAAATAATTAAGAGAGAGAAATTAAATAGATAAATTATTAAAATAAAAAAGTAATTAATGTTTATTATGATGCACACACGTTAGTCATACTGTATATTATAAAATTGTTTAATTTATATTAAAGTTAATTTTTTTAAGATACATCGCATTATATGTTTAACCTATCTTTTAATGATTAAATTTATCAAAATTCACAAATTTAATATTTTATATATAAGATTTAATTACATAAATCTATAAAAATATTAATTTGTATGATTTATGAAAAATATTACCAATATTTTTAACTATAACATTCTCTTCACAAAAAAATCATTCAGATGTTTTACTTAAAAAGAATATTACTAATTTATAAGGTATATAAATCATAAACTTATGAATTATTGTATCGGTCACATACTAAATGGAAGTTATGTTTGATGTAGTATCTTTATCAGGTAGTTTTCAAAGTAAGAAGAAATAAAGATTCGAAAATGGAAGTATTCAAATATATAATTTTGAATATGTGAGAGAGAAATAAAAGATCAACAATTATTTTGAGTGAAGCGCATAGATACCAAATTGGGGCTGGGGTAAGGAGGAATTGGTACCCATCCTTGACCCCAAACTTGACTTTTGTAATCAAGGAAAACTTAAACTATTTTATTTTATTTTTCAAACTCATGATGATTGCGGTCCCTTTTGGATGGGATTGTTTGTCATCCATAATCTCTATGTTTAATATGTGTTATGTTTTTTTAATTCTTCCATTATTATTAATTTCTCAATTTATTTTCTTATGCACAACAAATTAGTTGGAAGTAAATACAAAGGGTTTATTTTTAAATTATAAATAATATAAGGAATAATATAAAATTAGATTATGTAAAAATTTATGATTTATTTTAAAATATTTTCGTTTGAATCACTAATTTCATTTAATAGTTTTAACCAAATTCCATTATTCCAATTAAATTTTAATAAATGTTTCTTATTTTTTACATATGTTTGTTATTTGTGCTGCAAACTTATTAATGAAAATAAGAAAAATCTCATTTTACTTTATTTGAAAGGTTGATGTTATTTTATCTGTGTAGTCACAATCTTATTTTTTTATTCTAATTTTTAAGATATTTTCAGGTTCAATAAAGTTTTTCTTCTTCTTGCAAACTAGTTATTTTTCTGTCTTTTTTTTTAAATTCCCTATAAAAGGTTTCTTGCACTTGATTTTAAGATACAACTTTTCACAAACTTTATTGAATTTACTCTTTTGATTTATGCTTTCAGAAAATAATGTTTACAAAATTCATTAATATCTTTTAAAGTCCATAATCAAGTAGTAGTCATCACCATTTTGATTAAATTCTGGCTAGATTTTAATAATGAGAAACGTTACATAAGTATTTTTTTCAGACAAGAATAATTAAGTCCATTAAGATAGTAAAATTTTTTCTTATTATTTAGTAGTGTTTTTTTAAATCCTTGATCTTTACTAAGTAACATTTAATTTTAAAGAATTTGTATCTAAGTTTATTATCAATCAAATCATTTCTTATAAATTATTCATATAATGCTTTTAAAATAGGTGAAGTTTGTGATAGTTCATGAAATTGATTTTATCTAACTACTCTCCCAAATTATAATATTATTCATCTAGGTTCCAATCATTCTACAATAAAATTCATCAATAGTCTTATAAGTTTTTAATTAATTTTGTATTTAACCAAAGTCAAATTCAAACAGTCTGACTTTGTATTGACTCTGAGGAACATCGTCAAAGGTAAATCGATGTCTTCTATTAAACTTTGAAGAGATATTTTTTAATCATATTAATTTTTCTAATTTAACAATAAAATATTAAGACACTGATTTCTGTGTAACTTTATAAATTCAATATTAAACTATTAAAGGTAGATATTAACAATATTTATGAATATCCTGATAGAATTAAATAATACATATTTTACTTCCAGAAATTAATTAAAAAATATACAATTTTTTTATCTGTAGACTCTAAAATAAATTTAGAGTATCAAATTCTAATAAATTAATTAATCATAAATTACTTTAAAAAACATATTATTTTTTCCTAACTAAGAGTGGACGGATTCCTTATTAAGTAATAAGAATTCCATAAGTATATTTAATTATATTCAATAGCCATTTTAATAATTAACTTTTTCATTAATATAGTATAGGCAAATTAATATTTTTTTCTAAAAAATTTGATAATGACAAATTAAGATAATATTAATCATTAATAAACATGATTTAATAATTTTAATAATCACATCATAATATATAACATTTTTATATACAAATTAATCTAATAATATTCATAAAAAATATTATCATATATTTTTTCGAATTATTAATATTTTATTTATTATAATTTTATGATTAAGAATGATTTAGATTATAATTATAAAAAAATTAATTAAAATTTCTGTTATAATAATTAATCTTATAAAACTTTGTTAAAATAATTATTATATGAAATAATATATATATATATATATATATATATATAATATAATAAAAAGTTACTATGATAAAAATTTAAATATTTATATCTTAATTAAATATTGTTCACGTATAATTTTTTCGCTAGTATTTTTGTTTAAAATTTGTTTTACATTAAATCTTTTAAATTTATGTAAAAAGATGACTACCACATGAAAGGTCGATAAGGTCAATGAAAATATCAATTTTAACTTTTGGAAGCCTTCTTCAAGAAGTAAGAAGGATGTCTCTCTCCAAATAAGTTGCACATTGAAAGAAAAACATTATAAAGTAGCTATCTACAGTTTTTTTCAAAAAAATAATTTTTTTTGAAAGAAGACTTAATTTGAGTTGTGGTTAAAGTTAACAAATCTTTCCATGACAAAATCATTGATATGAAGTTGTTGAAGAAAAGGCATTTTAAATTGTTTGTTAAAGAAAATATATCCTGATAAATTCAAGGAATAAATATGTTTTTATTATTGTATTTTTTATTCAAAATTGACTTTAATATTTATTTTTAAATTAATTAATTCAATCCTCAATTTTTTTTGAATATTTTATTTTAGTTCTTTTAATACCTACGTTTAGTTTTCAATGATATTTTTTTATAGTCACAAATTTATTAAAGTGACTACATTTATAAAACATACTATTTTTATATTTTCTTACTTAAAATTAGTTAGAGTAATGATTTTTTTACCATCTCAAAATTAATAAAAAAACTAATTTTATATTTTATAAAAGTTGACAACTTAAAAAAAATATATATATATATATATATATATTAAAATTTAATTAAAAAATAAAAATACATTTAAATTTAAACTTAATTATACTATATGTAAAAATAGAACATGAAGATTTTGAAATGATTTATTAGCGTTTTCTAAACTTAAAAAAAAAGGGTAAAATCTAATTCATAGAAAAGTAACTTCAGCATAAAACATACAACAATTACAGAGAATCATCCTTCTCTTGCATCCATACATTAATCCCCTCAAGCATATGTACAAATTATTACTTGAAGTCTTCCTTCTTTTAAACCATTAAACTTTAAATTCAACAGAACCAATTTCATAAGAAGCTTTGTAACTCAAAGTGGAATACACCTCAAAAGCCCAAACTTTTTTTTTTTTTTTTGTATTATTATGATTATTATAAATAAGATATGGTATATATATTATTTTTTATATTATACATAAATTATACTAGTCAAAGTGTAACTTTTAATATGAGTAGAAAGATGATATACTGCATTGATGTCTTACCAACTAAATATATCCTTTAAAATAAATTAGGATTTATTTCACATCAATTATCTCTGTATAGCATTTATTGTGTTTTTTTTTTTAATATTTTTTGACCCATCGAAATTGTAATAAAACTTAAATAATTTTACATAAAATATAATTTTATTTTTATATTTAAATTGCTATACATAAGTAATATTTCTTATATTTTAAACAACATATATTCTTATAAATATTCGTAAACTTTAAATAAAAACAAAATAAAAATTAAAAATAAAAACAATTTTCTAACATAATAGGAGATATGTGAAGGTTATGAATAGAGGAGTGTCGATATGTTGTATCATGAAGTTGTCTATAGGAGTCGTATAAAAGAAGGGCACGTAATACATAGAAAAAATATATGACAGAAGAAAACTGTTAGTAGGTGTCGTAATGGACGAAAACACTTGACGATAACGTAATGAAGGAGAATGATTGATGATGGTGTTGTAATGGGGGAGAAAACTAATGAAACTAAGGTGAGTAAGTAAGAAATGAGTAAGTAAAAGAAAAAATAAACTAGGTAAAATGGATATGAATTCCTATAAAAAAATGAAGAAAAAAACATGAAATAAATTTATTTTACATTATTGTTTTTCTAATTAAATAAATATAATATTTTAATAATAATGTCTATAATATCTACAAAATTAACATCATGTTAAATTTTACTTAATTTCTTTAAAATCAATATTATATAAGTATGTTAAATCACCTTTTCACAATAATAACTATTGGGTTGAAATTTTGCAAATTAAAATTAGATTTAAGGTTTTTTTATTCCTTCAAACACCTAAAAAAAGTTTAGATAAATCTATACTTTAAATGGTTCTTAATTCAATCTCAACCTTTCTAAATATTGTAATTTAGTATTTTATATATCTTCATTCTGCAATATCTTTCTTTTTTTAACATTATTATTTTTCTAATAACCCAGGTTAAGATAAATCAATGAACTAAATCATCTATAAACTATTCGCTTTTGTGTCGGATACATTGCATTTCTCTTCTCAACCTAAAGCGCTACTTTCTTTTTCTTTTTAAAGAATTGTTAGAAAAGTGCTAGTTTCATTTCGTATCCCATTCAGCCAAATCCATCGTTATTTGATTCGCATTGGAGCAGTGTGTTTCTGCACAATATCATGTGTGAGTGTTTCTACTGCTTTAGATTTTGATTTTGTCATTAATGTTGCAGGGAACAATTAGGGAGGAGCAGGCGGTGGATGTGCGCGGCGAAGAAGGCAATTCCGGCGAGGATCACCCAGGCGTAAAAGTCAATGGAGCTGCGCACGTGAAACGAAATACAATAATAGATGAAACAGTTACTTCATCGGTTGCATACAAACCGAATATTTATTCCATCATGCAAGTTACAATTAATTATTTACTATTTTATTAATTTATCTCCTAATTTCTTAGCCCAAGTCAACTCTTTAAATTATTCGTATTTAATATAATTCAATATTTATCATCAATAATGAAATTTGTAATACTATATTCGCTTTAAAATAATTTTTTAAAAATATTTTCTTTAAAAGTTTCTGCAACTTTCAATATTATTTATAATGAATTATATTCGTATAATATATAAGAAAGTGCCATAAGTATTACTTAACGAAGAAGTATATTTTACTTTTCAATTTAATGAAATGTAATAAAGTAGCAGCAGACAAGTAGAGAAGAAAAGGCTATTTTTAACGAACAAATGGGAAAAAAAGTTAGAAAAACTGAAAAGGGACAAACTAACAGGTGGCAGATTGGGAGTGGCAAGAGGAAGCATCCAACTGGCAATGGCGCGTGGAGAAGCGCGTTGGCTTCGCGTCGCATAATGACAAACGTTTGACGGTCAGCTCAACCTATACCAGCTCGTATCTCACCATCTCCAACATAGAGTGGGCCCCATCAGCCTACCCAACATAGTGGGCGTGTCACAATGAAAACCAACCGTATGATTAATTTCATAACCGGAGACATTTATAAGGATAACGAAACAAGGGAGAAGAATCCGGTCACGTGTGTGGTGTGTAGTGCAGCAGCCCCGGCAGCGTGAGATGGACGCGGTAGCAACAGGTTCGGAGCTGAATAAGTCCGGGAGCGGAGGTTCGGAGCGGAGCGATGACAGCGGAGGAGGAGGGATATTTGAGTACTCTGGCTGGGTTTACCACTTGGGAGTCAATTCCATTGGCCATGAATACTGTCATCTCCGATTCCTCTTCATTAGGGGAAAGTATATCGCTATGTACAAGCGTGATCCTCACGAAAACCCTGGCATCGTAAGATTGCTCTCTCTCTTCTCTTCTAATCTTCTCTTACTTTTTCGATCCAAACGAAGTCATCTAAGTGGATTCGTTTTGCTTTCGAGTAAAATGGAAATTGGAACCAGTTTACTGAAGCTCGTTACGATTAATGTTGCTGCTGCTGATTTGAAATTGAGAATCGTTTTAGAATGAAGGACTGAGAGTTTTGTAGTTGGACGGATTAATTATAGTTTCGAATGTAGAATGTAGGTATTAATCAAGTAGGAATGTTGATTGCAATACATAATGTATCATCGCTGTGATATATGATTGAGAATTGCGCTATGCTACGTTCGGTTGCTAACACTTGAAAGTAATTGGAAATAGGGATCGCAGGGTAATCGATGATGTGTACCAGAGACAATTTACTATTCAAGTCGAATTTGCTCGATTTTCATCGGATGTCTTTTAGTATCGTTTGTACTGAATGGATTTTTTAACACTGTTCTATCTTAGATCTGTGGTCCTAAGGCTGTGTTAGGATTTTTGCTTAAGTGTGGAATGGAGAGGGGCGGAGTGAAAGGGAATGATGTTCCATTATTTTCGTTCTCTATTTTTTTTTTTTTAGATTATAAAATGACTGTTATATCTTTCAAAATTTATCCTCATCATCAGCTATTTAAGAATATGTTTAAAATGAAGATAATATTCGAATTAAAAAGTTATGGTCCATTTTTATTCTTTTCAAAAGTGGAATGCATTCTCTGATCTATTTTATTCCAATGTCTACCGCTAATCTAAATATAGCCCAAACTGAAATCATCATCAGAACTAATTTTCTTCAACTTTACTACTAAAACAGATAAGTAACATTTCTAAGAAGGCGCTATCATAGAAAAAATGAAGACTCAACTGGCTAGGTGAAATATTAATCAGTTGAGCTAAAGGGCTAAGCAGGCTCGTTGGCATTCCTTGCATTTTTGTCTATAAAAGAAAATATTTATTTAGATAGACTATAGTTATATTTAATTGATCCTACATACTATTTATTTCAATGTTGGCATTCTTTGCATTTTTGTCTATGAAAGAAAATATTTATTTTGATAGACTGTAGTTATATTTAATTGATCCTACATACTATTTATTTCAATATTTTTTTTATTAATTTTATTGTTTACTATTTTTTTCTTCAAATGTTGGTAATAATGCCATTCAATCATCTTTCCCCTTGACTTTTATCTCTTTCTCTCTCTCTCTTTCTGATGAGGAACTTTTATCTCTGTTTTTTCAACAAACAATTAGTTAATGATAAAAGTTTCCTCCGTGCAGAAACCAATTAGGAAAGGAGTTGTAGGACCCACGCTAATGGTGGAGGAGCTAGGTCGTCGAAAGGTCAACAACGGGGTAAAATACTATCTGTTGTTATGAAATTAAACTTTTCGTGCATTGGTTTTTATGGAATACTCTCTCTTCGACGTATAAAAATCTCACGATTTGAGTGTACGTGCATGTTTTCTTATGTTCTAAATTTGATGGAAGCTAAATGTTTTCTGTTTTCTTCCCCAGGATCTTTATGTTTTACGGTTTTACAATCGATTAGATGAGACCAAAAAAGGAGATGTAAGTTATGTTTTTGAATTGTTTATTCTAATAATTGGTGATAATTGGTAGTGGTTGATAACTCCAACCGTGTACATGCCATGCAGAATTTTTTTGACAGGTATAACAGCTTAGGAAGAATTCAGGATTGATCTTGTAACTTGTTAGTCTGCTGAGTATAATACAGAAGGATAAACTTCCCTTTTCTGTAGATTGTAAAAGCTGCATATCATATGTTTCCTTAAGATAACATAATTTTTGTTACTATGATGCTTCTTTTGAAAATTAAAACAATAAAACAGAACATACGTTTCAAAACGGAAGCGCTATGTGCACAACATTTTTTTCTTTTTTTTAACCAAGATTGATGTGGATTACTTTCCTCCCATTGCATTTTTCAGGTATAATGTTAGTGTAGTAATTCATTAATTCCCCAACAAGCAATAATTGCAAAATACCCTCTAGGATCCACCTAGTGGTAGGGAGGTTGGGTAGTTTGCATACCGAGGTCAAAATCTCATTGCCTTCATTGTACACACAAAAGAATTGCAAGATCCTAAAACCATGAAGAGTGGCTCAGTTCCCAACCTGAGTTCCATGTTGACAAATTTTTGCTTTCAGTAGTTTTTTCTTAGAGTGCGGGGGTTCTGAACTCATTTGAAGCACCTTGTGGTCCAGGCCAAGCCAAAACCCGAGTGGCAGAGGATTGGTCCCACACCTTGTGATCTTACCTAAAAAAGTGCCAAACCCCTCAGCATACAATTGAATTATGAGGGAATCCAACAAAGCTGGAACTCTTGATAAAAGTAGTTCAAGTTTTATTTTTCCTCCATAATAAATATTCTCAACTGTAGTTTCTTATTTGGAGTTGTCCCTTAATTACATCGTAAGCATCTGTTGCCACACTTGTTATGGGTAGGGTCGTCAAAATGCTTCACTAAATACCCAGAATTAAACTTTACAACATAAACTGTACCTCAAGTTTTTTTTGCTGGAAACGTTCAATATAGTTTCTTGATTCAACAATTGCACTAGAATGCAAATTTATCTGCATCTGCGTCTGTATTACAGAGCTTATTAATTTAGAATCTAATGAGCCCCCTCATGGAATGGGTGTTATACTTTTTATTTTTATTTTTTTTTCCTTTTTAGTATAATAGAAATAAGTTTCCTTTTCGTGATCATTTTCTTCAAGATTGCTTGCGCTACAGCAGGGGAAGCTAGGGGCTGGATGGAAGCATTTGATCAGGCTAAGCAACAGGTATGGAAAAATAACAGGAAGGTTGTGTTTATATTGTGAGTATTGTGTTTGTTATTGGTTTGAGTTATTATTGTTAAAACACAAGTCTGATCGAGATTGAAAGTTTATTTCTAGGGTAGGGGGATTGGATTGGAAATTTTTTTATTTTTCAAACAAAGGTTTCCCTAATATGGGAGTAGTTTGCTATCTGAAAGAATTGGGATGTCATAAAGCTGTATGGCATTTGGCATAATTTGTGAATGATTTTAATTTATGGGATATATGCTATTTGTAGGCCGAGCTTGAGCTGTCAAGAGGAATTAGTGCCAGAGACAAATTAAACATGGAGGCCGAGTATGCTCCCCCCTTTTGAAATACATTTCTTAGAGTACCATTATTTGGATTGTCTTGTTGGTCCTTGAAATAATACGCCTTTTTCTTATTTTTCCCATTATTTTTTCCTTACAAAATCTAAGAACGATAACTGCTTACAGTTAGATATTACTGTTTATGTTATAAGTATGTGAGTTATGCTTAAAGAAAGACCTGCACTGTTGTTGTTGTGTCACCTTTAGGTGTTCTGTTCTGTCTGGTAGAGGCTGTCTTTCTATTAGATAATTTTACACAAATTTACATATCATTGCTCTTTATGTTATGGAAGGATCAATCTTGAAGGACATCGACCTAGAGTGAGGCGATATGCACATGGTTTGAGGAATCTTATAAGAATTGGCCAAGGTACAAAAAAAAAAAATCCAATCATAATATATTCATCATGTGGAGTGCTTTTGAGGCATTAACATGCTTAATTGATTTAATTGGGCGACATATTCTACCTATTATACATCTTGGGGAGTATAATGGGGCATCTATTTTCTTTCCTATTTTAGTACAACAACAATAGCCTTATCTCACTAGGCGAGATTAGCTTCATGGATTAAACAAAGTCCCTGGGCTTTGTTGAAAACCAAAATTTTAAGAATATTATTCATCACGAGATCCTTTACAGTAATTTATTCTAATGTACTTCATGGTCTCTTTATCCCTTTACACAAGTTAAAATTTGTGATTTACTTTCTTCATTGGTGCCTTTAATGACCTTCTTTGCATGTGTTTAAACCACCTTAACTGATTTGTCACAAGAGAGGAAATAAAGGCACATTCAGCATAAACCACGTGCTAGAAGACACCACAGATGCATGATTACATAGGCTTATTTATTACACATGACCAAAGGATATTTTGTTTACCCTAAATGAGATATTCATGCCTATAAACTAAATTTATTATAATAAGATCGAAAATATTTTATTATGATTCTCAATATGATTCAATAGGTGTCATTCCAATATCTCCATGTATACAATCATTCTAGCTATATCTTATCCTTTCTTGTGTGGCTATGCATCCTTTTTAACACACTCAATTTTTCTATTAACTTTTTTTCTCTTCCTAACCTTTTAAACTCTTCATTCACTACCGGTATATAGTTAGTTGGTCATAAAACATTTTGATAAAACTCCCCTTTAAGTAAGTGTGTATATATATATATATATATATATATATATATATATATATATATAGATAGATAGATATAGATATAGATATAGATAGATAGATAGATGGATAGGTATCATGGTACAAAAAGATGAGTTTAGGCTCATATATTTAGTTGCTTTAAGTTGGTGCATATAAATCATATATACTAAATATGTTTAAAATATAATCAATTCAAAGACTCCATAATGATTTGGTGAAAGCATATGTCAATAGATCATTGGAATTCACAAATTGAGAGACAATGTCTCCAAATATATTTTTCTCACAAATGAAGTGACAATTTATCTCAATATGTTTAATCATTTCTTGGAATCCTGAGTTTGAGCCAATATGTAAGACAACTTGGTTGTCTCAAATTAGAGTTATGTGTGTGGCCTCCCCAAATTTTAGTTCTTTAAGCAATTGTTTGAGTCAAATAAGCTCACATGTAATAGAGACCATAGATCTTGCCATTACATTTTGCTTTGTACTTTTTCAAGGGATCAAATTGTCACCAATGAAGATAAAATATCCAAATATGGATCTCTTGTTAGAAGGAGAGGTTGCCTAATCTACATCTGAGTAACCCATAACTCAAGTGCAATTATTGTTACCATATAGCAAATCTTTCCCTAGAACACCTTTAATATACTTCAAAATGTGAATAACTACATTCCAATATCTTGAACATGGAAAATTGAGAAACTGACTTACGACATTGACTACAAAAGAGATTTTAGGATGAGTAACCATAAGATAATTTAATTTTCCATTAGGCCTTTTGTATTTCTTAGGATTAAGAAGTGATCCCCATGTCTAGGTAGAAGTTTTGTATTTGGGTCCAGGTGTGTCAATAAACTTGAATTCATTAGTTCAATTTCTTCTAAAACATCTAATGCATACTTTTTTGAGAAATAATAATTCCATTGTTGGATTGTGTTACATTGATTGCCAAGAAATATCTTAGTTTGTCAAAGTGTTTTGGTTAAAAATGATAGAAAAGGTATTTTTTATTTGTAAGATGTCATGACATACACTACCAAGTAGATACACCCACTATTTAAGTGACGATAAAACATTGAATGATATGCTTCGCTTCGAGTCATGCTAAATTGTTGGATCACTACGTGGAATCTACCAAACCATGCCCTCTATGACTGGTTAAGACTATAGCGACATACCATTCTAGAAAACTCCCCTTAAGCAATAAAATTAGGAGGTTGCTCCATGTAAATTTTCTTCAACAAATCACCATGAAGGAAAACATTTTTGAAATCTAATTGATAAATGGGTCAATGATGAAGGATAGCCATGACAAGGAATATGTGGACAATAGCCATCTTGATGACGTGAGAGAAGATGTCACCATAGTCCAACCCAACTAGTGTCTAGGAAATTGTTTCTGACTATAGTGATCTTTTCATCTTACAAACACAATTCCCTTACCAAGAACCTCAAAACCTCATGGCTATCTCATCAAAATCCTCCAACCGGCCATGGAGGAAGGGCCATTTTCTTGTCAAGTTGCTCCAGTTCCATGTCTAAACATTACTACTAGAGCAAATAAGATTTCTTCTACACTTCATCTCTTCATGCATAACAACTACCCACTTTTCTGCTTCAGATATTTCCATATTTCTTTTGTTATGGAGAATGATATGAGATTTCCCACCTTATGTGGTTCAATTGAACCTAATATCTGAGATCTAATCCATGCATCTTCAGCCTTCCATTTTTGACGTTTTCAGTTGTCTTTAGGAGGTGGACTAGACTTATCAATATGCCTCCACACTTCCTTCCTTTTCACAAATATTTTGAATTGAAATTCCCACTAAAATAATTCCTCCCATTGAATCATTCGATAGAATTTTTTCCATACATGATTAACTAATAGGATCAAATTCTCACTAAACAAGATATCAAGAATTTGAACGTGAAATAAGAACCCAAGAAAAATTTGGACTGAAAAGTGCACAACGGAAATTCTTAAAACATAACAAAAGATTTAGATTTTAGAACTGAAACTAGAACTATATCAAATTTGACTGCATGCCCTTCATCATCGAGAGAATCCCATTTTGTAATAATTTTAATGTTATACAAGAAAACTTTGCTTATAGCTATGCAAGGAAACCTTGCCGCATACATGACTAATCAAATTTGACTGAATACCCTTCATCATTTAGAGAATCCCATTTTGTAAGAACTTTAATATTATACAAGAAAACTTTGCTTATAGCTATGCAAGGAAACCTTGCCGAATACAGGACTAATTTACAGCTATTCAAATCTGTCAGTTAATGAAATAAAACAAGTATATAACTGTTCAAGTTTGTTGAGAAATTATGGGGCAATTAATAAGGAAGAAATAAATTAGGGATTTAGCTAATCTTGTTGACACAAAGCACTCCATTTTATCTCCTATTTCAAAAGGAGGAAAATTTTGCAGTATCAATTTGCATTAAATATTGTGGGTTGATAGTTCTGTAAGTATGATTCTAAATCAATGACGATAGTGTTTTTGCAAGGAATCCCATCTAATTTCTATAATTATGGTAGGGTTGTTGCATTAACATTTTATATCTTGTATGCTTCTCTCTTTATATTACCAGCTTTTTTAATCAAAAGGATAAAATACTATTGCTTCACTATACAGGTTGTAATCCTAACCAAGTTAGCACTACAACCTGTATCAATCATATGCAGAATTTTAATACGGTTAAAAGAAAAAGAAATACAGAAGTGGAGGGACCAAATCAAAACCCACTAAGAGAATCTAAAATGTGGGAGACCACAACTATCTCTACAACAATTAGAGACAAAACAAAAATATATTTCTAGCTATCTTACTCTTGTTTTTCTTTTTGAAAGGCCCAGAGAAATTGTTAAGACAATCATCAAAGTTGTCTACTAGAACAGATGGGTTTGAAGGGGATGGAGGAGATGCAGTTGAAGCTCATCAATGGAAATGTGTTCTTACTTTGTCTGGTATTTTTCTTCCACTGAGTTATTTTGCAGCCTATTACAAGGCAGTTTTTTTTTTTTTTCTCAATACAGTTTTCAGTTGTGTGATTTCTTGAGTTAATATTGATAAAAATTATTTGATCCAACGGATCCAAAACTGTAATAAACACCCCTTTTGAGGAACTTGAGGTTGAGAATGTAACTAAAGGCTCTTCTTTAATGACAACATCTGCTTCTGGGTTTGAATAGAGGATGTTGTGGAGGCCGGACTGTGTGGTAATCAAATCACTTTGCATCAGGGGAGAAAATTTTATGTCTTGTAGTCTTTTGCCATATAGAAATATTTCATTTATTAGAAAAAAGTGAAAGAATGGTAAAAGTAACTCTACAAAGGAAGAAAACATTGGTTTTTTTTGGGGTAAAACATTGGTTTTCTTTGCATGATTTGATTGTCAAACTCTTAAATACAAACAAATATGCTTTTATTTGTGGCCTACTTGTAATTCTTATTTATGTTAGTTTCAATAGAAAAAAAGATTATAGTTGAATCTATCCTTATACATCTAGATGTTTCTTTTGTTTGTGGTTTCAGGTATTAGAATTTTTGAGGATGTTTCTGATCACAAGGTTTCTACATCTATTCTTAAACCACTTCTTTGGGCAGGGGAGGGAGGACCTGGGCAGTACTGATTATTAATTTATTTCTTGAAAACTAGTTAGCTTTCCATCACCTCTGTTATTCTAACAGGAGTTGTAAGAGTATAACACTGGTCTCATTGCTGATTCAATTATTATCCAACACTTGTTTCTGTATTGATATTTGCTTGTAATGCTTGAGCAGCATAAGCGGCTTGATGGAGTGAATGACATCACAAGCTTCTAATACACATACACATAAATTGAAACTTGTCATTCTAACAGAAACTAATGGCTAATTGAAAATACTAACAGTGAAGAGCTAACAGTACAGCATAAAAGGCTTGGAATAAATTGAACAATAGCTACTGTATTTTTAACCTTGCTTAACACAATTTTCTTGTAGTGAATGGGTGTACGTGTATGTGTTTACCTGCATCTGTTGCTTATAGTCACAACATTGATTGCTAATTACCAGCGACAATTTTCTTACCTCATTATAGAAAATCAAATAGACCTCATTACTAAGAAAAGGAATTTTTTGATACTGCTTATGGAATTTAAAAAGTTGATTTTCTATTTCAGGAGTTAGTCCATATGTGAATCTCTTCTCCCTCAAATCTTCATTTCTGCTTTGAGATTCAAGTGTTTGATTGGCTTGCTAAAATTCTAGTGTTCCTTATCACTATTGATGTTGTTGCTTATTTATTTGGAACATTTTTTGAGACTCTGTTTTTAGCTTCTGGAATAGTTAGCATGTGTTTTCCTATTATGAATGTTTGTCCGACATTGAGAGTTCATGTAGTGGTATACTAGTATCTGCTTGCACCTGTACTTGTAATGTCATAATATTTTCACAAGGTTGGTTTTATATTTTTGTTCTATTGATAAAAGTTGAAAGTACACCTTTATGTCTGTCCTTTATATGGTAAACTAAATGGCTATCATTAAAAACCTTTATGCATCTTTGTAACCCAAAACCTTTTCTTTTCATGCTCATGAATTACCTTGTCTATTGATTCATTAGTTTTGTTAGTGTGTAAAATGTTATCATATGCTTGGTTTATGGCTTCTTTCCTATTTTGTTACATTTACAACAATTGAGATTCAAGTTTTAGTTCATTTTGACAGGACAGATAAATAAGTCTGATTTCTGCCCTGACATTTTTTGTGCTTTGTAGAATTGTAAGACTGTCCTTGCAAAGTCTGTTGGTGTTATTGATGCAACTGCAGATACTGTTTTTGAAGTTATTTTGAGCACTGATCAGCAGAAAAGATATGAGTACGTTTCCTATAGAAGGTGCTTGAGTGTCTTGATAACATATTAGGGAAATTAGTTACTTATATTTTGTTTTTGCAGGTGGGATACATTGATATGCGACTTGGAGCTTGTAGAATCTTATGATGGACACTATGATGTTGTTTATGGGACATATGATTCTAAGTATCTATCCCGGTAATCTATCGATGTTAACATTTTCAAATTTCAAAATTATAGCATTGTAGAGATTGGGTTGCTGTAATATGTGCTCTGTTCTGTAAAGTTCATTATTGTGTGAATTTTTTCAATGACAGATTTCTCATTTGTGTAGATTTTTTCAATGGTGAAAATTTCTGTGCTTGGCTAATATGATTTTCTGTTGACTTTGGTTTTCATTCTGCTAAATTCATGTAAGACATGTGGTAACTTATTTGTGTGAATTTTTCAATGATAGAGATTTCTCATTTGTGTGGATTTTTTCAATGGTAATGATTTGTGTGCTTGGTTAATTTGATTTTCCTGTTGTCTTAGGCTTTCATTCTGCTAAATTCTTCATATAAAGCGTGCTAACTTTTTTGGTGTGTCGGTCAGTCCATTCTATAGTTATTAGTGACGAAATTTAAGTTGCCAATTAGATACAGTTTCATGACATCTCTATCTTTTCCCCAATGGCCTTATTAATTTTCCATCAACAAATAGAAAGAAAGTTTTATTCAAATTACTCTCACTTAATCATGATTTAATTTTTATAATGTTCAGTAAATTTCCTTTTAACCCAGGTGGCACTCAAAGCAGGATTTTGTCTTCTCTCGGCAATGGTTTCGTGGACAAGATGGAACATATAGTAAGAATATGATTGTTGTAATTTCTTGTTTGGAACTTTTGTGACAGTCAAGAACTAGTTCATTTACTTTCACTGCTTGCATAGTAGTAGTATTGTGTATTTCATTTACTTGTAGAAGACTGAAGTTAATACATATTACTTATCAAAATGAAATTTATTTTATTATGTGTATTGTGTCCATATTTTTTAATGATATAAACATGTATTTTTTTTATACATAAGTTTGATACTGTTGTGTTAGTTGTTGTAACCTTGATTTAGATGATCACCATGTGTATTTTTCACACATGCTGGGACAATATAAGGCTAAATATTCTATATATTAATTCTTGCAGCTATTTTGCAATGTCCTGCTGTACATAAGAAAAAGCTTCAAGTACCTGGATATCGACGTGCAAAAGTAAATCGTAAGATGACAATTTTTTGCATTAAATCCTTGGAATTGACTAGTGGTGCTTGGTGGTATTTAGTCGTATCCACATATTATTTTCACCCAATGGTGGAGAGTTTATAGATTTCTCTATGATGGGAACTATCACTCTTTAATTTCAGACTCTCTAGCAACTGATTATAAGAAAGAAAACATGACCACTGATTTATATTTTTTGCCATTGACTAGTTTTATCCCCATACGTGTTGTCTTTTGACTGCAGCATCTTCATGGGAGATTAGAAATTTGAACACATCTATGCCACCGAATAGCCCAAGATGTTTAGTGACCCACACTTTAGAGATAGACTCTGCGTCCTGGTGTCGATGGAAAAACAACCAGAACTCAAAATTTCAGAGGAGCATTCCACATGCATTATTGTTCCAAGTGGCAGGTTAAGTATTTATACTATTGTTTTCATCTTAATATATTTCTCTGAATTTCTAGAATGACTGGCATTTAAGTTGAGATTATCAAAACATTGTTGTCCAAACTTCTTGCTTCTAGTCATCTTGGTAATAGACTTCTCTTGATGTAGTTCTCAATTCTTTCTCAAACTAATTTCTTATTTGGAGTGAGAAAGGCAGGGCTGTTAATTGTGACATGATACAGCAGAAATTATTCTGACATAAAATTACCAGTTTCCTTTTTTATTTCCTTTTTTTGATTAGGAGCTATTTGGAAGAATCGGGAAAGGGAAAGCATGAGAGGAAGGGAGGAAAAACTTTCTTTTAGGTAGTGTAGAATGAGATTCAGAGAGAATTAAATACCGGGCTTGGAGATTAAGTTCTGGTTTAGGAAGAATCTGATTACTTGAGATCCGATCCAATATTAGTAAGACCTTAAGAATTTGGAATCAAGCCAGAGAGGAAGACAGTGAAGGCTCTATTTTATTTAAATTTCGGCATCCAAGTATACAGTCCAACACAGAAGCTATGACCTTTGAAACTATTCAGGCTGGAGTCCATAAATTTATTGGCATGTGACAAAACTATTCATATTAGATTGAACTCCACAAATCTATTAGTTATCTATCACATTGGGCTCTGGAGTTTGAATACTGACATAAGATTAATTTCTACTAATTATTCTGGTACTCTCCTGAACATGTCAGGTTTCGACCTTTAACAAGTTTTCCTCCTTCAAACAATGTAGATACAACAAACTGTCCTATTATCATAATTATATGCTCTAAACCCTAAAGCTATCTTTACAAAAGTAACTCTCGGTTTCAAAAAAATATTATATTCCATTTCAAAACAAGAAAAGGAAGTTTCTTGCAATGCAATGTTGGTGTGCTTAGTGATCAAATTTGTGAATGCCATTCCAGAGGCATTTAATATATGATGCAAAATAATGGGTCAGGTCTGAAGGAATACATTGCTGCCAATCCTGCACTCCACCATGAAAATGCCACCACAGTTGTTCATTCAAAGATCTCTGATGCTTCTATTTCTAGTGCTGAATATGAGGATGAAATGCAGGATGAGTTTTATGATGCAATTACAGCTGATTCGTCAACATCTGATGAAGAAAGTGATGATGATCAAAAACTTGTTCTACAGGTATTCCAGATTCTACTCCCACCAGCTGTGTTATTTGTGTTTGAGTGAAATGATAAAAAGATGTTTTCTTAAGTTCTATAACCTTTTTCCCAAATTATCAGGAGCCAAGAGTCAAACTAAAGAATATTTCATGGGCAATCACAACGTTAGCTTTAAAGCGAACTGCAGGTAGACTTCCCTTTGTTTCTTGATTTTTTGTGGGGGAAAAAGAAGTGAAACTATAATAACATTCTCTACGTACAATATTCTACTTATTTTGACTATCCAATTATTTGAACATATCCTTATTCAACATGAACTTTTATCGCTCCTCAAACACTGAGAATGGACTCAAAAGCACCTTTAGTGGAGTAAATTTTATGTACTCATATAGTACTTACTCCTTTGGCAGTTATTATTCTTAATTAAACAGTTTGGTCTTTTTTTTTTTTTTTTTTTTTATCTCAAAACACTTAAAATAGTAAAAACAAACAAGCCATGTCAGGATTTTAATGGATGGAATACATACTCTTGGAGGCTGAATTTTTTCCCTTTGACAGATAAAAAAAAATTATCAGCCCCCAATAACTTTAAACAAATTCATTGTTTTTTTTTTTTTTTAAATTTATCTAACTAAATTGTATCACTATGTTGACATCACAAATAATATCAATCATTTGGAGCACCCTAGAGTATGATAACAGAAAAAGAAAACAATAAAAAAAAAAAACTATAACAAGGTAGTGGTAAATCTATCTCTAAAAATCTCTCGATTAAGAAATCCATATCCAACCAAATGAAACCCTGAGATCTAGCACCATAATCAGCAAGCTTATCAACACATTTATTATCCTCCCTATGTATATGAGTGGAATGTAAAAGCATATGTTTACTGTTCTCCATACAATTAAGCTATCTATATCTAATTTACCATGGAATCAAATTACTATCATGAAAAGCATGGATGATCAGCTGGGAGTCGCATTCAATCCATAGTTTATAGTCCACCCCTTGGAGATAGCAATTTTCATGGCTAGGATAACCCCCGTAGCTTCAACATATAATGCACAATGGATCAATAAAAGAGGAGAAGCAACCAACATCTAAATTTTTTGCAAATTGTATTAAGTATAACAATAATTTTAAGTTAGAATTGTGATATTTATTAGTTAGAATTAAAATAATTTGTTATTGAGAGAATTTTTTTTGTCAAACAAAACAACAACACGTCGCTTGTTGGTGTTAGCATTCTAAAATTCCCTCAAGAATTATACATATAGTAGTTATGCCATAAATTTATCAAATGCACTAGGTTGGATATTGATTTTTTCCCTTGTTCACACTCTTGCGGTTATGGGTTCAAGTCTAGGAACAAACATTTTTTTTTATTTCCTAAATGTTAAATGTTGAGTTAATACAAGGACTAATATCACGAATTTGAAAAATAAGGGGACCAAAATCGAGCAATTAAAAGTTAAACCTATGTCAATACCTTCTGCCATCACTTCAACTCCACATTAGCACAATCATGTTCCAGAAAACCAAAATCACCCGTAGTGAAACTAAACTACTTGGTAGATGTAATTAGTTACGTGCTTTTATCTAGCACCATTAGCTCTCTGTAATTCTTTATTTTTCATACTGAGAAGATACAAAGGAGAATTTACACAAGAACATACAGAGGTTAAAGGGACAGCTGGTAACAGCTGGCTTACATTTGGCAAAACTAACTATCTAACAGAAAAAATAAATCCCAAGGAGGCAATTGAATATCTGCTCTTGCATACAATATTCACACACACCCACAAACTCAAGGTGGTTGAGTGTTGAGAAGAGACTTCAACACTTTTGAGTTTGTCCCTTAATAAAATTCTGAAAAGCATCTGTTCATTGATCTTGAGCTGGAATGTGCTGACTTGACATTTTCTGGGCTAAACTTTTTCTTTGACAAAGAAAAGATCAATCTCTATATATTGAGTTCTGGCATGTAAAATAAGATTGTGAGCAAAAGCTATAGCACTTTGATTATCACAGTTTGCAATAGGAGTGAGAAAAGGGACTCCAAGTTCAGTGAGAAGAGTTACTTGAGCTAAGCTTTTATATTCAGCCTCTGTACTTGATCTAGCGACAACCTTCTTGTTTTCTGGACCATCATGAGACTAGATTAGGACCAAGAAATACTGCCGCTTCAGATGTGGATTTCCTGTCATCCAAATCAGCTGCCCAGTCTGCATCACACAAGGCTTGAAGAGATAAAATTATGCTGAATTTTGCAGGTTTAAGATGAAATCCATGTTGAATTGTTCCTTTGAGATACCTAAGGATTCTCTTGAACACTAACCACTGAGACGCCAAAGGAGTTTTCAAGAATTGATAGACTTTACTCCCTGCAAAGCTGAGTTGTGGTCCTAGTGTTTGTAGCATATTGTAGAGCTGCAACTACTGATCTGTACAAGGTGGAGTCAGCCATAAGATCAGATCCTGTTTTAGAAAGTTTGCAATTAGTCTCCACTGGAGGAGAGATGTAATTAGCCTGAGTCATTAGTCTTCTGCACTAAGTCTTTGGTATACTTGCTTTGAGTAAGTGGAACAAATCCATTGTGGAGATGTTTGCCTTCTATGCCTAGAAAATAGTCTAATGATCAAAGATGTTTGAGAGAAAAAATATAGACCATCAGGACCCACGAATCCTTGCACCAAGACTTCATTGGGGACCTGCGATTTAACAATGTTCTACAGTGTCATGGGATTCAAAATAGACATTATTATCTTTAACAAACTTACTAACACGGACTAAACTCTTTGTTATGGAAGGTACATGAGGAAGTTGATTTAATGACAAAGTGACATTAGGATTATGTGGAGATATATCGGAAAAAGAAATAGAAGAATATTTAGACAAACCTTAGCCCTTGCCAATGTAAATTTGACTTGGAACTTCAAAGGAACCAAACTGCGGGATATTCTGAGAACTTCTGATTACATCCACAGCGACCCCAGAATCAAGATACGAGCATGTATTGGAAGTATTGTTGAATTAGCAACCATAGATAATGGTTGATGAAGCTGACTTGGTTGATAGACATTAAAACTCCAGGAATTTGGAAATCTTAATTGAGCAGTTACATATTGTGAAGTGTTGTTGAGATTGAGCACAATAACAATTTTGTTGTGAAGTAGGATCCTGATAAACCAAGTAAAGGAGGCTGATACTGTTGATCATATTGACAATAACAATATGAGGTTGTGTGCCCAATACTTGATGCACGCTTGACACTGAATGTGTGAGAAGCGACCTCCACAACTGCAGCTACCGCAGGCATGACTACTGCAACCACCACGAGAGCCACCTGAGAGTTATCTGCATCTCCAATCAAATTGTTTTGCTAAGAAAGTTGAGATGATTTAGTCATTTGAACCGAAGGAAGGTTGAGACTGCATCACCGTGATGGAAGGTGCATTGATATTCATGTTCTGGCAAAATTTTATCAATCTTGTTGCAAGCGCAAGAATTAGTGCTTCAGCATCTTCAATCGCGTTGCATGCCCAAGAAGTAACGCTGAACTCGTGATAACATATTAGAAGAGGAATAGAGAGAATTTTGAAAGAGAAATAGCTCTCTGTAATTCTTATTTTTCATCTGAGTGAGAATATACACAACAATTTATGCTAGAATACAGAGCAGTTGCAGAGACAGCTGGCAACAGTTGGTAAAACTAACTAATTAATGTTAACAACTGCTACCTGGACATGTAACATATGAATAACTTCCAAGGCAATGGAATAACTACTCCCGCGTACAATATTCATAATGCATGTAGTTTCGAGTTCAACTGTTGTCACCCCCAATCTTCTATATACGAAGTTAAATTTTAGCAGAATATTGTTATGCAATTGTTGGTCCTAGGAATTGAATAGAACTTGAAGATCAGAATAAGAAGAAGAGAGGGAATCCCGGGAAAGAATAGATTCTGATTGAATACTGAATTCCAAGATTACAGAAAAAAATTCTTTACAAGATATGAGAGATGATTTTGGTGCCCGTTAGCTATATGTTATTTATAGCCAGCAAACCTCAACTGTCTCAATAACTAATTGATTTACAAATATACTATATATTTTTATTTCGTAACAAATATGAGTTAGACCTGAATGGTTCATGTGAGAGGATTTGTGATATGTGGGATACACTTTGATTTCGAGGACGGAAGCACCTCCACAAGAAACTATGAGAAAGAGAAATGAGGCACAATTCAACGTCCCCCCCCTTCATTCATTCAAACCTCTCTAAATAAAAGCATATCAGCAGTATGTACCTAAACCCTCTAATAGAAATATTCCCACACCCCAAATAATCTTATAATATAACAAACTCCTTCTAGAAGGTCTGAGTCACCACTTCATGAAACTGATATATTCCCTTATTTGTCACGTAATTTTCAGCTTGCTTAGGCTTAATACTCCTTTTGGGCTCTAAGCTGGCTTTCTCCACCTGGACTGCATTGTTCAATTTAGTTGCATCTTCAACAATCATATCAATTTGTTTGACATAAAATTGTTCATGCGCTTAAGCTTTAGGAGTGTTAGTTCATGATAATACATGTACTCAATCCCTATATCGAATCTAGAAGATCAAAAGAAAATTGGTTAGGTAAAAATGAATAAAGAATTCTTTTACTTGTGAGTAACTATTTATAGTTAGATATAAATTCTTAATTTCATTTGGAATACTAATATAATATATTATTATTGCATGCAGCTCCCGATCTGAGCGAAGAATTGAATCCTCATGTAACTCCTATCACAATTCCAAGTGACTTGCATGGGTCTTTACGCAAAGGAAAGGATGACAATGACACAAACTGTTGGGATTCTCCTACTGGGAAAGGATTTAAGATTAGAGGAAAGAACTATCTGAAAGATAGTTCAAAGGTTAGTAGACTATTTAAGTCCTATTAGAGTAAAAGTAGAGCAAATATTTTCATTAACTTAGATGATGAGAAATTCTGCAGTAGTGTTCATGTGCTTCAATGTCCTTCAAATTTCTCCTTAGTTCTGTCCCAACAATTGGAGGAATTTAGGGGTTTGAACTGTCACTTTTTGTTTTCACCATTTTGTAAATTCAGAAGTCAATATCTTAGAATTCTAGAACTGCAGTTTTTTTCAGTAAAGATCTCGATCTACTTTTACATAATAATGAAGTACATGTTAGTATGTTACTTTATTTTGTTCTGGCTCAATGCTATAGGAAACTAAAAAGAAAATAAAGTATTCTTTTAGTAATGAAAGGAAACTGCACCCAATCATCAGAGCCTAAGCTCCTATAAAAGTGTTCCTCTACTGGAGAAAGGTCTTCCTCCCCCTCTCTAAAGTCACAGTCACAAGCCTTTCCCCCATCTCTACAGAATTATTATCATTACTTAACTAATTGTCGTTCTGTTAGTGTGAGGCTTCTTCCTTCTAAATTATACTTCCATATAGTGGGATTGATCTCTCACATCAGATTTATGGGTCAATCACAATGTCATGAACACAGAATTTGTCTTGCAGGTCGTTGGAGGAGATCCTCTTCTCAGGCTTGTAGGAGTCGATTGGTTAACTGTTGATAAATCTGTAGATAGAATTGCCCTTCACCCTAAATGTTTGGTTCAGGTAATATTGAATTTTAACTTTTTATATCTTTGGATATTCGTATTGATTATTGTAAAATAGATTGGGAAAGATGGTCATTGCTTTTGACATGTTATTTAAGAAAACTTAAAAAGGCTGGAACTTAATATTATTTTATTCTGAAATGTAAAAGGATTTCAATCTATAGAAGATTACATGTTTGTTTCCCTAAAAATATATTTAATGTCAATAATTTGGGAAAATTGAAATTGTCAATTTCTTATATAATTATAATACTGTCTAATCTTTTCCTTTTGAATTTCAGTCAGAAGCCGGGAAAAAGCTTCCATTTATCCTTGTCATTAATCTCCAGGTATGGATGTTAGTGTTTTTGCTTTCAACACACAAATTGCGACAAAATTAAGGTTATTATTCCCACATTTAGTAGTGATATATCTACAATTTATTTATAAATAGAAGGCAACCCTCACCTCATTATTTAACTTCTGAAGTTGAATTTGATTCAAATTCAAATTGTAAACTAATATAAATGCCTATCCTAATACTTCTTTTTTTATATCTTGGGTCGCCTATTATGAAGTTGTTATTGGATCATCATAGATGTCTGGTCCTATAAACTTCATATTTGAGATGTTTATTCCGTAGAGTAAGGAGGGAGGTGTTGAGATATCAAATTTTAATTTCATAATGACCAAAGGTTAAACTAAAGTATTGTTGTAAATGCTGACAGAGACACGAACAAACTTTATTCCTGAGGCGTGTATAATCACGGTCCTTAAGGACTTATTCGCGGTGTATTGCGCAAGTCCCCAGGATACAACAGGAACTTCTCGGAATATCCGAGGATCTCAGAAACTAGCAAGAAACTCTCAAAAGAGTAAATTAACCCAGGAACACAGAAAGAAAGAAGATCAGAGAAGAGAAGATGAGAGAGGTGTCTTCTGAAGAGTGTGAAGTGGTCTCTATTTATAAGAGAAAGTCTGTAACATTTATGGAAGACTTGGTAGTGAGTCTGTAACGTTCCCTGTAACGTTCTTCTGCAACGTTCTCTGAAACGTTCTTCTGCAAGGTTCTCTGAAACGTTCTTCTGCAACGTTATCTGAAACGGTCTTCTGCAAAGTTCTCTGAAACGGTCTTCTGCAAAGTTCTCTGAAACAGTCTTCTGCAATGTGTGAAAACACGTTCTCTGAAATAGTCTTTCGCAACGTGTGAGAACACGTGCTCTGAAACAATTTTCTGCAATGTGTGAGAACACGTTATCTGTTTTGCAATACCCCTTAATTTACAACAATCCCCCACATATTGCAAAACAAAAGGGGATAAAAGAAATAAAAGAGAAAATCTTGGGTCTCATATAAGATGTAATGCATCAGAGCTGGTGTAGCAAGCTATATGAACCAGTCTTAGACTAAAAAACTTAACACACAGTGTAGTTGGTGTAACAAACTATATGAACCAAAACACTTAATGTGTGTTAGCGGTTTTAATAATCACAATACACCTCCACAATTCTTGCTGTTATCGCTGTGTTGCGCTTACTAGGCCATGCACGTACCCGGTATTCATGAGTGCTCTAGAAATCTTGCAAAGATCTTATACAAGCGGCCCCACTCGACACTCATATAGGTGACTTCATCAAGCATATGCTGCAAATCATACACCACCCTTAAGGGATATGAAATCGTTTAAAAACTTTGTTTAGACTAAAATTCGTATACCACATAGAATTTTAATTACAAAGTTTAACCTCTTAATGATGCAGTATCTAACACTTTCACATATACACCATAGGAATGGACATAATTGATTTTAATATATTTTAGTGCTAGCAGAACTAACAAGTGACTTGTTTTTACCCATATGAACCTTATTCATGGGATCTCCAATCACAAAGGTTGGGTTACCATCACCTGTTTGTTTGCAAGTTGCTTAAGTCCCATTCCCCTCGATGTTTCTAAAATCATATTTCTCACTAAGGGTTTTGTCAAAGGATCTGCTAGATTCCGTTATGACTTCACATAGTCAATGGAGATTGTTCCATTTTTTAGCAGTTGCTTCACTAAATTATGTCTCAACTATATATGTCTGTTTTTTCCATTGTAGTTCTTATTTTTTGCTATAGCTATTGTCGATTGACAATCACAATGTATTGATACAGACGGGATCAATTTCATTCCTAATGGAATATTTACTAAGAAGTTTTTCAACCACTCAGCTTCACTACCAGCCATTTCGAGAGCAACAAATTCAGATTCCATTGTTGATCTTGCAATAATTGTTTGTCTGGCTGATTTCCATGTAATCGCACCACCCCCGAGTGTGAATACATAGTCACTAGTGGATTTTGTCTCATCTGAATCAGAAATCCAGTTAACATCACTATACCCTTCTAGTACAGCGGGAAATCCACTATATTCAATGGCATAATCCATTGAACCTCTTAAGTATCTCATAAGTCTTGTAAGTGCATTCCAATGTTCTTGATTAGGACATTGAGTGTACCTACTCAGTCTACCTACTGCATAAGCAATGTCAGGTCTAGAAAAGCTCATTAAATGCAGTAAGCTCCCAATTACCTGGGCATACTGAGATTGAGAGATTGAGTCTCCTCTATTTTTCTTTAACTTAGAGTTAACATCATAAGGGGTATTCACTGGTTTGGCGTCATAACACCCAAACTTCCTAAGAAGTTTCTCAATATATTGTTCTTGGGATAGAAAAATACTATCGTCCTTCTTTATGATTTTAACACCCAAAATCACATTGGCTTCACCCATATCTTTCATTTCAAATTTAGATCCTAAAAACAACTTAGTCCTGGAGACAATGTCAATGCATGTACCAAATATTAGCATATCATCTACATATAAACATATAATGACACATTCACCACTCTCAAATTTAGAATACACACATTTATCAGCATCATTAGTTGAAAAGCCATTACAAAGTAGAACACTATCAAGTTTTTCATGCCATTGTTTTGGTGCTTGTTTTAATCCGGATTTTAAAAGTCTGCACACTTTGTTCTCTTGACCTGGAACAACACACCCTTCAGGTTGAGTCATATAAATTTTCTCCCCTAATTCACCATTCACAAAGGTTGTCTTAACATCCATTTGGTGTATAACTAGTTTATGGATAGCTGCTAGAGCTAACAAAACTCGAATAGAGGAAATCCTAGTCACAGGGGCAAAGGTGTCAAAATAATCAATATTGGATTTTTGAGTAAAACCCTTTGCTACTAATCTTGCCTTATATTTATGTATGGATCCATCATAATGATATTTTTTCTTAAAGATCCACTTACAACCAATAGGTTTGTTCCTTTAGACAAATTTACCAAAGTCCAAGTATTATTTTTCTTAATTGAATCAATTTCAGTCTTAATGACTTTATCCCAATGTATTGCATCAGGAGCCCTAGTAGCCTCTAAAAAACTCATTGGATCATTTTCAACTAGATAAGTGTAGAAATCATCTCCAAAGGAGGTTTCCTTCCTCTGTCTTTTACTTCTCCTCCAATCCTCATATATTTTATCACTATTAATCTCTATAGATTGTTTAGGTGTCTCATTAACCTTTAGAGGAAAAATATGTTCAAAGAACTCAACATTTTTTGTCTCTACTGTAGTATTATGCTCAATTACATCACTTTTGAGGACAAGAAACCTATAGGCAACACTATGTTCTGCATAGCCTAAGAAGTTTTAGAACCTATTTTCCTTTTCTTATGATTGGGTAACATTACCTTAGCTAGGCACCCCCATACTTTTAAATATTTAAGATTAGGTTTATAACCTCTCCATAACTCATAGGGAGTTTTACCAGTTTTCTTAAAAAAATACATTGTAAGTATATCTTCTCTCAAGGGTGATTAGGTGCACTAAAGTTGTTTGATTAAGTATACCGATCACATGAATCAATAATATAAGCAGAAGAATAAAATTTATTAACAACATCAAAGATGTTAAGTACAAAAAAACCTTCATCACAATATCCCTTCCCTACAAACACATTATTTTTTGTCATAACAATCTTATCAAATTCGAATGACACTTTAACCCTAACTTTTCCCAATAGTGCTACAAAGATTATATTAGCTCTGATTAATGTCACATGTAGCACATCATTCAAGGCCAGAGTCTTTCCAAATGTGAGCTTTAGAAGAACTTTTCCTTTTCCTAATACAGAAGTTGTCCTGGAATCACCGAGATAAACATGTTCTTCTTCATCCCCACACTAGTGTAGGAAGTAAAAGCACTTCTGTTTGCACATATGTGCCTGGTAGCACCAGAGTTTACCACTTATTTGCTCACAATTTTTTTTTTTTTCCAAAAATTTATTGGTAGCTTTCCAAAAAAACAATTTTTTTTTCTTGAACGTAGAGTGAGGTTAGATCCACTGGTTTCATACAGTCTCAACCCTTCCCTTTCTTATACGTATGTACAAAATAATATGGGGACAAAATAATAGTATGTACAAAATAATATGTGGACAAAATAATATTCTTCACGACGTACAAAATAATATGTAGATCTAAGTCATACATTGTATAAATGTAATTGCTAATTATTCACAAAGAAAATCTCTCATAACATGTAATAATTTTTCATAATTTCTCCCATAACATAAAATAATTATGCATAATGCATTTTTCATTTTCTCTGTTGTATTGGTGTAATAAATCCGAAAAAGGAACCTGTGTTTGACAGGTGTGCTCTATGGACAAGCTGCATGATGTATGCTGATAGCATTTGATCTAAAATTTTACCTTTCTTTCATCATAATTATAACATGCAATAATCAATTTCATATATGATTCACTTTTAACCAATAACGTAATTTGCTTTTTCAATTAAAATCAATTACAGGGTCATTCACATTTCAATAAGAATTACAGTGTCATTCACACAGGGGCTATGAAATTAATTTCAATTTGAAATTGATTGCAGCTGAAAACATAGATTATCATTTATTCCTTTATTCAATGTTGGGAAAAACATAATTTAAAAATTATCATAAGAGAAAAATCATAAATCTAGTAAGTATGACTCTGATACTACATGTATTTTAATTTGTAGTTTTTATACATTACTAATTTTATAAAACTACTATTCACGTTTAGATTCTTTATTCTCACGTAAAAACATATATGAATCATAATCATATAATAACATACATGAATTGATTCTCACGTAATAACATACATGAATCGTAATCAGAAGACTAACCTTGATCCATGAGCACTTCATAATTCCCTTTCTTTCATTATCCAATATTGTAAAACTGTGAAGAAAGTTGTTGATATTCATACTGTCAACTCTAAGTCCTTAAGATTGTTGTAAATGCTGACAGAGACACGAACAAACTTTATTCCTGAGGCGTGTATAATCACTGCCCTTAAGGACTTATCCGCGGTTTATTGCGCAAGTCCCCAAGATACAACAGGAACTTCTCGGAATATCCGAGATCTCAGAAACTAGCAAGAAACTCTCAAAAGAGTAAATTAACCCAGGAACACAGAAAGAAGATCAGAGAAGAGAAGATGAGAAAGGTGTCTTCTGAAGAGTGTGAAGTGGTCTCTATTTATAAGAGAAAGTCTGTAACAGTTATGGAAGACTTGGTAGTGGGTCTGTAACGTTCCCTGTAACGTTTTCTGAAACGGTCTTCTGCAATGTTTTTTGAAACGGTCTTCTGCAATGTGTGAAAACACGTTCTCTGAAACAGTCTTCTGCAACGTGTGAGAACACGTGCTCTGAAACGGTTTCTGCAATGTGTGAGAACACGTTCTCTGTTTTGCAATATCCCTTAATTTACAACAAGTATTTGTAAGATCAGTACTGTTGTCATAGCCACTGCCATGTAACTGCCTATATTTAACAGCCTTTAGTTTGTTATGTAACTGACTTAACTGCCTATAATCATTTGTGTAACTGACTTAACTACTTTTCTAACAACGAACTGTCCAAGAGACAGTTGAATAACTGCTCTTCCAATACAATATTAATTATAACACATTTGCTACCTGGTATACTACTCTCCATTTTACAATAACAATTATATTTAAGTGTTGAATTTGAGGTAATTGTTTAGCATAAATGTGATGCTAAAATCTGGAAAGATTTGATTGAAATCATGAGTAATCTGTGTCATGTGCTTCAGTCTTTTAATTAGTCAATCTCTGAAATCCACAATGTTAGATCTCTCAACGGCTCAAGAGAAACTTTGCTGTAGTTAATGTTTATAGGTAAAGTATTGCATTGGAGAATTTTTTTATGTCACTGATCTGTTTCTCAATGAAGACTTCTTTTTTTGTTTGTCATCAAATTCAGGTTCCTGCTAAACCAAACTACAGTCTGGTTCTATATTATGCAGCTGATAGACCAATAAATAAAGATTCTCTGTTAGCTAAGTTTGTTGATGGAAGTGATGCATTTCGGGACTCAAGATTCAAGCTTATTCCAAGTATAGTTGAGGTCTGTGATCCTCAATTAAGTATTTTATATGCTCTGTTTGATGAGTGATAGCATTTATCAGCTAATAGTTTTCAATTGATACAGGGATATTGGATGGTCAAGAGAGCTGTAGGAACCAAAGCTTGCCTCTTGGGAAAAGCTGTTACCTGTAAATACTTTAGACAAGATAATTTTTTGGAGGTAATGCTACCTTAGAATTTTTTCCCATTTGACTAAGGTTGTATAGCTGGAATGTTAAGAATTCAGGCTTGTTTATGCTGATTCTTGAATGTAATGGAAAAACTTTTTAAGAATGTATGCCTTATCATTGGTATTTTACCTGTTATCGCGTTCTTATATTAATTATAGTTTCAGAATATTGCATTTTGCTATAGTAATTGTTTGTTCGTGTTTGTTGATCAAGTTCTTGTGCAAGTTTGTACTTACGTTATTACATTGTATATGAGGATTATGCAGTCAGCATACACCTCTTATTTCCTTACTCTATCCCAATTTGCAGAGCTTCACATTAATGGCTATTTTCTAGTCACTCACTTCGTAACACTTTCTCATCTTTAATCCTTGATAACAAGAATATAGTGTAGTGATGAAAACTAAACTATATTAAATTCAAGTAGAATAAGTTCATGTATCATGGCAAATATTCTTATCTTGATTTATCTCTTGTACATTGTACTGTCATTTATTATCTTTGCAATCCTCTTGCCGATAGATTGGAACATACTAATGGGTGAAATTTTCACCCAAACCAATTCATAAAATTCTACTTATTTCTCAAAGTGGTAACACTAGCTCTCTCTTTCTATAACCAAACTTTCTGTAGAACATATGGGGGAGGATGCGTCTGGGTTATTGTTTCAGATCAGATGATTTTGTATCTTATCTGCTCCCTGAATGCAATTATTCAAATGCAAAACGACAATAGCATGTTAATATAAATATAGAGATGATCTCGGCTTAATTTTTGGTTTGCTGTGTAAATTCCATGTCCCATGACCACAACTGTTAGCTCTTATGGAGCTTGACATTTATTCTGAAATTTTAATTTTAATTTTGCTAGTTCTTGAAGATTCCCATTCATTACTGTTGAAAGTGTATGCAATACATGCCAGTTGGTTGTAAAATTGAGCTACACTTTCGTGCTAATTTTGGGTATTATACAGATTGATGTGGACATTGGATCATCTTCTGTAGCCAGAAGTGTCATTGGCCTTGTCTTGGGATACGTTACAAGTCTAGTTGTCGACCTTGCAATTTTGATAGAGGTTTGTGCCTTTCTGTTAATAAAAATTATGGACAAACAAACCTCTTATAGTGTCATCTTGCTCTGTTCCTTTTTTGGTGTAGACTTGATTTTTGGCAAAAATGATTAAGTTTCATTTATGTGACTGCTATTTCTGCAATTTTCGTGTGTATTTGGTTGGAGAGAGATACTCTTAAGATAAAGGGTGTCTGTCTTACTTCTACTACTAGAAAAGATTTGGTTTATGGTTCTATTTTGTGTCATACTCCTGTTTGTTTGAAGGAAAATTCGGTTATTATACATACTATTATTTTGTGCGAAAGATGGCGTGTACAAAGAGCATTTACCATTAATCACATAAGGAAACCTGAGAGAAAGTGGTTTGCAAAATGAAGGTAGTTAGCTGATTATATTAACATCACTTTCAAACGAAATTAGCAATTGAGGAGAATCTTCTTTAATTTCTACATGTTTCTTTATATCAGGAATGATGCAGAAATCAACTCCTCCAGGATTTCTTTTACATCAACTGCTTGTGCATTCACTTCTAAAAGTTGAAATGTTCATAAACTTATGCATCTCAATTTTCAAGTAAGGTTTAACTGATGCTATACTTTCAGGCAAAAGAAGAATCGGAGCTGCCAGAGTACATTCTTGGAACGGTTCGATTAAACCGTTTGAAACTTGAATCTGCTGTACCATTGGAAGACTAAGTTATTCTGCCATGAAAATTAAATCAGCTAATTTTCATTCCATTGTTGTCACACAAATTTACACAGGGGATTCAAATAAAAAAATGATGAGAGAATTTTGTGAGAGATACTTTAGTTTCTGTTTCTTTTCCCTTCTCCCAGGTCTCTAATCTAAATTTGGTTCCCCGGATACGTTATCCAGATTCTTTGTGAATGATAGGGCTGAATAGGCCATTATTCTTCTAGATTGAATGAAAAGCAATATTTCTTCGCGAATATTTTTACGGTCAGAATCAGGAACCCTTCTCTCGCTAAATGTGTCTGTTAAGTTTGATAATTTATGATTCAAAACTATAATATTTTCTTTCCCATTTACTTCGTCGCAGTTCACATTTTTTAGAGAAACAAAAACCGATATTTCGGCTAGTGTTAATTTATTATCCAAATTTTGTTATAAATAATTGTAACGGGTTGTAGTTATAAACGGTAGATAACTTTTATTAAATAGCTTGAGTATGATTAGGATAATATACTATTGATTTGTTCTGTATATGCTGGTGTATACTCTTTTTACATTCGGAACCTTCGTTTGTTTCCTATTGGCGTAGTTTTTCGATAACAGTCCTAGTACTGTGGTTCTTCTGGCACCTATTTATCACCGCTGTTTGATCATCGATCTGTGGATGATAGTTGGAAGATAATTGAATTTGGATTCCTTGTGTAGCCATGAACTCTGAAAAAATGGTTAATAAAAACAGTATCTCTGTCACTGTTATTGTACGGGACAACCGTGTAATTTCTCTCGGGAAAATCAAAAGTGGAGTTAGTGGATAGGAGTTCATCGAAACGAGAAAAAATGTCGATGATCTCAAATTCCACTTAAGGAGGGCGATGAGACAAACAACAAATAAATATAAGCAATTCCAAATAGACAAATGGTTTTACGTTATACTCATATAGGGAGGTGTACGTTGTTTTTAGAAACAATGTTAAACTTAACCTTAATTACTTTGGTTCCTTTAAAATAATAGATAGAATAAGAATAGTTGCATATAAATCGGAGCTGGCCACGTCTAAAAAGATTGATAACGTAATTAAAGATTCATGTGGGTAACTCGACTCCGCTACTGGATTTGCAAAAAGATGTCCTTATAGATAAAGAATCTGAGAGGATTCTAGACAGGACAATAGTGAGAAGAAAAGGAAATGCCTATTACTAAAGTCTTTGTACAGTAGAGACATCATCTACAAGAATTATAATTTGTGCAATTAGGATGAAAACTTGAAATAATTGGTTAATTTATCGTGTTATCGTGTGATTGATCGGATTTTTGTTAATAAAATGAAATTAAATTTTGATAGACCTGTGCTTTGATGACAAATACTAAATGGTGATTCAACATATATTTTATATCTTGGAACCAAGTTAATTTTGGAGTAGTTTTGTGATAATAAAATTTACCAGAAAAATATTAAACCACAAAATCAATGTATTAATTGTAGTACTATAATATAATAGAGTTGTAATTGATTAATTATTCCCGATATTTTTTAAATTAAAAAAAAAATCAAAGGTTATTTGTATTAGTTGAAATCCTCGCCTTTATCTCTATTCAAGATATTTTGTACGCATGGTTTATTTTTATCAATTTACTTTTTAAGTTTATTTGTGAACAGATATTTGGACATATGCACTCTTATTTTGTACATGTGTGTTTGCATGGATTTACTGGAATTAATTTGTGAATCCCACACAATGAAAAACCCTCTTTGAGCCAAGAAAGGTTTGGATTTATAAAAAAAATAAAGTAAATTGTCCAAAAAACCTTATGCATAAAATGACCCCCACTCATGTAGAGATTTCGTCTATATGAATAAATTGTCCAAAAAGATCCTATATACAAAGTGGTTCATGTGAGTAAAAATACATATATTTCCTTTTCATGAATAAAGTATTTTTCATGAACAAAGTGTTAACAATATAAGGTATTTCTACGTTATCAATCTTTCACAATGATGTTTGATCATTCATCTCCTATGCATTAACATGCGAGAAGGACGATTCGAGATGTAACTATTACTTCATTCTCTATTACAAGTTTATTTTGTTAAATATTCATTGAAAATACCAAGAATTTTAAATATATAATTTAAACAACGAAAAATATTTTATACTTAATATATTAAATAATTTAAATTATATTTTACTTAATTTGTCAATTCCAACAACAAAGATATTTTAGTTATTAAACTACAAAATTATTATTTAATTTTTTATATTCAATTATATGAATTACATCAGTTATAATAATTACACTCAAATTCTTTTAAATCTATTATTTTTCCCTTAATCTCAACTCTTACCGTCCATTTTAAATCACCTTAAATTTATTTCCTCATATTCACGTCCGATCCAAAGATAATGTTAAAGAAATTATATATTAGTTAAAATAAAAAAAAGATTATATATACTGAAGATCTAAAAAATATGTAAATTTTTTAAGGACTTCAAAATATATAATTTATTAGGTACTCTGTTTATATATATATATATATATATATATATATATATATATATATATATATATATATTATTTGAAAAAAATATAAATTATAGATTGAGAATCTAAAACTTATTTAAATTTATTTCTTAAAATATATGTTATATATTTAATTTAGAATAAGTAATTAATATAGTGGTGTAAATGTTTAAAGTTAATTAAAAAATCAAGATAATAAGGATAAGATGAAAAATGATGTTGGTGTGGGAAGGTTTTAAGTTGATGTATGCAGGGATAAAAAAAAATGGCCACTTTTTTTTATTATTATGTATTCATCATGTCTTAATTTAATGAATATTGTGTGTTAAAGGTTTGATTCTCTAATTAATGACATTAAAAGATAATATTTCTCTTGTTTAACAATATAAGAGTGGAAGGTCAATTGTTTTCCTACCTTTATATCAAAATAAAACCGTGTAAGTATGAAATATTTATGAAGATACTTTTAATATTATTTATTAATATTAATTTTAATAAAGTATAGACAATATTAAGGTTGGGATGCACATGTAATAATTAATTTTTATTATTTTTAATAAATTTATAAATTATTTTTCATTAATATCTTTATATTTTAATATTTTTTCTTTTAAAATTATTCTTAAGAATTTATCATTTTTCCTATAATATAAATATAATTAAAAAGATATGATATAATTGGTAAAAAATAACTAAAACAATCTTAAATTTTATAAAGAACGTGTATTCGGAGACAAATCTTTCTAAATTAAGGATAAAGTTAAACAAAATTATATTATAATACAAATATTTCTCGTTCTAATATCTTTTACTCTTTACTTATTTTTTTAATCTCTTTTCTCACTTTTTTATTTTTTATTATTTAATTCAAATCAGGGCGAGTGAAGTGTGTCACGGGCTTAATTAAGTTACTTTGAAAATAACATTTTGTTTGGAAACAGTAACGAGGAATGATCGTGACATAAGAAACTTGGAAGTGAAGCAGAAACGTGCGTGGAAACAAAACAAAAAACAATGACCATACGAAGTAGAGTCAATGTTGGGGTCAGATAAGAGTTAATAACCGTGCTCACTAAGTTAACTCTCCACCATTTTCTCTGCTGACTTCACCAGAACGAATCATCGTTTGTAGAATTGAACTTTCTCTCTCTTATTATCATTATTACGTTTCTTTATCTTTTCATACTCTTTTCAACCCTCCAATAGTCGGACTTAGTTCTGATCATTGCCACACTCCCATCTTCACACTGTCTTCACCCCAGGAAATGCTGGACGGAGAATCCTCTGTCTTGGCCGGCGGTCAACCGACCATGGACTCCTCTTTAAGCCTCTCTGGTCAACCACTATCCCTTGGTCTTTCCCAAGTTAAACATCATGATGACTCAACCAAGAAAGATCCCCGCAAAATTGCTAGAAAGTAAATATCTTTAGCCATCTTTTTTTTTTTTGGGTTATTTTCTTATTTGTCAAGTGGGTATGTGGGGTGGGTTTGATTGTTATTGCTAGGGGTAGTTGCTGTTGTTGTGAGTTAGTTATTCTTTGTTATGCTGATGAGAAAGAGAGTAAAGTAAATATTGTACTTGAAATGTGACTTTTGAATTGCAACAGCTCATTGTAACTTTTGGTTTCTTTGAACTTTTTAACTCAGTGTTTTATTTCAGAAACTAATTGTTCTTTTCAAATTAATGTATGGTGAACAAATATTTGAAGTGTGCTGTTGACTGTGCTTATCTTTTTTATTCCTCACTTGTCTTCTGAAACTCATCATATGAATGATTTTACCTTTTGGAAGGTATCAGTTGGAGTTGTGCAAAAAAGCTATGGACGAAAATATAATTGTATGTTTGGGGACAGGGTGTGGGAAGACCCACATAGCTGTGCTTCTTATGCATGAGATGAGTAATTTGATTTCGAAACCGCAGAAGAACATATGTGTCTTTCTTGCCCCTACAGTGGCTTTAGTTCATCAGGTGAGCTGTTATACATATTGTTGGGCTCATGTTATCTTTTATTTTGTCTAGGAGAAGTTTGGAAGTACTATTTTTCTTCTGGACAAATTAAAAATGTTATGGAATGAATATGCTTTTTACTTTTTATTGGGTTCTTTGTGCTTTGGCCATTTCAGGTTGAGTAATTTGGTTTTGCAGGTTTGGAGTCTGTAAAGGCTGCAAGGGTGTATTCTCTTGTATTATAACTTAAAATGACATTTGCATCATGAGCCTATCTTTATATCTTTCTATGTAATCATTGCAATTAGGATTTAGGATTTGGAACAGTCTCAATTTCTCGTCAATTTTCTTGAAAGCTAGAATTACAATTCTTAGTTATCTACTTGATACATTAATCACATGAATTGATTTGTTCTTGTGTTTAGTTATCTTTCACCAAATTTTAGTTTTACTATGTTATTCAATTCCATATCATGTGTTTTCTGATTTTTTTATTTATTTATATTTAAGCAAGCAAAAGTTATAGCAGACTCTACTGATTTTAAGGTTGGAACTTTCTGTGGAAGTTCCAAGCGCTTGAAAGGTCATCAAGACTGGAAGCAGGAGATTGAACAATATGAGGTGACAATGCTAGTTAAATCAAGTTGAAATTAATTAAGTTTCTCTCTAAATTATTTATTTTGTATTCAGACTTGTTTCTTCTACAGCAATTTTAAGTAAAATCTGTTGAAAGAAAGTTGGTGTGATCAATGATATTTTATTGAGCCAAAAAATTCAAATTGGCTCCAGCTGTTTTAGAATCTGTAAATCTACCTGGTTAAATTTTAATCCATCGGAGTTTGTTGTTTCTAAAATTGCACCTCATGTTCTTTTTTTCCCCTTCAGGTTCTTGTTATGACCCCACAAATATTACTCCACAACTTATCTCATTGTTTCATCACGATGGAAATGATTGCACTTTTGATATTTGATGAATGTCATCATGCTCAAGTCAAAAGCAACCATGCTTATGCAGTAATCATGAAAGTATGTTGCACTTTTGCTCTACTTCAAACTTTCAAAATGGAGCTACACAATTATCCCCATAAAATATATATTGATTTTCGTAGCTTTTATTTTGACAATATTTAATTTGGCAATCTATCAGATTTTCTACAAAAGTAATTCCACAAAGGTTCCCCGTATATTTGGCATGACTGCATCCCCTGTGGTTGGGAAAGGTAACATGACAATTCTTATTTTCAAAAAGTTGAGTGCTAACAAGAGCCAGGTTATTTGTTTGCCTCAATTGCCTTTCAATATTGTTGAATTACAGGATTTAGGTATGGAAGGAGGAAAAGAGGAATGTAGACTCTGAAAATTGAGTTGATAAGGTGTCATGTGATCACCAACAAACTGTAACTATCTGATTACAAAGTGGGATGTGTGGGAAACTTTTATTGTAAAAAATACTTGAACTACATAGGGAAACAAGAAATACTTTTATTAATCACAATCACACTAATTACATTGTCTGCACCCTAATTGGGTCATACTCATGGTTTAGGCCATGTAGGAATTGAAGATTCTTGCTCTTTTCACGGCTCAGCATGTGCGACAACATATGCTATATACATCTTCAAATTTTGATACTAATATGGTTTGATTCATAAACCCATTTAAGATTCTTGTGGTATTTTAATACTCAAAGAGAACCCGTTTCACATTAAACACCCTGCTTTGAATGTCATTGAAGGCAACCAAATCCTTCTTCAATGAAAACGTATTATTTAAGTCATCCCATGTCTCTTTAGCTGACGAATAGAGAAAAAAAATTCCCCAAAAAATGTTGCAACAAAGGGAACCTGTTTGGTTAAAAGAGAAAATCTTAGATCTACTCAAAACAAAGGCAGATGGTCACCGTCCCTTGGAATGGACTCAGGGAGTCCTGGCAAGACTATCTGTGGCAGTGACGAAGAGTGGGTCTTGGGGGAAAAAGGTATGTGGCAACTCTTTTGATGACATGTTTGTCAACATTGTGATCGACGGCTTGGGGCACACCTCTCTGACCAATCTTCAACCTTAGCTGTGGTAATTGGGTGGACAACTATGGTGCATCCTTGTCTTGCTGTTTATGCAACAACGAAAACAGAGCTCCCAGTATTGAGAGCTCACATAGAGGAAGGTCATGGCTATGTGGCCTACTAATCCATTTTTATACATAGCTGGTAAAAATTATGAAAGATCTGAACTTAAGAAGTCAATTTGTTAAAAGGTATTGTGCATATAGTTGGACTAGAAACCATTGGTTAACATTGAAAGGATAAAATGTGTCAAGAGAACAAAAATTATATGATGTGGTGGGATACCTTTTTCTTGAATGAGGGACAGGAGGGAGCAAAGGGACAGATTAAGGTCACTGACGTTTTATATAAACTTTTTAAGTGTTGGCAAAACTTTTTTTATTGGAAATTTCAACATGGCAGTTTAGTTTTTGATACCTTGATCATTGTTTAGACTTGGTCCATATGATCCTGAGAAATACTATTGAAATGATATGCATGTGTGTGCAGTTTCGAATGTACTGGTTAACTTTCTGTATATGCATATATATGTAAATATTTTTATTTTGTACTTGAAAAATATTAACTGTTAAGATTGCTTTACTTTTGGGGATGTTGATGTTCCATCATATAAATCTTCTTTTCTTATATCCTTTTTTTGTCCGTTTCTCAAGATTCTTACCCTAAAGTTTGCATATGTTATTTGTAATTTATCCTGTCGTATTGTTTATGTATATGACAATAAGCTTGAATGCTGAATACTGATAGTGTAGTTTATTCCAAATATGTCAAATCCTTGTCACAATTTTATTTTATTTTTTGGTTCTTTCCATTTTCAGGTGCTTCTAGTGAAGAAAATCTAGCAAAAAGCATCAATAGTCTTGAACATATTCTTGATGCAAAGGTAGGGTTTATTTAGTACAATTAAATTTGTGAACATTTGTTGTCTGAATAGAAGATCCAAACTTCTGTGTAAATGTTCTTTCCATTAAGTATTGACTATGAAATTGATATAATGGGTGAAGCTGTGTACTAGTGTTTGCATGGGGCTAAGATTTATGGAAATGTAGTATTTGGGATCCATACAAAGATATTGGTGCTGAGCTCTGCTGAATTCTTTGTATTTAACTTATATGCTAAGTGCATGGTTCTTGTGGACAATTACCTAGTTGTGCTACTGGTAAGATACTGGGCATGGTTACTAATCTCTGATTGTTTGATTCTCATTTATAGGTATACACTGTTGACGACAATGAATTGCAATCTTGTGTGACCACTCCGGTGATTAATATATATCATTATGCTTCAACTACAAGGGCGGAAACTAGCTTGTACTTGAAAATTGAGGAGATTAAACGCCAGGTGCACTTTTGCTATGGGTTTTAAGATGATTAGATAAATTAGATTTACTGATCACTGCATAATTTTATTTGAACAGTGCATAACAACCCTTGGTAGGAGTATAGAAGATCACCAAAAACGGATGAATACAAAGAAACTCCTGAGCCGGATGCATGATAACGTGGTTTTCTGTCTAAGGAATCTTGGCATTTTGGGAGCACTTCAAGTAAGACTCTTGATTATAAGCTGTAGTTCGGTAATCATTTGACTAAAAATATATTATTAAGTTAACAAAAATTTTATCAGAATCTATAAATAATAATATATAAAAGTTTGTTGTAATTTGTTCCATTTTGTTGGTCCCCATTAACTCATGAAGATGAAAAAACCAAGAAGAAAAATAAGCTAGGATAGACTGTGGAGTTTCTCGGGTATAATGTTAAGCTTGCATAAATTGAACACAACAGCATATACTCTCCATCGATTCATGAATATGGATGGTGTAGAATAAAGTATTGTTTCTTGAAGATGATTCCTTGGCACCAATTCGGTTTGCTAGTGATGTAGATGTGATATCTGAAGATAAGGAAATGCTAATTGGAATTCATGCTGGCAAGTCTTCTGATTACATGTTTTCCCTGGTTTTTTGTGTATTCCTAATGTTTCCTTTTGCATTTTGTTATAGATCTCTGGATATCTGTTTTTTCATTTTAATTTTGTCCATTTTGTGGTTTTCCATCATATTTATTGTTTTATTCATATTGGGAAATTATTTTATATAGGTTAGAAGGGCTGTTACTGTCACTATCTTGATTTTTATTCTTTTTCCTTCTCTAATATGTGTTAACCTTCCAAGGCTAGTCATATTCTTCTGAGTGGTGATCATTCTGAGAGGCATGAATTAGTGGAGGCAGAAGGAAATTCAAGTGATGACTCTCTGTGTGATAAATATCTTTCTCAGGTTGCTGAACTATTGACATCACAGTGCAGTATAGGTATTTTGACATCATATGGTGTTCTTTTAATCATGTCACTGCTGTTACTAGATTTTCCCTTTTCTGGCTGATATGTGCATTCGTTTTGCTTGATATTAGGCTAACATTCATCTAGCAATTAATTAGTTTTTTCATTGTTAATTTTTACAATATGTTCAAAACAGAGTTCATGTGGATAGATGCTTCATTTATTGCAACTAAATATGCTTTTTTTTGTAGGCGACAAAGTATCTGATGATTTATCTTCTTTGGAAATATTGAAAGAGCCATTTTTCTCAGCAAAGCTTTTACGACTCTTTGGGATACTGTCCAACTTTAGGTTGACAAATCTGTGCTGTACAAACCATTTGTTAAATGCATTCTTTTCATATAGCACATGTCTTATTGTTATTTGATTATGAAACTAATACATTTGGGAAAACTCTGATGACATGTTCCAACTTCAGGTTGCAAAAGAACATGAAATGTATAATTTTTGTGAATAGAATTGTGACTGCAAGATCCCTGTCATATATACTCCAGAAGCTAAAGCTTCTAAGACAATGGAGAAGTGATTATCTAGTAGGAGTACATGCTGGACTGAAGAGTATGTCACGAAAGACCATGAGCATCATTGTTGATAAGTTTCGCACTGGAGTGGTATTACTATTGGATTTCTCATTAATTTTAAATATGTAATCGTGAGAACTGGAAAGCCTGTAATGTCCTATATATGCTAGTTTTTGGTTCAATAAATGAATTAAGCTATACTCCTCTGTATGTGTGTGTAAGTTGCTAAATGTCATAGAATATTCTTTGATTTTACCTGATTGTTAATTACAATGAGAAGAGTGTTCATTCATGTACTGAATTTACTCACTTTAGCATCTTGTCTTTACTAAACACTGTCTTGCTAGTTTTATCTGGGAACACAAACATCTTGACTAATGTTGTTGATTGGTTGTTAACAGTTGAATTTGTTGGTTGCAACCAAAGTGGGTGAAGAAGGACTTGACATTCAGACGTGTTGCCTTGTCATACGATTTGATCTTCCGGAAACCGTTGCTAGCTTTATACAGTCAAGAGGCCGTGCACGTGTGCCTCAGTCTGAATATGCTTTTTTGGTGGACAGGTACTCTTACATGCTTATAGATTTCAGAAGTAATTTAAGCTAATGCACCCAGTTGTTATTTTTTAAATCTTCTTGTTGCAGTGCCAATAAGAAGGAGCTTGACATAATTGAAGGTTTTGAGAAAGATGAACACCGAATGAATATGGAAATTACTTCTCGAACATCTGATGAGACATATATCATCCCTGAGGAAAGAATTTTCAGAGTTGATTCGTCCGGTGCTTCTGTTAGTTCTGGATGTAGTGTCTCATTGCTTCACCAGTATTGTTCCAAGCTTCCACATGATGAGTATGAACCAAATTATATACTCAACTAAGGAATTTCATTTAAATAAAATACAGACCTTGTGTTTTAAAATATAATCTATCTTTACAGGTATTTTGACCCCAAGCCAAATTTTTATTTCTTAGATCATTCAGAAGGAATTGTTTGCCACATAATATTGCCTTCCAATGCACCAATACACGAAATTTTGGGTGCACCACAGTTGTCTATGGAGGCTTCCAAAAGAGATGCTTGTCTGAAAGCAATAGAAGAACTGTATAAGTTAGGCGCTTTAAGTGATTATCTCTTGCCAAAGCAAGATGATGCAGAGCCAGAAGAACAGGTTTCAGGCTCTTCTGATGAAGATGAATGTGAAGGTCAAACATCAGCTGCATTCTGATAAGCCATACTTTCATTGTCTTTCTCTGGCTTAACAAAAATTTGCTGTCTAAGTTGTATTTTGTTATAAATTGTCGAGCATGTTTAGCTGTCAATGAGTGTATCAAGTAGAGTGACTGATCCAGCATGTTGCCATACTGATCATTTTCAGGCTTTTGAAATTCTATAAAAAAAATTTATGGTAATTATTATTGTAACATACCTGTCTATGAATTTAGTGTTAATCCTATTGTCAGTGTATAAACTTCTACACCATCATTGTCAAATCACGTGTTCCCAGATCATTGCAACTTTTTTCCTGAGGTAGTGTTTGTCACACTCTTTTGGTGATGCATTAACACATCATGGAAGATAGTTTAAAGCTTTTACACCAAAATGGATCAAATCAAATTCTTCTTGCATCTTTTCGTGTTTATAATCTTGAATGGGAGGGGTTTTATTTGTTTTCAGATGGTACTATCACTATGTTGGCTTATATCAACTTTTTCCTCTAAATGTAACAATATCACTATGTTGTGTTATACTTATTTATTTTACTTTTTTGACAGATGCCATATCAAGAGGAGAATTACATGAGATGCTAGTTCCTTCTGCCTTTGGACAGTCATGGATAAACAAGGATAAAATTGTCCATCTCAACTCATACTACATAAAATTTTGTCCCTGTCCAGGTGATAGAGTCTACAAAGAGTTTGGTCTATTCATAATGACCCGTCTTCCAATGGAGGCTGAGAAAATGGAACTTGATCTCCATCTTGCTCATGGGCGATATGTTATGACAAAATTTGTCCCATTTGGAGTTGTAGAATTTGACAAAGATGAGGTAAATAACATTTTTTTTTAAATAAAAACAAAGAGAACTTCAGTTAATGCTTGGAGTTTCCATCCTGCAGATTAAGAAGGCAGAGAATTTTCAAGAAATGTTCCTCAAAATTATTTTGGATAGATTTGAATTTGTTTCTGAGGTTGTAGACTTGGGTTTGGCTGCCAAATCTCAGACAAGCTCATTGACCTTCTACCTTTTGCTTCCAGTCATATTGCAAGAATATGGAAATGCCATGGAAGTAGATTGGAAGACAGTGAATAGATGCCTTTGCTCACCAATTTTCAGGCATCCAGATTATACCATGGATAAAAAAGTTTGCCCTTTAGATATCCACCTGCAACTTGCCAATGGTTACAGAAGTATAAGAGATGTCGAGAATAGTTTAGTTTATGCCCCACATAAGAAGACCTTTTATTTTGTCACAAATATTGATTATGAAAAGAATGGATTTATTCCTCATAAAGAATCAGGCACTTCGAGCTATGTGGATTACATAATTGAAAAGTAGGTATCTGCTTATTATTACAGTTTCATCCTTATTTTATTTAAGTTTTGCATACCTGATTCTTCTATGTTGGTGAAAACATTCATACCTAATTTTGGTTTTGCATTTTCAAATTGCTGATTAACATTAATTGAATTAGATATCTGATAATGGGTATGCATACAAGTTGGAATATCATGTAGTGCTAATGATATTTGAAAAAAAAAAATGTACATGCTTGGATGTCAGGTTTTCCATTCACCTCAAATGTCCGGAACAACCACTTCTGCATGTAAAACCACTCTTCAGTTTGCACAACCTGCTTCACAACCGAAAGCGTGAGGATGCAGGTATTGTGTTGGATATGTTATTTTGACTGGATTTGTCTTGATTAAAAAGAAAAATAGAGCCACAGCTCCTTATGACCATAAAATATTTTGAAAGCCTTGGAATGTAAAGCACCAACTACAGAAAATAAATGTGACTGAAAAAAACAAACCAAGGGACTCCCCAAAGAATCTAAATATTTGTAACTTTTGAATGTCAATGACAGAACCACAGGAGCTGGACGAATATTTAATTTATTTACCTCCTGAGCTATGTGAACTGAAAATAATAGGCTTTTCCAAGGATATAGGCAGTTCCCTATCTTTGCTACCCTCAATTATGCATCGTCTTGGAAACTTGCTGGTGGCTATTGAATTAAAGCACATGCTATCTTTTTCTTTTCCGGAGGCAGCTGAAATTAGTGCCCTTAGAGTAAGTTCTTATTAAATTCAATATTGTTTTCATTACTTTTATGTAGTGTATTATCTAACACCATTGCAGTGCTTATATGGTACAGATGAATTTTGTGGTTTAGGGAAACTAACAATTGTAAACAAATTACTAGGTTTTAGAGGCTCTCACCACTGAGAAGTGTCAGGAGCGCTTTTCCCTTGAAAGACTTGAAGTGCTTGGTGATGCTTTCCTTAAATTTGTTGTTGCGCGCCATTTTTTTCTCTTGCATGACGGCCTTCATGAAGGAGACCTAACAAAAAGGCGCTCCAATGCTGTAAATAATTCCAATTTATTGAAGTTGGCCATTAAGCGCAATTTGCAGGTAAAGTTACACTAACACCTCCCTGCATTTCTGCAGTAACAAAGTAAAATTATTATTCAATGCTTTTCTGTTAGATTAGGTGTTCTGTAGCCACCACATGTCATTTCAGAATGAAATCTATAGTTTGACACACCAAAACAATCTCTTAAAAAGTCTTGCTTAACAAAAGATGGGATGTCATCTCACCAAACTAAATCCTGAAGAGTAATCTCACTATAAACTCTACTGATTGCAGCAACCAGATCGGAATATTTTTGTAATAAAATCAATTAAGCATTTGATGTTGGGTTTCCAAGATGGATTAATGGTGTAATATTGGCATATTCAAGGGTCCTTGTTGATAGGAAAAGGCGAACTGCAGTTTGCAAGTGTTGAACTAATGAATTAATCTTATGCATTTGGACATAGGACACGAGAAATTTGGAGTAAGTAGGCTTAGATTAGTATAAGATTTTGCAATAATTAGTGTTTGAAACCGAATACAATGTTTCAAATGGTCATTATAGGGAGCAATTTGGTTTTGAAACCAAGTACAAAGCAATTTGCATGGCTTTCAGGAACAGAAATGAGTGAGGCAACTACACTTACATATTGTGTCAAATTAGCTGGATGTTTTTCACTCCTTTATTTTCCACTGCTATATTTTCAGGCTTATTAAGCACTCCCCTTAATGTTGATAGGTTTTAGGTGGAGTAAACCGATGATTTACTGTAGTTTTCAAATAACAACAAAGCCTTATCTTACTAGGTGAGGTCGACAACATGGATCATTCAATTTTAAGTAGGAACACTATTTAGCTTGAGATTTCCCTTTTTTATTTTTTCACAAAATTAAAAATCATGCAATCTACTTTTCTGATTGCCGTTTCTTGTGGTGTGTCTCTTGTGGCTTTCTTTGCACATGTCCAAATCATCTGAACCAATTTTTTATCATATTTTCCTCATTCGATGCTACAACCTTTTCTATAGAATTTAAAAATAAAACAAAACATATAATGTATAGTGCAAGAAAAATAGGATTGGACTAGTTTGAAATTGAAGAAAGAAATATAATATATGAGAAGAATAGTCACATCAGCTTCTTGTGTAGAAAGCAATCTCATGTGACAAATAAGTTTCATGAATGATTAAACTTAGATATTGGTGTTAAACTAAATTTGAAAGAAAACCCTGCATTCTTGGTAGAAGATAGGATAAAACAACAATTGGATGGTGCAAACTCAATTTGGTTGTGGCAGTGTTTGTATAAATGCACATGACATATGAGGATACATAAACAAAACATAGAACAGGTTAAACACTACAAAAGTAGGTCATGTAAACTTCCAATTAATACTAACCCAATAAGGAATACTTAGATCTCCATAAATAATCAATTGAATAACTAATAAAATGCAATACTGAACACAGTTTGTCCAGAGACAAAAGTCTCTTATATGAGTTTTCTCTGCCCACAACCTGAAAATAACAACACACTGGTCTAATTACATGGTCTTCTATCAGATCTACTTCTAATACATAACTGCCATCAGTAATTTTTCTATAACTGTCAGAATGCAGCTTCTAATACATAACTGTTAATACATGATAAGTTATTTTATATCACTTACTCCTTATAATTAACTACCTCCAATCCATTAATGGATCTTTTTGGCATTAACTTGGATCTTAGTTATCTCCAACATAACACCTGGATAACATAAATACAAACCCAGTACAAATCATAACTGAGGATTAAAGGTACTAGAGTACCCCTCAAACTGAAATATAGAAATTAACTAAACAATTTAGTGAGGCTTTTAACCTTGATGCATTTTTTCTTTCTTGATATCTGGCTTTAGAATGGATTAATGTATATATTTTAGTTCTTTGTATATATATTAGGTCATATTTTTATATTCTAGTCTGAGCAACTCAGTCCAGGTTATTTTGTGTGTGTGTGTATGTGCACATGTGTGTGTATATTTTATCTTTCAAATTTTATTAATTGAAGAGCACTTTCTCTCAACTTTCTGAGGATTCATATTTTTATTTACTGTCTTCAATCTTATATTTATGTACTTGCTCCCTCTTGCAGGTCTACATTTGTGATCAGGCATTTGATCCCTCTCAATTTTATGCATTAGGCCGTCCTTGCCCAAGAGTTTGTAGCAAGGAAACCGAAGAAAGCATACACTTTTGTTTAAATTCTGTTAAGGAGCAAGGAAAAGTGACTGAAACCCGATGTAACAAAAATCATCATTGGTTACATAAGAAAACAGTTGCTGATGTGGTGGAAGCTCTGGTTGGAGCATTCCTAGTTGATAGTGGCTTTAAAGCTGCGATTGCCTTTCTTACGTGGATTGGCATACAAGTTGATTTTGAAGCTTCACAAGTGATAGATATCTGCTTAGCAAGTGCTGGCTATCTTCCTCTTTCTTCTGATGTAGACATTCCTTCCCTTGAAGGTAAGCTAGGATATCAATTTTTTCACAAGGGTCTGCTTCTCCAGGCATTTGTACATCCTTCTTACAATAAGCTTGGAGGAGGCTGTTATCAGGTTATTGCAACTTCTCTTTTTCCTCTTGGTTTTGACTTCATATAATGACTATTTTCTGTACTTCATAGCTGTATGAATTCTAGTGAGATATTTGGTCTTTAATTTTTCAAATGTGATAATTCTTTGCAGCGACTAGAGTTTCTTGGAGATGCTGTCTTGGATTATTTGATTGCTTCATATCTATTCTCAGCTTATCCCAAACTAAAGCCAGGTCAATTGACAGATTTGAGATCATTGGCTGTTAACAACAAGGCATTTGCCTGCGTAGCAGTAGATCGCAGTTTTGATAAATATCTTTTATGTGATTCAAATGGCCTGTCTGAGGCAATAAAAAAGTATGTAGACTACATTAGAGGACCTTCAGCAGATAGTGGCATTAAAGAAGGGCCAAAATGTCCCAAGGTAGATAGTATGACCTTAAAGTTACCTTGGTGGTGCTGCTGTTGTTATTATTAAAGTCTGTATCCATTTCAAAGCTTGATTTGGCCATTTAAATTGGAATAATGCTACACTCTCTCTCACACACGTCACCTCACATATGTAAAGTTTTCATTATTTGATTATATCTGCTCCTCTTCTTTCTTTCTTTTTTGAACACCTAAAATTTTGATTCTGCCATATATACTTGCTGTAAGGTGATGTGTACCAAACATTGTTCTTTTACTTGGAAATTACAAGAGCAAATAAATGGAATACTAAAAAGAGAATCCGAGATCTTGTGTAAGGAAGTAAACAGACAATCCATCCAAATGATTGCCAATATTTTTGCAAAAATTACAGAAAAAAAGTCAATACATATTGGTTAGGAAAGCCCCGGAGTCTTTTTATTGTTCAATTGAGATAAGATGACAAATTTAGTTTCTGCTCCATGGGTTTAGGTTAAGGTCATGAGTAAACTCTTCTAATAACATTACGAGACTTTTTATTGTTAGATTTCATGCATCACATAAGTGTCTGATAGATGTGTATTGATATTTTTTTTGCATCAAAAGATATGAGGTGTACATTTGACATCATTGGTTGCTTCAGGTACTGGGTGACTTAGTGGAATCTTGTGTTGGTGCCATCCTTCTTGATTCAGGGTTCAATTTGAACAAAGTTTGGAAAATTATGACTTCTTTCTTGGACCCAATTATGAAATTCTCATCAAGCTTGCAGCTCAGTCCTATTAGGGATTTGCGAGAACTTTGCCAATCTCGTAATTTGGAGTTGGAATTTCTGCCATTACCATCAAAACTGAATAAAACATTTTCTGTTGAAGCTAAAGCGAGTGGGAATGATGTATGTGAAACAGCTTCAGCAACTGGCCAAAATAAAAAGGAGGCTTGTAGAATTTCATCACTTATACTTTTTTCAAAGTTCAAGGTAAAAGTTAAATAATTATGTATAGTTTTATTTTTTCCATTCTTGTTTTCTCAACTTGACACCATAGAATTTTGCATTTCTTTATTGCTCATTGACGCCCCAGGTGAGTACTGTTATGTTTTATTAAACAAGTGTTCAAGTATAAGATGTTCCTTGTTTCTTCATTTGGATCTTGACACTCTCATCTAAGGTATCACTTTTGATGAAGTTCAGAATAATACAATAGTACCTTTTTTTCCAGAAATAAGAAGAGCACGGTAGTAACATCATATCTTTTATACTTCTTGTGTTGAATTGCTATTTTAGATAGATACATTCGCTGGCTTAATTAGTCCAACATACTATGGACAAATTTCATTACAATTTTTTTTCCTTTACATATATTCTGTTGAGTCATCTAGTGAATTATGTTTGATTTTTTCTTTCAATTTATGCTCGTTATATACTTCAGTCCAGGATTGTGCTTTAAAACGATTAAAGTTCTTTTGTTTTTCAACAACCATTTTTGTTGGAATTTGAAATTAGCTCTTACACCATCTTAAATTAGGTCTGTACCTAATTCAACTCCACAAAGTTTATTTGTGAGGTAGTGAGGGTTGTCTCTTATACTTTTCTTAAGTTCTACCTCTAATGGATTTAGGATTTGAATTTTTTCCAATAATTTTATTAGATTTCTTTAAAATAAATAAAAGGAAGAGAGGGGTTCATTTTTACCTGCACCAGCAAATTACTGGGCAGTAGCCATTTAATCTGACAGACAATTTTTTCGTTGACGTCATCCTGGAAAAGAGAAAACTGTGCTATTTGGGTGGCAAGCACTGTACAGAGAGGTCTTGGAATTACCAAGGAAGAAAAGAGCAAGTACCTGTCTTGTATAATTAGAAGCTGCAGTAAAACCATTCATATTAACAATTATTATAGAAAACTAGAAATTAAGAACTAACATTATTTTGTTGACATTCGTCTGTGAATTCCATCTTCACATGCATTGGTTAAACACAAATTCCCGAGGCCTAGTCTTGGATTGTTGTTGTTATATAAAACAATTGTGGAGATGCATTTTTATCTTCCCCAGCTACAACTCCAGGAGCTATATTGTTTGATTTAAAAAATTGATATGAGCCGCCATGTGTATGGACGTGCAGGCTCAAGGCTGGAAAGCGAAGTCAAAAACTTTGGAAGAATTTCTGGAATCAACTTCTAAAATGATACCAAAACTTATTGGCTATGATGAAACTCCCATTGATGTAACAAATACCAATACTACCAGGCATATAAAGGTAGCTGCAGACCTGTACAGCAAGTCAAACCCAGAAATTCGACCTATCCAAGAGACAGCTGAAATATGCACTCCATGTGTAAAGCCTGTTGGCCAACAGCTTCAATCTTCTGCGAAGGGCGGAAAGCTTAGTGAAATATTTGAAAATCATTGCAACGGTGACTCGTCAGGGGCAGGTAGTGTATAATTATGGTATTCTCATTCAGCTTGTCTTTTGTTAATCCTGAATATTGTTTCATATTATTTGCACAAAGGAACGGCAAGATCACGACTGTATGAACTTTGTGCTGCTTGTTACTGGAAGCCTCCTTTATTTGAATGCTGCAAAGAAGAGGGACCAGATCACCTCAAACAGTGAGTTTCATATTTATTTATTTTTCTTTAATCTCCTCGGGTAATATACTATTTCTACCCAGAAATTTTTTATTTTTTAATCTTTAGTACAGCCAGCCTTAACAGTAGAAATTCCAAGATCTTTATTTCATCCACTGAAATTCCAAAGTTTACCATACAAGTTCAAAAGTAGCTATCAAGGATAACTAGAACCATAGCTAAGAGAAAAGAAAAACTACCTGAAAACACCTTATTATTGTTCCATTTTTAGATTCACTTACAAGGTGACCTTGGAGATAGAAGAGGCCCCTGATACTATTTTAGAGTTTGTTGGTGAACCTCAGTCAAAAAAGAAAGATGCAGCAGAGAGTGCGGCTGAGGGTGCATTTTGGTACCTGCAACAGGAAGGTTACTTGCCTAGTGGTAGTTGACATGTTGCAGAACAATTTTCATGTCAAATAAATCTGAGGTAATTTATTGTAGCTAATATCTTGATTACTGATTTTGTCATTTCCAATTTCTGAATGCCCTCGTTGTTTAGGTAATCATTCCAAATGGTAATAATATATTTTAAAAGTATTAGTTGTGTATAGCAGTGAATTTTCAATGACTTTTTTGTGAAATATAAACAAGAGGCCCTGTTTGATCATTGCTGTAGATAGTCCCTAATAAGGGTTTGTTTAGTTTGAGAAAATGTTAACATTGTTATACTCTTTAACTGATATATTCCAAGTTGCAACCTGATGGAGTTTGTCATTCTTGATGTATAATTTTCAATGGTTACAGAAGTTCATCAAAATATACAAGAACTTTTATTGATATATTTACAGTGGAAAACTACAACGTATAGAATTAAATGGTTGAGTCAATAAAGAAACATGCGGGGAGAGTAGAATGTGAATTTTATTTTTTTTAAACTTCATGTAGGTCTACATTTGCTGGTATATAAAAGTTAAAAAAAAAAAAAAGAGGGAGGGAGGAATAAATTGTGGATTTCAAATTTTTGTGTTAATAAAAACTAACATATTAACAATTATAATGTCGATAAAAAAAATCATAATATCAATGTACATCAAGTAATTAATTATTAAATAAAATAAATAAATAAATAATTCGTAGGTCAATATCCCATTATATTAAAAGTAATCATATATTTAGTAAAATTCTAACTAAATAGTTTAATCTAATAAATATTATAGCAATTTTATTTTTCATGTTTGATATTATGTATTTATACCTATATTATATATAGGAAATTTTCCTTTTATAATAATTTTTATAAAGTAATATATATATATATATATATATATATATATATATATATATATCATACATATGTGTAATGTATTATCTATATTATATATGAATAAGATTCTCTTTTTAATTATATTTGGTGTAATCTTATAATTATTTTTAATGACATGTTATTGATAAAGAAAAGAGAGATAATGTAAAAAAATAGTTATTATAACATCATGCATTTGAAGAAAAAAATGTGAGAAGAGAAAAAAAAATATATATATATATATATATAATTATTTTTAAAAATTAATAATATAAAAAATATAGACACGTAATCGTCTGGATTTTTACTAGTTAATATTCTATTTTTATTGTTGTAATTATAACTTTTATTTTATCACCTTTCAAGTATTTAAGAAAATAAGAATATATCAATTTAAATATAATTGAAGATTATGCTATTATATAATTTGTTGAAAAATTCCAATTAGTATAATGAGCAGATAAAAATTCAAATAAATGTATACTTAATCAATAAATTTCATACAAATTTAAGCTTATATTTATTTGAGCATAATAAATTTGGTAAAACAAATTTGGACGTGTCTTTAATAAAATATTTTCGATTTTGATAAATTTTTCCCATATAAAGTGGTTTACAAAAAGATTATAATTTTATCTATGGTAAAATGTGATTTTTAAAATTTAAAGAGTTTGACATTCTGTGAGCGTATATAAAAAAAATGTAGATCGATGCATTTGCGTAAATTAAAATTATATAAAAAAATGCGGGAATATAAAGTTATATATTGCAAACAATATATCAAATTTAAAATACTGAGAATATGTAATGGAAATAATATAAAATTTTATAAATTTAACACCAGTTGAGGAAACTAGTTATTACATTAGATAATTAAACATAATAAAGAATTTGCCAAAAAGTTCACAGGAAAATTTAAAAAAGCTAATGAAGAAAATGTTAAAAAAAGTTATTTGATTAATTTCGTTCTAATAAATTACTTTATTACCAGATCTTTATTTTTATTTCCAAAGACCAAGTATAAATTTAACCCCTTGATCACTTATTTAAAAAACAAAATAGAATTTTCAAGAATTTGTGCAAAATAAAAAATCTTCATAAAAATATAAAGTTGATATGGTTTGATGAAAATTACAAAACTTCTTGGACTATCTATGCTTTAAATTTGACCGTTGTCAACGTTTTTATTTTATATTACAAAAGATCATTTTAAACATATATTTAATTTATTATAAATAATGTTAAAATATCTTTTTTTTCATTAGTATTGATATATTGTTATTTAAATTTTTTTCTTACTTAGGTTTGACTATGATACTTTATATTCTATGCTATGATGTCTAAATTATTTTTAGTTTAAATTTTTTTATTGATATTTTTATTCAAAGTAAAATACTAACATCACATGTTAAAACAAAAGCAGTGAGATAATTTACAACATTAGTTAATGAATATAGATAAATTTTAAATCAGGATTTAGAAAGAACTTATTATGTATCAAGATTTTTTTCAATTTGATCTTTTATCATAACCATGTATTAATATTTATTTTAAACATATAACATAATATTTATATTAAATACAAAGAAATTTTATTTTATCATAATTATTTTTTTTAGAAAAATATCTTACACATAATATATTATAAATTATATATTTTAAAAAAATAATAAAAAATGATAGGTATAATAAATAAAAAATATATTTTAAAAAATTAATAATATAAAAATATGAAACATCTTAATTTGAATTATAACGTTTGATATATACGAGGCACGTGCGAGCACCAGTGACACCCGCCAACACTTTCCCGCCATAACTTTCCCGCCAACAGCACCATTCTTCTTAGTCTCTTCCTTTCCTCCCATTTCTTCAATCGAAACCCTCGGAGACTGCATCTTGAATCTCATTTTCCTTATCTCCTTCCATCCAACCGAAACGAAACCCTAACGTGCCTCAGAGATTGAGCGAAGATGTCAGGGTGGGACGAAGGAGCAGTCTACTACAGCGACCAAGCGCTCGCCGGAGACGATGGTGCCGGCGCCCGCGGTGAGGCCGGCACCGATTCAAACCACTCCCTCCTCCAGAAATTCAAGGAGTTCATCCGAAACTTCGAGACCGCCAACAACGTCTTCCCTTACCGAGAGAGTCTCCTCCACAACCCGAAGTTCCTTCTCGTCGATCTGGGAGATCTCGACACCTTTGACTCCGACCTTCCCGCCAAACTCCGCTCTTCCCCCGCCGATGTTTTGCCCTTGGTACTCTCTCTTTCTACTTCTCCTCAAATGTTATCGTTTCCATTTCTGACTTTCTTTTCTTGCTTTTCTAGTTCGAAACGGCAGCGGCGCAAGTTCTCGTGAGTTTGAAGACCAAGGTTGCTGGAGATACTGGAGCTATGGAAGATCCTATTCCCGGTGATATTCAGGTTTTGCTCACCTCCAAGGAGGATCCGGTGTCGATGAGATCGCTTGGGGTATGTGGATTTAATCCAATCCAGACTTAGAATTTGAATTTGATCCGTATGATGTTTTTGGTTCAAATTGGGTTGTTTTGTTGTTGGAAAGCGTTGAATTAGCGGATATCACAACGGTGATTTCTTTCTACAGGCTCAGTACATTTCGAAACTTGTTAAAATCGCTGGGATTACTATTGCTGCCTCCAGAACTAAGGCAAAGGCCACATATGTTACCCTCGTATGTAAGAACTGTAAGAAGGGGAAGCAGGTTCCATGTCGCCCAGGACTTGGGGGAGCCATTGTTCCTCGATCTTGTGATCATGTTCCTCAGGTTTATTTCGTCTTTAAATTCATTATCTTTGTTTGCTTCGTGTGTAAGCTATGGGTTACTTACGGGACAAGGGGTTTTTGTAGCCTGGAGAAGAGCCTTGCCCAATTGATCCCTGGCTTGTGGTCCCCGACAAGAGCAAATATGTTGACCAACAAACTTTGAAGCTGCAGGAAAATCCAGAGGTAGTAATACAAATTTGTTTTAAAAATTATTTTACTAGGAATTCTAACCATATGTGTGTTGTAAATATTGAAGGACGTTCCAACTGGAGAGCTTCCTAGAAACCTACTTCTCTCTGTTGATCGTCATCTGGTTCAAACAGTAGTGCCTGGCTCAAGATTGACAATCATGGGAATTTATAGTGTCTACCAGGCTTCTAACTCTTCTACATCGTGAGATTCATCATCCTTTTTTTTGCTTATTTAATTTGTTTCATTCTCTCTTCTTGAACTGATCTCTGTCTTAAAATACTGTTATATGCAGCCACAAAGGAGCTGTTGCAGTCAGACAGCCTTATATTAGGGTTGTAGGCATAGAAGAAACAAATGAGACCAAGTCTCGGGGTCCAGCTGCATTTACACAAGATGAGGTAAGTGGTGAAACCTGAAATAAATATAATTTGACTGCTTCTTCCCTGCTTTATATGGCTTGTCAGCTGCCTCGTGGATAATATTACATCCTAGCTGAATGTTTAAAAGGTCCTGTGTAGCGGCTTACCCAGGACTGCGTTCGTGGCCGCAAATTATAGCTACTGAACTCAGAGGGTTCAAAATGAGAAAAAAAAAAGGAGGGGATAAAGTTCAAAAATATAGTTTACCTTTAATTTGGTGTAAAACAACTACTAAATTCAAAATATAGTTTACCTTAAATTTTGTGTAAAATACACTCGTTATATTATGGGTCCGCCAATGGTTCTGTGTTTCTTGTAAAACTTTACGTCAAGTGTAACTTAATGAGTATTAGTGTTTTAAGTATTTTACCTTTTCCTACTGCATTCCAGTTATGATTTCCCAACTCTGTTACGGGTTAAAGCATACTTTTCTTTCCCCATTTTATGAACCTTGACTAAATATCTTCACCCCTGCACAATATCATAAATGATGGTACATTTTGCAGGTAGAAGAATTTAAAAAATTTGCTGCTGAACCTGATGCATATAAAAATATATGCTCTAAGATTGCTCCATCAATATTTGGGCATGATGATGTCAAAAAAGCTGTAGCCTGTCTTCTTTTTGGAGGATCAAGAAAGGTATACACTGTTGTCCCATCCTTTTTTATTGGTGAATAACACAAATATGCAGCTTATATGACCAATTTATTTGTAAACAGCATTTGCCTGATGGAGTCAGGTTAAGAGGTGACATCAATGTGTTGCTTCTGGGGGATCCATCTACAGCAAAGTCACAGGTTAGTCAATACATTTTTTCACTGGATTAGCATTTCAGTTAATTTGTGGTAATTGCATTATTCGAAATTGTTTTGGTTAATGCTGCTTTTTTATGGTTAATTTTGAAACTAATGGTGCTAGAATTTTGCCCATTCACGTTATAGATTGTGTTTTCTTACGAGTGTACCGTTGCCTTTTATAGTTTCTGAAGTTTGTTGAAAAGACTGCTCCAGTTGCTGTTTATACTTCTGGGAAAGGTTCATCGGCTGCTGGCCTTACAGCTTCTGTAATACGAGATAGCAGTACGGTAAGTTCTTTCTCGCTTAAACTGTTAGTATTAAATAGCAAATTTTTTATTATGCTGCTCGTTAGCTTATAATCATAAGCTTACCTTCACTCATCTTGTTTGAGGAGTCACTGATTCTAGTTTCGTGTACTTCAGCGTGAGTTTTATCTAGAAGGTGGAGCCATGGTCTTGGCTGATGGAGGTGTTGTCTGTATTGATGAGTTCGATAAAATGAGACCAGAAGATAGGTATGCAGTACTTTGACTTTTTTTGTTTTTTTAAGTCATTATTGTAATTTCAGGACGAAATTTTCAAGTATTGTTTTTTATTTAGGGTTGCTATTCATGAAGCCATGGAACAACAAACTATATCCATAGCCAAAGCGGGAATAACAACTGTCCTAAACTCACGGACTTCAGTTCTTGCTGCTGCCAACCCTCCATCTGGACGTTATGATGATCTCAAGGTCTACTGTGAACCCTAGTTTATCTGTTTTCAGTTTCTAGAAACACATATGGTAGTTGTTACAAGAGACTGATAGAAGCCTGAATGTTTTTGCAGACTGCACAGGATAACATTGACTTGCAGACCACCATTCTTTCTCGGTTTGACTTGATTTTTATTGTGAAAGATGTCAGAATGTACAGTCAAGACAAGGTAAGAGACTGTTGTGTACTTTTCTTAATGTGTTACTGTTGCTACTTTTGATTGTTTCTTTGTCCTGTAAAGTCATGCTATGCCAAATTTGTTTTGTGATGTTGTGACACTATCAAAACAAATAGTTCGTAGTCAACAAGTGTGCGGCGTAGAATGACGTTTTGCAGACCATGCAGAAGTATTCTTTACGTAAGGTTTGATTTGTTCTCAAGTGTGGATGATTGATATTTGCAGATAATTGCTAATCATATCATAAAGGTCCATGCATCGGCAGGACGGCCTGGTGCTTCAATGGGTGAGAGCATAACTTCTAAAGAAGAGAATTGGCTGAAGAGGTATGCAATATCTATGAACTTGGCCGTGGACTTTTCATGCAGTTATTTCAATCATGAAGAAATGAGCTCTGAGCTGTTGTCTAAATAGGTATTTACAATATTGTCGAAATGAATGCCACCCTCGTCTATCCGAATCTGCCACGACACTATTGCAGAATCATTATGTGAAAATCAGACAGGTATTCATGAATATGTTATCATTTAGTGTACATAAATTTGATTTGGCCTTTTTTCTGTTTCTTTGGATGTCTTTCATGAATTTTAATAATCCATTGTTACTAAATGTTGCCGTATTTCTCTTGTGAAAGCTGATTTGATGTAATAAATCACTTTTAATTTTTGAAAAACATTATATACAGGATATGAGGCAACAAGCGAATGAAACTGGAGAAGCTGCACCAATACCAATAACTGTAAGGCAGCTGGAAGCTATAGTTAGGTTGAGCGAAGCACTTGCAAAGATGAAACTGTAAGCATTGCTATTATTATTTAATGCACCGTTGCCCTTTGTTCAAACAAAACTCTAGGTACAATTTCATGAAAAGTATAACTGGGTGCCTCTATGGTATATTACTATCTATGGTGCAAGAAATTTCATAATGCATGTCATCCTAATTTTTTATGAGTAGTTTTAGTGCACCACTAACAATCAGAACACATTTCTTCAAAATTTATCCCTACAAGTTTCACATAATAGATCTTATATTTCTTAAGTGGCTTTCCTAATTTCTTGATAAATTGGCTGGATCAATAAGTTCGATTATGTAGTAGTATGGACACAAATTGAAGTGTTAATGACCTATGTTTTCGGCTGGAAAATAATTCCATCATTACATGTGATGTTCCCTAAATAAGTTTAGTTAGCCAAAAATAAGTAAAGTTTGTTAAATTTTTCATCTGTTTTTCTTTATTGGAATGTTTTGGTTTATCCTTTTGATGATCCATGCATCTTTCTTTTGACAAAATGTATCTTGGATAATTCTTGCATCAGATCTCATCTTGCTACTGAAGATAATGTGCAAGAAGCAGTAAGGCTTTTCACCGTCTCCACAATGGATGCGGCTAAGTCCGGAATAAACCAACAAATAAATCTTACACCAGATATGGCAAATGAGATTAAGGTTTGTCTTTTTATGAGGACAATCTTGTTTTTTCCATCTTGCCTCATCCTGATGGTTTATTTTACGTTGTGAGCAGCAAGCTGAAACTCAGATAAAGAGAAGAATTGGGATCGGAAACCACATATCAGAAAGGAGGCTGATTGATGACCTCAGCAGAATGGGGATGAATGAATCTATTGTAAGTATCAAATAGCCACTTAACTTCAAGGATGGTTTCTGCTTATAAACCTGAATTTAATGTCACCAATTGGTTCTAACATACTAAATTTAAGTCAAATCAAGTTTGACTCAGCTCACCATGTTTTCAACATCAATCCAAACACGCACTAAGACTACCTATATTGAATCACATTTTTACAGTAACAACTGGCTAATCGAACAGTTTGACTATGGCCTTATTGAATGAACAATAAAACTGCCCAAAACGCGGTTACAGATTTTAGCAGTTATTAGTGTTTGTGTCTATTGTTCTGTTGTCATTACAATTTGTCAGCAAGACTCGATAATATTTTTCACGTATGTACGTTTTGCAGGTGAGAAGAGCTCTTATAATCATGCACCAGAGAGATGAAATAGAGTACAAGAGAGAAAGACGTGTTGTATTTAGGAAAGCATGATACTATTTCTAAACGAGGTAGTAGTTGTCTGCATAATGCAAAGGGAGATCAAATTTACATTAGTCATTTTTATCATCCAAAAATAATTTAAATTGTTTTTCAAGTGTGATTGTGTTTTTTGTCATTTTTTATCATCATTGTCTAAAATAAGTTTTAAACTAATTTTTTTTACTTTTTAAATTTTTTAATTGATCAATTTAAAAAAAAAAACTTAAAAACACAACTAAATCAAACCATTTTTTTATTCAAATAAAATATAATTAAGAGTATCAAATCATTCCATATTTTATTATTATTCAATAAAATCTCTTTTTTTGTAATTGACGCATTGGATTAATAAAAAGACATTTTAAAAGCTAAAATCTTAGTCCAAACAAATATTAAATAGCATTCAGTTTTTAATATAATAAAATTACGGATATTAGGTTTTTAAAAACTGACTTTTTAAAATTAATTTCACTTATTAATCAAGTTAATTTAGTTGGTAATTTTAAATTTACTAATTAATTTAATATTATTTTTTGAAAGATTTATATATATAATAAGATACGTAGACAATATAATATCATGGAATAAAATCTTGAAACATATAAAAAAAATTAGATATATAAATATTTAAATTATATAAATAATAATAAAGTTTAATAAAATTAATAGATAATCATTAATGATATATAATTTTTTAAAATTGATATTTATCATCTGGACTCATTCCTTTTAAAATTTATTTTTATTTATAAAAAGTGACCAATCTCTTAAGAGTTAGGATAATTTTTTTTAATATTGTAATATAATTATTAAGATGAATTATTATTTTATATTATTGAATTGAAAAAAAATTAAAAGATAGAAATAAAGAATAAATATATCTTAATATTTATAATTTTTACGGTATTAACCACTAATAATATTGTAATAAAATAATTTGTAAAGAGTGTAAGATAATTTTTTTAGAAAAAATGTCTCAAAAATCTCAAAGCATGTATGGTAGTGTCATTCAACACACTTTCTAGGAATGTTGTTACTATTTCCGGTTACACGGGGGAGTACTGCGACAAACACTATTCATACTCTTTCCAATGCAGATCAAAAGGAGGAAGCGATGAGCAAGTTATTAAATATGAATTTATTATTAATGTTCATGTTATTTGATTAAGAAAGAATCATAGTAGCTACAGAAGGCAAAATAGATTGTGAAACTGTTCTATTAGATATGGAGTTTTACATTTTAAATGTTGAACTTTAAATAAAAATAAACTTTTTTTAGTTTGATTTGATCATGACTGTATGAACCCAAAACTTGCCAAAACTACTAAAGATCGATTCTTATAAAAGTGAGAATCAAATCCGAGTTTTTCTGCTAAACTAATTTATTACACGTTACAATCCGCGTTCAATTGCGTCTGTTTCGTCGTGGCTAATAAGATTGATGCAATTCACCATCTCATTTTCTTGAAGTGAAGATAAGAATGATGTTGAATGATGACTCGAGAACATGTGAGGATCCTACTAATAATCTTAAAATGTCTTGTTATTTTTCATGCTACATCATTGGTTGGGAGCATCAAAAGAGTGTTGTGAGTAATCTTGTCAACAAGGCTGATTGAAAATTTTCTACCCTTTTGATGATTTTTGTTAAGAGAATAGTTTGGTGTCTAAAAGAGCTTAAAACTAATCATATTCAAATGTGGCATTGGAAGATGACAACGGTCGTCAAAGGTTTGGATAGATCTTAGTTTCTCTTTATTTCAAATAAAATTTCCCTACAAAACTATAAATTCTTTACACTAACAGTTTTGTAATAGTACTGCCAGGTCCATAATGATGCTAACAAGGATCAAAACTTACAATTTGTGAGCATTGAAAAAGAGTCTGTAGTGCCAATTATAGAAACAAAATTAAGAATTTGATTATTGAAAAGAAAGAACGGTGCTCATTTTTAGAAAAATTATTGTAGCGTGCTCCTTCAATAAGAACTCCCTGTTGTACTCGGTAAGGGATCAGAACATGGACACCGAAATTTGAACTGACTGTTTCCTTGCTTTTTTTTCCTCTTGTTCTTCTGATTGTTCGATGTCATGATTGTATCCAAACTTAGAGAGAGCATGAGGATAAATATAGCAGGAGATATAGAGGGACAAAAAAGCAGTTCACAATCTCTGGAAACCAAGTTTTAACCTCTCTTAACGAATTATAACCCGACATTATAAATCCTAATTGCAATAAACAAGGGCACTTATAGTATATCAGGTATCTAGGTAACACTATCCCAAACCATGACTAATAATGGCCAGGTAAAAACAGTACAAAAGGGAATAAAATCATGTTTTAGTCAATTTTAGCAAAAGTACCTAGCATAATTAATAATATTTCACACGAAAACAATCTAGAATCAGAAACTATAGGAGTTTCATTTTATAACATACACAAGAAAAATGCATAATAGATAAACATTCTAGCGCGATGTCCAGATATAAACCTGGCCTCCACTTGTTGCTCCTACAAGCATCCCAACCTCGTAAGGGTGTGTATCGAATCTGCAAGGAATGGCAGACACGTGTTGGCTCTCTAGAGTCATAACTATTTTCCTTTGAACGGCTGAAACCACATCAACCCCTCTATTCATATTTCCAACGAAGAGATATCTGTCATCCCAACCCCATTTCGCTCTGCAACCACAAGATCAAGCTCAGAAGTCAGCTGTTTTTTTCAAAATAAGTTGGCAATTGAAAGGTATATCAAGTTCGCAGTGGCATCACAAATTCTTATTATAACTACACTCAAGTTTCAGCTTATGCTGAATAAAAATTCTTTTCTAAAAATAGCTGTATAGAGTTTAAAATCCCGAGTTTTGATTTGAAAAAAACTTCTGCGTGATGGTGATGTCAAGCAGACGGCAAAAGAGAAGCATAATGAGTCAACCATCAGATACTCCCCTAGAAACCATACCTGAACGTAGAAAGCCATCTGCCAGTCTGATTGAAATGAGAAATAACAGCCGCATCCTCCAAGTTAACTCCACTGTAAATACCAATCGTGTTGTCGAAGCTGCATGAAGAGATTATGTTAACCTCATCCAGCCAAAATCACAATTACAGAAACATGAGGTTCGATACAATTGGATAATAAAGCGAAAAATTGGAATCAAACTAACATGTGCTTCTAAAGTTAGTACAACAACCGCACAATAGTCTTTTTCCATTAGGTGAGATAAACTAGTGTACCGAAAAATTGAAGACTGCAAAATTAAGCACACACAACATAACATGTTTTCAGTATTGAAAAGTATAATTTTTTTTTTAATGGAACAAACTCCATACCTTGTAGTTGCCAGGCTACATCCAGAAGGAGAGAAGTAGGCAGATTGGACAGATCTTTTGTGGGTAAATGTGCTCAGGGCTATGAGCTTATCCTTATCAGTATATCTCAAATCCCAGGTGCAGGCAGTTGCATCAGAGGAACTAGTAGCTACAATATGAGGGTTTTGACAGTTGAAATCTATCGTGTTAATCCTACTTTCATGCAAATCCCAGTGAGACGAACGTTTTCCCATCCTGTTATCCCAAATAGTCAAACCTCCAAAACCCTCAGCAAGATATAGGCAGTTTGTTTCATTTGTTGGTTGGGAAAGAGCATATATTTTTTCGTCAATCTCAAACACCAGATCAAAGATTTCCTTCTCAGCATCCATTAGCCGAAGAACTCCATCGTAACAACTTGTATATATCTGCATATAATATGGATCACAGCATCAGACAAGATGTAAAACATATGATGTGATTAGAATGGGAGAGGGTTAAGAGGTGATTCTGCAGCTATTTTCCTCTTTTCTTCCCCTTTAACCTCAAAAACCCCTAGTGACAGTATATATCTAAAATAAAAAAAATGTCAGAGAAACATTGTTTGACATGCATTATCTGTGCATGACAATTACACCAAAAGTGTGCATTTCTTATACAGCCCAGTGAGCATATTTTACCAGCATCAGAAAATAATTTCCTTATATGAAGGCTACGCAGTTCAAAAAGCTTGAGTCTCAAGGTAACCAGTAATGGGTAAGAGTATTAAATAAACTTGACAAACAGACAATAATTGTCGCAAATTCAGACACACCAATACATCATCGTACCTTGGAATAGCAATGTGGTTGAATCAATATCCCAGAAATGGGAGCCTGATGGGGACGGTACAAATGAACCTCATTTTCTCCCATATTCCAAAATCCAATATTCCCAAACTTGCTACCCGCGGCAATCATTTTGACACTACTGGAAGGGAAAAACTTCACACTGGTAATCTTTCCAGAAACAACCCGCGCAATATTCTCGGGATCCAAAGACAGAGATTCCAACTCAAGGGAATGCCCCACTTTCCCTTTTTGAACACTACCATCTTGTGCCTCATTTTGAGCCATACCCATTAGCGATTCGACGAAGGAACTATCAGAGTGATCGCTTTCACGAGCATCGGCCATGGAAAGAGGACCCAAAGGTTGTTCTTCTTTGGAGGAAGTGATGGGGTCCACCGAATCTCCCTCGACACCTTCGCAATCTGGTGGAATACCCCTGGTTCGCAGAGAGCGTCTGACTTTGATGACAATTGGGGTTTCGGTTTTGGGTTTCTTTTCCAATTTCACGCCTATAGGTTTGGTTTCACCTCTGACGATTCCCAAAAAACATGGTAAGTTACAGAAATTTAAACCTTCGTAGTTGAAACGTGAATTGAGAGAGGGAAGAGAGAAGAGTACCTTTGACGCTTGAAATTGGAGAGTTGGGCAGCTTTGGAATGAATTTTGAGGGCAGCCATAATCTCATCGTTGCGGCGAATGTTGTCGAGTCGCTTGAGTTCGTAATCGGTGAGTTTCTGTGGCGCCATTGAAGAGAGAGAAAGTTAGGGACTTTGTCTTCAAATCACTGTCGTAAGTGTGGCTTTTGTTTACTGTTATTGTGTTTATATACAGAAGAGGGTTTTAGGCGCGAATTCACTTTGGCGGGAATAATATAAACTAATATAAAAAATTATATTTTCAATAATATAAATTAATTAAACATTAGATCGAGAATACAAGTGTAATTAATGAAAAAAATAGTTAATATTATCTTAAACTTAAAAATACAATTAAATAAAAAATAAGTCAGTTGAAGAAAATATAGGAAGTAATGGATAAAAAATTACTTGTCTGTTTATTTTCACCAGATATAATTTATCAGTCCAAGTAGAAACAGTTTGACAAATAGATTGGTTCAAATCAGTTGTAAAGAAAATAAACTATCATATTTTGAATTTTTTTTTATCTCTAATTATTATTTCGTTTATATATTTTTAACTTTACATTGATGCAAAGTAACAACATTTTTACTATTTAGTTATTAAGTATTATTTCATCTAATATTTATTTTTTCTATATTCATAAATTTATTAGATTTAAAGTAAATTAAAAAAAAAACTAAAACAATAGTAGAAGACACTTGACACACTTGCAAAACTTTTAATAATATTTGTTTTATTCTTTTATTTCTAGTATAAATAATTAAAAAAGATACAACATATGCCAGGGACATGATAGTGTGGGCTAAATTGTACGTGAGGCAGTGAGTGAGAATATAAACACAAGATACATCCTTTCGTTTGTCTGCTCCAAGAGGCTCTGATTCTATCTTCATCGATTTCTTGTTCCTTAAGATTCTTTTAGACAGTGTAGTGTTGCTGGATGGTATCAATATCAATACCCTTCAACTTCACCACAGATTCAACATGTCCCTTAAGTGTGTGGAGCTCCTTCAACCTGCAAGTTTTGTTTTTGAACCTCAAAATAAGCATAGACATATAACACTACACTCTATATGTTGAAATTCAACGACAGCGACTACATGATTTTGCTACTCTATGACTATGGCATCATTGACATGCATGCATGCATGCAATAAGTTTGGGAGGAACTGAACCTGGCAGCCTCAGCACGTCTTCTAGCTTGCTCCGCAAGTTCAGGCTGCTCGTGTTGGTTGGCCTTGGATTCTCCAACTTGGAGACCATGAAGTGTGCGCTGAGCCACGGCCCATTGAGCTTCCCTTTCTGCCTTTCCATAGTCCTTCTTGGTAGTGAAGGCAGTCTGCATCAACACAAGAAATGGCATGAAGAGAGAAACAACAACGATGAAGTGAAGTGACAAAGTCAAAGACATGTTTCTAAAAAGTAAGTTTTGTCATTTGAGAATGTTTCTGGCTAGACCTTGTTATCAAGCATGTTGTCCCAAGCCCTGCCTGATAATCCCAAACGGATGAGGAACTTGAGGATGTCAAGAGGAATGTAGGTCACAATGCTGAAGACCCAGATTGCTCCTGCCCATCCCCAACCAACTCCTTTGATCCTGGCAAAGTCCCAGTGTGCATACACAGCAATCACAGTGGCCACCTGATTCACCACTTACCAAGTTATTGACTATAAACCAAGTCAGAAACAACTACTTTTATAGCTTGTAATGTACAAATATTAGATATATTATGATGGAAACTATTTTATCTTTACTGCATAGTCTATTTTTTCTTATTTATTCATTGATGATTGGTTTTTTCGCTTTTTATAGAGCACGTTTTCAGAAATATCACTAACCAATTGTGCAGCAAGGAAGGCTATGATAAGCAAAATGCCAGGGCGTTCAAAATAAGACCAGCCCCTTGACCTGCTAACAAAGATGAGTGCTTGGCTAATAATGCTCACTTGAAGGTAGAGAGCTGAGTTAAGCTGCTCCTCACTGTCTACAATTGGCTTGACACCAAAGGTTCTCTGAAGGAAAAAACATCATTGCATGTCATGTCATATAGATGATAAGTTGTCTATTATTTGAATAGTGAATAGCACTTACAGGGAAGAAATTGGTGTCATGAACCAAAAAGAAGAAGACAACAGTGATGATAGCCATGTAAGCTCCAAGAACAATTCCAGTGGCGAAGATTTCTTTCAGCTTCCATGAGTCAGGAAGAGGAGAAGGCTTGACCCTATCCTGGGAGATGGTCATGATGGTTCCATCGTTCAATATAGCGATGATGAGGACCATGAAAGGGGAGAAGTCAAACTTCCAGATTAGAGCAACAAGCATGAATCCAAACACAATACGGATGGTGATGGAAACAGCGTAAATTGTGTAATTTTTCATCCTCTGGAAGATGGCTCGGCTGGTCAACACAGCACTCACGATAACACTGAGTCCGGGCTCAGTCAGAACAATGTCTGAGGCACTTCTGGCAGCGTCAGTGGCATCAGCCACTGCAATACCAATGTCTGCCTTCTTCAGTGCTGGGGCATCATTAACACCATCTCCAGTCATTCCACAAATATGTTTTCTATCTTGCAACCTCTTCACAATCTCATACTTGTGCTCTGCAAGGCACATATGAAAATCAGTTTGTTGTTGCCTTGAGCAATTTTGTTTCCTTTTAGAATTTAATTGGAATGTACTCATGCAATGATACAACAACAAAGGTGACGTTAGTTACATGGATCACATGACACCATTCCACTCGGGTCAAAGTTTGTTTCACTGATGTCATTTACAATGATAGTAATCATAGATTGTCATACCGAGACGTCTTTAAACTCCTTTTGTTATTATGGCGCTTTTGCTAGATAACATGAACTAGATTGATGTCATTACCAGGGAAGACTCCGGCAAATCCATCAGCCTTCTCAATGAGTTCATCAACTGGGATTGATGCAATGGCTGGGTCCTTGCTGTCACCAAGAAGGGACGATGAAGGGTACATGTTGGTGCCCATTCCAAGTCTGCGACCGGTTTCTTTTCCAATGGCAAGTTGATCACCAGTGATCATCTTAACATTGACTCCAAGGTCAAGAGCACGTCGAATGGTCTCAGCACTATCGTGCCTTGGAGGGTCAAAGAGGGGCAAGAGACCCAAGAACTCCCATGAGTCTCCTTCACTCTCCTTGCTCTTTTCTGAAACAGTCTGAAAACCATATGCAAGAGTTTTGTTAAGGGAATTTCCACATTTTGGTTTTTAACAGTGAATTCATGGCATGTAATATATAAACTTTATTCACCTGGCGTGAGACACCCAGTGAACGCAGACCACGGTTAGCATACTCATCAATGACTTGATGGGCCTTTTTCAAAACCCCTCCCGTGAGTCTACAAAGCTCAATAATCTGACATATATATTGGTTAGTCAAATATGTTGCATATTTATGTTTTAAAAAAACAGCTATTTCATGATTATATTAGTATATTGATACATATTCATAATGGTGAGTTCCTTACTTGCTCAGGGGCACCCTTGCTGCTTCTGTGCCAATTGCCTTGATCATCAATGTAGGTTATAGCTGTTCGCTTGTCCACAGGATTGAAGGGCAAGAAATGCACCTCAGTGATTCCTGCTCTTGCCTGAGATGCCACAAAAGAGAGAAGTTGACAATGTTAAGCCAATTTACATTGTTTATACTAAAACAAGACAGTACTAATGTTCCTAAAAGAATATCAATTTGAAACTTATTTAGTACCTCCTTGGGGTCACCCAACATTCCAACGATTGAAGCATCGATGGCATCTTGATTTTCAGTCCTAGAAGCCCTGGCAGCATACAAGACAAGGGTATCCTTGTCCATGCCAGTGGGGAACACCTACATTCCACAAATTACCTTGTTAACAAAAAATGGAAGTTTTTGGTTCACAGGTGTTGATCCATGATCACATTTTAGGAAAACAAAAGCGTTCACATTGGTCATTCACCTCAATCAAGTTCTTGTCCACAGTGAGCTTGTTAAGAGTTAGAGTTCCAGTCTTGTCACTGCAGAGAACATCCATGCCAGCCATTTCTTCAATTGCTGTCATCCTCTTGGTGATGGCTCCTTGTTCAGACAAACGGTGAGACCCAATGGCCATGGTGACAGACAAGACCGTTGGCATGGCAATTGGGATACCTCCGATGAGAATAACCAACAAATTATCAATACCATCTCTGTAAGACCTTTCCTGGATGGGGTACATCACAATAATCTCAATCAACATTCCTACCGCAATTGAGCAGATACAGAAGTTTCCAATGGCGGTCAACACCTAATAGAAGCCAATCAAGTATACAAACATTAGTCCAAAGTTGTTAAACAAAGAAATCAATCAAGAAACACTTACTAATTTGTAAAAAACAGACATACCTTCTGGAAGTGACCAACATTGTTGGTGCTATCCACAAGATGTGCAGCCTTGCCAAAGAAGGTGTGGACACCAGTGGCAATTACAACAGCTTCTATCTCACCTTGTTTGCAAGTGGAACCAGAGAAGACCTCACTACCAGGGTGCTTGGTGACTGGCAAGGACTCACCAGTGAGGGCGGACTGATCTATCTTAAGGGGATCTCCCTCCAATAGACGGGCATCAGCTGGGACAATATCTCCCAACTTGATGCTGATCAAGTCTCCTGGCACCAAAATTGCTGCCTCCTCCTCGCTCCATTTTCCATCCCTCAACACCTATGTACAAAATAGTTCCTTCTTTTTAGTTTGTGCATGTGAAATTTATAAGTTGTCATAGTACCACTAGAAATCTAAAGATTTTGGTGGACACACCAAGACAAAGGGAGAGAGATTTTCAATGACTGTTACCAAATCCTTAAAATTTTTTAGGGTACTATCGAATTTCTCAATTTATATATATGAACTGTGTGCGTGAAAGTGAATGAAAAATGCTGTCACCTTGGTTTTGGGTGCAAGACCAGCCATCAAAGCTGCTGCGGCATTGCCTGCGTTGTTCTCCTCAATGAAACTAATGGTTGAGTTGATGAAGAGCAACACGACAATACCAACGAAATCTTGCCAATCCGGTGGCTTACCCTGATGTATTTACAAGATCTTGTTAGATAACGACATTGTCAAAGATGAACACAAGGGTTAAACAAAGACAAAGAGACATGAAAAAATTGTAATTACCCCTCCGTTGGCTAATACAATGGCCATGATAGCAGCAGCCTCCATGACCCATGAAAGTGGATTCCACATAAAACCCAAGAACTTACGCAACTTGCTATCTTTTTTCTCCTCTAGCTTATTGGGGCCAAATATTTGGAGCCTCTTCTCTCCTTCTTCAGATGTAAGACCCTCTCTCGTACATTTCAGCTGCTTGAAAACCTCCTCAACAGGAATGTGTTCCTACCCACATACACAAAAGTCATTATTGTACAGAAAAAAAAAAATATATGTAGCATGCAAAACATCACGTAATAACAAGATGAATAAATTGTCATAAGGGAACAGGAATGAAAACAAATGGTCACAGTTTTTGTTTCTTACAAGATCCACATTCTCGTTTTTGAGGTCATCAAATGATATGTCGGAGGCCATGTTGGAAAAATGAATGTGTCCTGTCCTTCCTAGTTAATAATTTATTTATTTATTTTTTTGTTTTTGATTTCCTATCTTTCGAAGAGCCTAAGCTCTTCCCTTAGGCCTGGAAAACCATGCCCAAAGATTGGAAAGAGTAGGACAAAATATTTTTCTAGGAAGGTGACAGGTATGTCGTGCTAAGGTTTCCCAGGTTTTATAGTCATAATTTGGAGACAAAAATAGGCAATGCATGCTTGCGCGGTTCAGTGCTGTTATTTTCCACCACAAACTTACTCTTCCTATTGAGTGTTTGTTGAATGGCCTTGTGGCCTGCCTAAGTCCCCGGGTGCCTTGTGAGATGCATATTTGCATGCAAACTCACCACTTCAGTTTCTTTCCATGAAAATGTTGTTTCGTAACTATACCTGAAAACGAAACATAAAAATAGTTCCTTAGTTGTTCTTCTACTTTCACTATTTTTTTTAATAATTTAATTATTACAAAATATAAAATATTAATCGATAATATTTTTTAATCAATGTTGTTCAACATAGTAAATTAAGACCGGTGTGTTAATGTCAGTTAAGACGTTTTTTCAAGTAATATTATTTGACATGATTTTAACTTTATGTCATCCACAATTATTTTAGTTGATATTGGTTTGAATATTTGTTCTTTGTTAACTTGAAGTAAAAAAATAGTTCTTTCAATTTTAAAGAAAACAATTTTAATTGACATTGACTAGAAAATAATCTCCACCTATATATTGTCAAAAATTAACTTCAATTAACGACAACAATAAAACAATTCCGAATGATCTTAACTAAAATACTGCGTTGATGTTGACAAAAAAATAATCTAACTAAAGTTGATTAAGAAATAATTTTAGTGGTGTTGACTAAAAAATAATTTTAATCAATTTCAGTTGAAAGAAACTTCATCGATACTGAAAAAAAAAAAAGTGTGAAATCAACATAATCTTGACCAAGATCAAAATGAAAACATCTAAGGTTGAGTCCATGATATGAAAGACCTCGGTAGAGTTGACAACGACTTGACGAAGATTGAACTAAAGATTTCTAAGTTGGGACCAAGTTTATAACATCCTAGCCACACGCGAAACATATAGTGTCTCCTTTGTAATAAAGTCAATGAAAGAGTCAAGCCGATGAAAGAGTAGGAAGAGGAAAGATATAAAATTGATATACAAAATAATAAGAATAATTTTAAAGTCTCACTTTTTAGTTGAAATTCTATATAAAAATCAAATGTCTCAAATAATTTTTATAATAACTTATTTAAACAACATATTTTGTTACAAAATATTTATAATTATCTATTAAAATAATCAATATTCTAAAATATTATAAGATATGTTACAAGAAAATAATCTTATAAAAACAATATTTACATTTTTTAATATTTTTTTATTTTAAGATTTATAAAATATATTTTTATCATTTGTTTATTCTAAAAAATATTATTTCAATACTCATATTAGTTACATATAAAATATATTTTTGTCATTTGTTTAATTAGATAATCTATAATATCTATATGTAGCATTTTAAATCCCACCTTGGAATTATACACTCTTCCCTGCTCAACTAAACAAAATTTTATATGTTAAGTGATATGAATCCTAATAAAACAAAGTATGATTTAAGATCTTTAAGGTTAGAACCTTATAGGAAATTTAGGAATTTAATGATAAGGTGGAAAGAAAAAATCACTCTTCCCAAAAGAGGCAACTCACAAAGAATGTGAAAAGTCTTTGATACAGTCAAGTGTTCTTGAATCACTCAAAAATTTAGGAGAATCACTCTTACCAAGATAAAAGAGCTAAAATCTAATATTTTTAAATAAAATTCAACTTGTTATATTTGATAAAAATATGATTTAGTCTATATAGAAGTTTTGTCATCAAAATTACAAAGATTTAATAAAGTAAAATAAATGTTAATAATGATTCATTAACTTATTAATTAAAAACTACTTAATAGGGACAAATAAAGGTTAACAATGATCCATTAACCTAGGAATTGATACTACTTAATGACTGATTGTAACTAAAATTGTGGCAACTAAAAGTCAATCAACTATGCACCCTCTTGGTCTCCCAAAGACTGATAACTAAGTTTCCAATTGGGCCCTTATTACAATTTGCAATAAAACCAAATTAAAATCCATTAATTGATCAATCCAAAACACAATTTAGTCAACAAACAATACTTGTTGAAGAACTTCTTTTACTTCTATTGCTCTAGCTCTTGTCATAGGTCATGTCCACATCATTTTCTCCCTCTTGAAAAGGATTTGTCCTCAAATCAAATTCTTTATCTACATAAAAAAAAGATAAGTCTGACAAATTGAATGTAAAACTAACATTGTACTCACTTTTTGTGGCTAAATAGCTCTCTCTCTCTCACTTCAAGTGTTTCACTCTTCTTTTGATCATTCTTTATCTTCTTAAGTGTTTCACTATCGCTTTCTTTTTTTCTTTTATCTTAAAGAAGTTTTTCTCTCATTTTCTTTTTATCCTTACATACTTCTTGTGGACTCAACGGTTTAAACACAATCTTCTTGTCATGGTGCATAACAGAGATCTTGTTGGTCAACTCGTTATGATGAACTCTTTTATCAAATTGTCACAGTCTTCCAAAAATTAAGTAATTGGCCTCCATAGGAACAACAACACAAAGTACCTTATCATTGTATTTTTCAATGGAAATGTTCATTTCAACTTGCTTTCTCACTTGCATCTCTTCATCTTTACTAAGTCATTGAAGTTTATAAGACTTAGGACGTAGTTTAGTAGGTAAATTTAGCTTTGACACTAATCTAGCACTAGCCACATTGGTGCAACTACCTCCATCAATGATCATCATGCACACCTTGTCATTGATTAAACATCTAATGTGAAAAATGTTTTTTATTTGCCTTTCTTTCATAAGCTTCAATTGACCATCAAGTAATCATCTAATTATCAATAAATCTCCCTTTGGAATCTCCTCCTCCTCTTCAACCTCAGATTCACTTATATATTCTCCCTCTCTGAGAATCATAGACATTTTGTTAGGGCACTCATAAACATAGTGTCCTAGGCCTTGATATTTGAAACACTTTACATTTCTACTTGTTTTAGAGGATTGTTCTTCATACTTTGAAGGAGTCTTTATAGGAAAAGGTGTGAAACTACTAAAGGTAATATTCTCATCTTTCTTGCATTTGTCCTTCCAATTTGAAGATCCAAAGTTAGTAACTGTTCTAAGTTACTTCTTTTTTTTTTGAGTTGTTGTTATACTTGAATTACTTTAAGAATTAAATCCTCCATATCAACAAATTCATGCAACTTAACAATATCAATATTCAAACCACTAATAAATCGAGTCATAATTACCTCTTCATCTTTTTCAATCTTTACTTGAATCATGAGCATGTCCATTTCCTTGAAATACTCCTCAACCCCCTTGTTGTTTTGAGTAAGTTTTTGGAGTTTAAATTTCTCCTTGAATAACTAGCCGACACATATCGCTTCCTCATGATCCTTTTCATCTCTATCCATATATCAACCATTGACTCTTCATTTTTACCTCTCTCCTTTTATAGCTTGTTCCACCAAACAAGATCATAGTAAAAAAATTACGTGATTGCAAGTCTCACCTTTTGGGTTTCCTCATAATTGTTGCATGAGAAAACATGCTCTATTTTCATCTTCCACTCCAATTATGACTCTGGATCACTTTTTCCTTTGAACGAAGAAATACTAAGTTTGACTCCTTCAAACCTACTTGATCTTGTTATTCCATCATTCCTTCTCCTATTTCTCCTTTCTTCTTTATCTTTAGGATCTCTATTCTCCAACTGGTTCAATCTTTCATGAAACTCATTATTATGTCATATCATTAATCCTTTCAAATATTGTTCACTGCCCTCATTTGAAATAAACTAATTCCTGTTTTTTATTGTAATTTTTCTCCTCTGTCATTAATTTGATGTTCAAACCCTTAAATCAGGACTCTAAATACCAACTGATATGAATCTCAAGCGATGATTTAGGATTTTTAGGATTAGAACCTTGGAAGAAATTTAGGAATTTAGTGATAAGATAGAAAAATAAATCACTCTTTCCAATGGAAGCAACTCACAAAGGATATGAAAATCTTTTAATACAACCAAGATAAAAGTATTTTTAAATCACTTAAGAATTAGGAGAATCAATCTCACCAAGATAAAAGAACTAAACTCGAATATTTTTAAATAAAATTCAACTTATTATATTTGATAAAAATATAATTCAACCTATACAAAAATTTTGTCATCAAAATTACAAAGATTTAATAAAGAAAAATAAATACTAATATTAATTCATTAACCTAAAAATTGAAAATTATTTAACGAAAACAAATAAAAACTAATAATAATTGATTAACCTAAGAATTGATACTTCTTATCCACAGATTATAACTAAAATTATGACAACAAAAAATCAATCGACTATACACCCTTTTGGTCTTCCAAAAACTAATAACTAAGTTTTTAATTAAACCCTTCTTACACTTTACAATAAAACTAAATTAAAATTAATTAATTAATTAATTCAAAACATAATTTGATTAACCAACAATCATCTTTACAACTGAACTAAACAAAATTTTATATGTTAAGTACATATGCAAATATGCTAAGTACATATGCTAGAACTAAACACAAGTTTTCATTCCCTTTGTAGTCTCTTATCGAGCCACGATTTGCAGTCTGCGGTATTAAAAACGATAAAAGTCCTGCAGTAGTGTTCTTATCTTTATAATCTCTTAAAATCTTAAAAACTAAATTACCATTCTATTTAGCTTTTATCACAATTTATCTCATGGGAGACACATGGAAGCAAATCTTTTGTTCCTTGGAAAATATTTAACTTGATTTTCAGATGCATCCCAATAAATCTCCAAACATATACTTTAAGCCACCTATAAGCTCCTAAAAAAAACAAAACACTTCAACATCCACTCTCTACC